CCCATCAATTATAGGCACCGTTAATACAAGTTTTATACAAACATATTTATTGCATTTGAAATCAACACTAATCAAACTAACAAGCAAAAAAATATATGCAAGTGTGAGGAAAATATGTCTCAACGAAATCCCGTTATCACAAGAAAATTGATTTTTATAACATGGTACAAGGTACACGGAGCACTCACCGGCCCTGCACACACTGCTTGACATGAATGAATCTGTTAACGATATAACTGTGCTGTTATCACGGGTCGTGTCTAATATTGCACTGATGTTTTAGACATATACTGTACCTTATTATATGCATACGTCACGTTAATAGCAATACTTTTCATGAGTAGCGATATTAGTTTCGTCAGTGTAAGCCCGTTTGTGACTGTGTACGTTGTGTTAAATTTTACATATATCTGCCACTTGCATGGCGGACAGCATCTGGCGATTAAATACAGGATTAAACAGAAGCTCTCGTGCTAGATGTGGCACGCAGTTACCTGAAAATTCCATCCCACAGACTTTTCATAGCGCACTTGAAGCCAATGGAAGTCTTTTATCCACTCTTCGAAAAGTGTAGATGGTGGATTAACATTTAGCACATGATCACTACTAGTAAGATGTGTCATCATTTGTAACTTAAGATGCCATGGTTTCTAAAAGAAAATCTGTCAGTGTAATTTTCATTCTCATCTTTAGCGCTTTACAGTTTTTCACGGTAGTAGCTCTCACTGTTATGCAAAGCCAGAAGGCGTTGACTGAGTGATTGACAGCTGATATTTCAGTGCTAGAGCAGTGGTGGGCCAATAAGAAGAGAGCGAAGGCGGGGCAAGCATTACGGACTTGGCTTTGTTTACTGCAGCAAGTTGACATGACAACTGTTTTAAACCATTCCTGAACACCGTGTTTTGTGTTTCAAGTGCAGAGATGCATTTTGTGTGAATGTCTCCCGAATCCGCGCATGTGGTGAACATTTTGCAGTAAAAACTGGTCACACACAACAATTTTTTGCACTCGCACACATGCTCCCAAAAATATTTTGAAGTCGCATAGGTAAAATTTTGGGCGCATTTGCGACCAAAATGGTCACAATTTCGAGCCCAGTCTAATGAATGTGCTATATAAACACACACATTACATTTATAGGATATGGCGTGTTATCCTGCTGGAAGTAGCCATCAGAAGATGGGTACAGGTACACTGTGGTCATAAAGGGTTAAACATGGTCAGAAACAGTAATTTGGTAGACTGTGAAATTGACACAATGCTCAATTGATGTTAATGGGCCCAAAGTGGGTAGAAAATGTTACCCACACCATTACACCACCACCACCAGCCGGAACAGTTGTTACAAGGCAGGATGAATTCATGCTTTCATGTTGCTGATGCCAAATTCATCCTAATGTTGCAGCCGAAATTGAGACTCCTCAGACCAGGCAACGTTTTTTCCAATCTTCTCCAATTTTGGTGAGGCTGTGCAAGTCGCCAGTAAAGTGGCCGGTGAGTGAGTACACACACACACACACACACACACACACACACACACACACACACACACACACACACACACACACACACACACACAAATATACATATATATATTAGGTCTGTCAAAATTAACGCGTTAATGCACGTGATTAATTTGAAATATTTAATGCATAAAAAAAATAACTTAAATAAAGCAGTTGCAGTTTTTTTATTTGCTGTTGTGGCCGACGTGTGTTCAGGGCCAGCGCATCCATAGAGGCGACCTAGACAGCTGCCTCACATTCATCCGCTACACGCACCCCTTCCCTTACGGTCCTCGGCCTTCCATTCGAATAAAATGTTGTGATTGCAGTTTGCCTAGAGCGCTAGTTCAGCTTGCTCTGGCCCTGTGTGCATAACATTTAATGTCGCATCACCAGGCTATCATGCGTTTCCTCCAGAGTTTCATGCAATTTCGGGTGCTTCATTTTTAATATTTAGACATTAACTGCAGTTCACTCTCATTCAGCATATTTTCATTCAGGATGTTTTAATGGAATTTGATACCGCATGTCAAACAGAAAAAAAAACTCAGCATTTCGGGACTTGCGTGGTCATTTAAGGTAATCAAAAATCGCTGTTTAGATGGTCGACTCTTGATCAGTATTATCTTAACCATCAAAGCTGAGTATTGGCGTCCATGTGAATGAAAGTGCCAGAAGAATTCGCAAGCTGTCAAAGGCATTTCTCTGCCACATGCATGAGCCCTCAAATGTTTCATTAAGTTTGAAACAAGTTTGTTTCCCCCCTTTTGTAAAGCGTCTGCTTAAAGTTCCTCTGTCAGAATCCTTGCCTGTAAAATACAGCCTTACTTTAGAACGCTTAGTTTAAGCAACTTTGATGAACATGATCGTGCTTGTTGATGAATCTGAAGGGAATCCCTCTAGCTCACCGGCACTGCACATGTTGTCTCTCTGTGTGTGTGTGGAAAGCATGGAAAGCATTTTTGTTTGTTACTAAGGGTGTCAAATCGAAATCGATTGACATTTATGTTCAATTTCGATTATCGAATCAAAAAAACTGAATCGTCGATGCTGCCATGCCCCCATGTCACGTCAGCTTGGCTTGCCAAGCAGGAAAAAAAAAACGCTTGTTGAAGTGCTTGTTGAACTGTCGACAGAACTTAAACCTTCTCCTCTTTCGATGAAGTTGCCAGTGTGAAAGTATTTTGTATTTCCAGTGAGTTATGTTGACAAAACACAGTTTGCAAGCTCTGCTATGTACATATAAGGGTTGGGCTGATAGAAGATGGGCGCATCGCGATCCTCCGCCCCGCCCCCATTGCAAATCCACTCGCGAAAAATACACAATCAGGCCCTTTTTACACTAATAGGTCTTTGTTTTAAAATGCCATTTTAGAACAACAACGATCGACATCCACACTGGCGTGTAGCATTTCTGAGCAGCCCTCCTTCCTCTCTACCGCTGAAAACGCACATCACGTGACCACTAACACTCATTCACACACAGACACAGACGCGCACACAAAATCATGCACTCGAAACAGCAGGTCTAGGCAGTCAGCGGGTCAGTAGACTGCTTCAATCTTTCACTTTCACACTAGTACTTAGTCATTTTAGCGAACACGTCAGATACTGTTGGCTGGTTCCTGTTGGTTGTGCACCTTTTTTACCGACGCCATTATAACAACACAGATCACTGCCTATTCACGTGTCCCACAGAAAAAGTGATTGACAGGTGGCAATTATGTGTGTAACTTGCCTTTATTCATTTACTGTATGGTTTGTTTATGGGTAAAACAAAGACCATGCAGGTCAGGTAGTTTAAACGGTAGGCTACAAATAATTAATTTGTTATTAATTAATTATTCATAATCGAAAATCGAATCAAACCGTGACTTTAGAATCGAAAATGTAATCGAATCGAGGATTTGGAGGATCGTGACAGCCTTATTTATTTGTTACACATGTATATGCATGTGTGTGTGTGTGTGTATATATATATATATATATATATATATATATATATATACATATATATATACACACACACACATACATATATATATATATACACACACACACACACACATATGTACATATACTTTTTTCATCATATCATTTCTGTTTTATGGAGAGCCAACTCTTCTTTAGATTATAATTGTTTCTTTTGGGTTGTGCATGTGCAGTTTAATTCACAGAATTTCTACAAAGCATGTTGTATACTGTAAACTCAGACTTTTTTTGCCACGTCCATAATGCATGTTTATTTTCCACATTTAAAGTACAAAACATGCTTACAGATTGATATTCTGCTGCTTCCATAACTGTGTAGTCAGTTGTTCTGGAAATTATGAACAAAAGTTTCAATATATTGTTAACATTTACTTTCTATGTGAATTTATGTTTTGAATTTTTACAGCAAATGTCACATTTATAACGCTGGAAATGCTCATACACACACACACACACACACACACACACACACACACACACACACACACACACAAACATACATACATAGATACATACATGCATACATACATACATACATAATATCATGTGCTAACATATATGTGGATGTTAAACTGATTGGTAAAAGAGTTTGTGAAATAAAACTTGCAAAAAAGCGCCTCAGTAAACTTTTACGGATATCACAAGATAGATACGCGTCAAGTAAGACCACCAGACATAACCTATGGCCGTCGGTTAACATAACCATATGACAAAATGGGCAAAAAGTATTTTGTTAGACTGCATTGCACGCACCTCATGTGCTTTAATTCGACTTGTCACATGCTCCTATTGTTTAACCCAGGCAGATAACAGTCTAGCGGCTGCCCTCTAGTGTCAAGCCATTGAGCGGCCTGGCATTCCAGAGGGAGTTTGGATTTGTTTATGATGCCTCAAGAGAAAATCTCAACAGGGTAAAGCGTAATAAACTGAAAGCATCTTGAAAAATAATCAGCGATAGTTTAAAAGACAATATAAAAGCGACCGTATATGAATGTTTGCCAGAAAACAGTGGAAGGACAGTGCTAAGGCTGATAAGAGCCAACATGCCGGTTGTCATGCTCCACACGGTTCCTGGTTTAGAGAGCTCTTTAAGCCATATTGGATGCCAGTGTCATTGCTGACGTTGATATTGACGGGGGCGTCGGAAAGCTCAACAGTCTTATGATCAAATTCTCCCAATAAAATGGTGGGAAACTTATACACTGTCTGGTTGTAAAGCGCCCTCTCGCCAGTGCTAACTAGCAGAACTGTAGCCACGCTAGCGGTCTAACACGGCAAAAGTAGGCGTCTCTAAAGGGGCTGATGAGCTGCCTAGTTTTACTGTAAAACTTCCACGTTTCGACGACATCTATATAGATATATTACATCTAACACTTCTGACCAAAATCGATAACACTGAAATGTACAGATATGTCACTTAATTGTTAACAGCAGCATTTAGTTCACGTATCTCGGATCCCCTCCCCTTCCCGTCGCACATGGCAGCTCTAGGATTCAGCTTACCTTCCCGGCCACACGGCCAAGTCGAACAATTCCCAGCTTGAAATCCGACATTAGAGGAGACGGCAGGTCTGGGTAAAAAAAATTGAGAGTAAGTCCGACGGTCTTAGATCGGAAATCGTCCGGGCAAACGAAGTGTTCTAAGGCCTTTCGTTGCCCGAAATCTTCCCCAACCGTTTCCAGACCTATGTGATGCACCGCTGCGATGAGAGGCGTTGGAAAACCTGCCACCTTCTGGGGGAGGGACTAACAACACATTCGGAACGTAAACCAATCGTAAAAGAGGACTGATACATATGTGTCCAATCAAACTTAAAACACATTCGTGTTAGGCGTTTAATTCTTGTACTGACGTATCATGGATAAACGTGAAACCATTTGACCCCTCTGTCCAATCACAATACGACAATTCACTACCAGGCCCACCCATCATGTATCCACGCCTTTTCATTGCGTAACTAAAACATCATTTTAGCGCGAAACTTTTTATTAAAGATTGTATTTTAATGGAAATTGTTCAGTCAAACTTTGATGACACCTCACCTAGATTTAATCTTAATAATGGTATAATAAAGGGATACCCTATTTCTCTCTAGTCTTTCTATGTACACAATTACTTGCTGACTTAATCAAACAGAGCAAGTTGAGAGGAATTGAAGTTGCTAGTAACATCATCACTATAAGCCATCTAGCAGATGATACTATTTTTTGAGAGATGTAGAAGAGATTCCAATAGCTTTTTTTATCATTTATATTATCTATACTTTCTCCAGGGGCCTTTACTTGAAAATCAATAAATGTGAATGTTTCTTAAGGATTGGGATGTATCTTCTGTTTGTGGTATGCCTAAAAAAAAGATTAAATCACATATTTAGGTATAAAGATTGTAAAGGATGAAAAGAGAATTTGTGAGTAAAATTTCTCAACTATTATTGATAAGACAAAGACAAAACGAAATCTTAGTGCTTTAACAAAAGCTGAGGGCATCTCAAGACTTGTATACTGATCTTTCTTTGGCAGTTAACAGTAATAATTGCAAAACTATAGTTAGTATGCTTTTTATTTTTTTTTATGGAAAAATAAATCCCTTTGTCAGAATTATTAGCCCCCCTGAATTATTCCCCGCCTGTTTATTTTTTCCCCAATTTCTGTTTAACGGAGAGATTTTTTCCGACACATTTATAATCATAATAGTTTTAATAACTTTTTTCTAATAACTGATTTATATTATCTTTACCATTAAATAATATTGTACAAGATAATTTTCAAAACACTATACAGCTTAAAGTGATATTTAAAGACTTAACTGGGTTAATTAGGTTAACTAGGCAGGTTAGGGTAATTAGGTAAGTTATTGTATAACGATGGTTTGTTCTGTAGGCAGTCAGAAAAAAAATTGCTTCAAGGGGCTAACAATTTTATCCTTAAAATGGTTCATAAAAAAATAAAAACTGTTTTTTTTCTTGCTCAATCAAAACAAATAAGACTTTCTCCAGAAGAAAAAAAAATATTATCAGCTGTACTGTGAAATGTTTTTTTCTCTGTTAAACATAATTTAGGAAATATTTAAAAAAAAAAGGGGGGGGGGGGGTGGGCTAATAATTTTGACTTCAACTGTATACAGAAATCTGTAGTAATGAACACAATTGAACATTGAGGTTTAAACTTCTTAGATTTTACTACCCTTAACTATACCTTCAAATCTTCTTAACTGGATGAAGCAATTAAAAAAAAAAAAGAAAATAAAAAACTTCTATTTGGAATATTATTCCTCATTGCATTTTCTCACAGGTTGGTGGTCTCTTTTTCCTTTTACTTTGTAATTATAATATTTCTAAACTGCCTTTAAACTTATCAAACTTTCACAAACAAATCTTTCTTTCCTGGAATTTGCTTTATAAATACAATTTCTCACCCAATAGTTGTTTCATTTGGAATAATAAGCATATTTTATTTAAATCCAAAACATTGTTTTTTGAAAATTGGTTCAAAAATAATATAAATTTAGTAAGACAACTTTTAAACAAAGATGGCCTTATTCACTTATTCAGAATTTTTATCCCTAGTTTAAAATCCCAATAACTCCTAAAGAATATGCTGTAGTAATGGATGCTGTCCACTCTGGTTTACAAATGCATTGTAAAAACATGTTATTCTTCTCCTTTGCTTTTCCTGGATCCTCTTGACACTGCTGTTGGTGGAATCTGCTTTTCCACCTCTATTAAAAAAACCAAACGACATATTCAAACTCTTTTTCAAAGGGATGTTGTCTCTAGACCATGTAATGACTTTCTGAAGAAATGACTTTCTGGAATAGCTATGCTAATAATTTGTTATGCCCCAAAATTTGGAAATTACCTCATAAATATTTAACAAATAATGTAAAAGAAATTTATTTCAAACGTATTTATAAATATTATTCCAGTTTTGTTGCAAGCAGGTTTAATTGTGAATTTGATGCTGTACGTTTTTTGGCCTATACAGAAACATATTATCATCTGTTTTGGAGTTGCCCATATGTAGTTAATGTTTGGTTGGATTTCTGCTCTTTTATTAAAATCAACCTTATGCTTAGTTTTCTACTTTGTTTGAAAAATGTTTTAATTGGTTTTCTTACATTCAACAGATTATTACACAAAGAGTACTTTTTGATAAATTTATTACTTCTGTTGGCAAAATTCAGTATACAGAAAAGCAAGTACAGTGAGTGCAAGACTTTATTTGTTATTTCAACGTCAGAGGTTAAGCTTTATTTAAAAACTAATATATAAAAAGTATAATAATATTATAAAATAATAATCTATAATCTGAGAAATAAGAAAGCTGTTAAGTGTATTATTACACTATTAAGTTAATATTAAATACCAATTATGCAAACATTTACATGCTTTTAAAAAATGTGTATTTTTTGTATTTTCTTTTTCCTTGATTGTTGTCATCCCATAGCTTTCTCAAATTGTTTTAAATTCTGAATTGTATTGTAAATGTACACAATAAATGATAAAAAAAAGAAAAGAAAAGAATACTTTTGTCGTGTAGCACCAAGTTGTTTCTAAGCCTAGCTCTTTTACCTATTGGATTTTTTTTTGTAAGAACTCCTAAATGGGAAAGTATTTGGTCATTACCTCACTTTTTTGTTACAAAGATAAAAATAAACATATTTTAAACTAATTCATAAATCCTATCCGATTAAACATTTTCTCAGTAAGTTTATAAAAGATATTTATATAAATTGCTCTTTGCATTTGGAAACTGTATCCCACATATTTTGGCACTGTAGTTATGTTAAAAAGCATAGTATTTAGTATGATGCTTTTGTCTTTATCAAAAAAGGTACTGTTTAATTTTAATTTGGATTTTGAAAACATAATTTTTGGACATTTTAATCATAATAATCTGAGCAATGAAGTTTTTCATTCATTTATTCATTCATTTTCTTTTTGGCTAAGTCCCTTTATTAATTGGGGTCGCCACAGCGAAATGAACCGCCAACTTATCCAGCACGTTTTTACACAGCGGATGCCCTTCCAGCCGCAACCCATGCCTGGGAAACATCCACACGGACTCATTCACACTCATACACTACGGACAATTTAGCCTACCCAATTAACCTGTACCACTTGTCTTTAGACTGTGGGGGAAACATGAGCACCCAGAGGAAACCCATGAGAACACAAGGAGAACATGCAAACTCCACACAGAAAAGCCAACTGACTCAACTGAGGCTCGAACCAGCGACCTTCTTGCTGTGAGGCGACACCTCTACCCACTGCACCACCATGCCGCCCCCATGTTAATTTAACATATTTAAAATATAAAAGATGTTTACAGATATTTTATAATTTTATCATCTTTTTAACTCTGGTTAGTTGTTTTGGAAAATATAAACAGATATGAAGAGTTGAGATGCAAAAGCCTCTAAGCACCATCTGACATTTTCTTTTTAAATTATTATTATTTTTCCCTCCTCAGGCTTCTGTGTGCAAGTCAGTAATTTCACATTTATTTTCATTTCAATTTAATAAAACTCTATTTAACAGCATAATATTATGTATTATTTCAAGGTAGCTTGTTTTTTAACAGAGAAAACTATATATATATATATATATATATATATATATATATATATACCAATGACTGTAAAAAACACACACACACACGCACACACGCACACACACACACACACACACACACACACACACACACACACATATATATATATATATATATATATATATATATATATATATATATATATATATATATATATAAAATAAAACTACTATATAATATAAAACTACTATATATATATATATATATATATATATATATATATATATATATATATATATATATATAGTATATATTTATTTATATATTTATTTATTTATTTTTTTTTTTTTTGTAGCAAACTGCTCAAGTAAAGCTTAGATGGTGCATTGGTGTTAACAGAACTACAGAACTGATGTCTATTCCAGGGGTTGCCAAACTTTTCAGTCTGTGATCCCCAAAATAACAATGCCATGACTCACTACCCCAACTATCCTCTGAGGTGGTAATAAATATACAAATGTTATGCACACAATAATAGGCCTACATAAAGATGAGCATACTGACAAAAAAAAAGAGCAACAGTCTAATAACAACCACACACTTTTTTATAGCATTTTATTAATTTGTTTAATTTAAACCTCAACTGATTGGAGGGCACAATGTATTCAGTCTATTCTTTGTTGAATTTTGTAGACTGACACTTGGAGATCATCCTCAATCTTCAGTTGTGGCCTGCATTTTTATGTACTTGATGGCCATGAAGTTTCAGAAAATTTAACTGCTATAAAATCAATCTGTATAACTTAAAAAAAAAATAAAATAAAAAAAAAGCTTGTGGATCATAGAGAATAATATTTAGACAATTTTAGAGTTGATTTGAATATTTTATCTCGAATGGAGTTTAATTGACTTTTTTCTTACATTAAAAGTTATTTATAAATATTATAAAACAAATAAAGTGCTAATTCCAAAAACTTTTTCTTGTGAATGACTTGTGCAATAAGCAGGATGTTTTTTTCTGAACCTTTTGGTACTTTATAGCTTCATATGGTTAAATTGTTTAATTCATTTGTATGGTTAATTTCTTTTAATCGAGAAATTAAGCCTTGTGTAACATAAAGGGCACGAATTTATGCCTATTTGACCTTTTTTTCTGGCTCAAACTATAAACAGGAGCAAATAATTTAATTGGTTTGAAACCGAATGTCTAATGAATGCAAACGTCAAACTGACTTTACCGCGGTGACGCACCTTCTGTGTTTGTGATCTAATGTATAAACACATGAATCCCATGAAAAAAGGCTAATGGCTTTTTATTTGCATACATTTATTAGGCTATGCAACTATTAACTACTATTTTTTTATCTTCTGTGGGTTATGAATAAAATATGGTTTTATTTGACTTCTGAAAATCTCCAAGCGGGATCAACCTGTGCAGTGCACATGCCCTTTTTGGCTGGTCTCTGTCCTGTCATTGTCCCGCGACCCCCACTTTGTGAACCACTGGTTTAGTCCAAGTCAATGCTATACTAAGAACAAGCTCAGGTTGCAAAATTAGCATATTTCAGCTTTATATTATCACCAATACTGCCAGTGACCACAACAGGAGAAAAAAATCCACTAGACTTGCGCACTCGACAACCAGTCACTTCCGTATTATACACCTGCGACAGGTAGTAGGCAGTCACTAAAACTGGATACACCTGCACCGCTGGTATTTTACAGTATCAACAGCAGCATCAGCAAAACTAGGCAAACCGTTCGTATTTCATTCTGCTAAAAGAAATAAAGCAGCTTCATTTCTCGGTGACATGAGCGAGGAAGACAGACTTTGTGAACTGGCAACGGTGTCCTTGCATGTAAGTGACCTGGAGACTGACCCTGGACTGGAAAACTCCCAAAAACACGAAGATCAAGTAAATATATGTGAAGGTGGAAGGCTGTACAACGGCACTGTACACGGAGGATCGTCGACAAAACCTTTTCCCAAATGTGTGGACACTACTGTAGGCAGCAGCGCTGACTCATCTGATTTAGGAAAAGCGAAACTGTGTACAGAACATCAATGCGAACTACAGTTGTACTGTAGTACAGAAGGAAAACTGACCTGCTCGCAATGTGTGTCCGATGGGTTTTGTCAGGGTCACGCAGTGACAGAACTGGTTACCCGGGCAACAATAGTAAGGGTGAGTCTCGATCACAGTCTTCGAAAACGACACAATTTACTTTAGTAAATTAATAGTATAAATAAATCGTACATAGTATAATTAGCTCTTCTTTTATAACAAAGTTATTGTGTTTGAATCTTTCTTTTGCTTGTATGTTTGTTCATATGGAGAAGGCGTTGTCAGTTTCATTACGTCGGCACAATTATTAATCAACTTAAATCACATTCATAAAAGGGTCGTTACCACTAAAAAGTCCCTTTAATGTCCCACAAGATTAAATCAGTCTTAAATGAACATAATGCGAAATAATGAAATTCTGATGTTTTAATATAATTCAAACCTTTCATGCAGGTAGAATTATACGTGTTTTGAAATATGTTTTGGCAATTTCTGCCATATTCTTTCATTGAATGGTGATTTTGCCATGTCCCACACACTGCTCTGCCAATTTCAGTGATTCTAAAAAGTAGGTAAATTAGATCAAATTAAAAATATTTTTAAATGTTCTTATTGTCTATAAAAAGTTATTTGACAAAAAAAATCTTTTTAATAACTTTAATTTTGTTTTCATAATATTATTAATCATTTTGCACGTGTCCTTAAAAATTCTGTCCACCCTGTCATGATGTGTTAAATGCCCCTTAAAGAAACCCCCTGATGTACTCGCTGGCCCATTTTGCAGAGTAGGTTAAAACTTCTGATGTGGACACATTAAAACAGTATTATTAAGGTGTTTTTAACTAGAATTGCTTACAGCAATCCCTTCACTCCTGCAATCCATGTACATTCAATAGCAAATTTAGATTAATTTGTAGGACAATAAAAGTTTATATTCCCATTAATTTGCATATTGATAAAACCTACTTAATTACAGAAGAGGCAGCATGGTGGCTCAGTGGTTTGCAGTAAATAGTGACAACAGAAGTTGAATTCTTGAAAACACCGTGTTATATTAACCCTTTAATATCTCTTGTTGTACCTGTTATTTTTCAAATGTTTCTCCATTTTAGTTCACTAAATAAAGCCTTTGTCCACCCTGTCTTTTTATGAAAATAAACAATTTTTATAACCTCAGCAACACATCTTGGGTGATTTCTTAATTAACCCATAAGGGCCAGTTAATATTGTTTGAAAGTTTGACAAAATAATTTAGATCTCGGGTTTTATTTTAAAAAGAATGTGCAATGATTGCATATTTTGTTGGTAAATAAAAGCGTTGTCTATCATTTCATTACTATAAATAGACTTTTTCCCGTAATTTATAAAGTTGGGTTGGTAAAGGGACACAAAACCTTTCTAAAAATGTACATTTTATAATCACACTTCAATGAAAATATACTTATACTACTTTGAATTTGTCTATGTCTAACAGGGTTAACGCAATTTGAGGTTTGTTTACTGTTTTTCTGATTATTTGTAAAATGTGCAGGAGCTTGACCAACATTCATTTCTTACAGCCTAAGGTCTTATTACTACAACAACTATATGTAAATCAAAAATCCCAAACTTTTTTTTTGAAAATTTTGATGTCTCAAAGGCACTTTATAGAGATAATGACCCAAAAACAACAGTAGCTGACTACCCTGCTATTCATAATGTTTGCTAAGAAAACAAAACATAAAATAGATTGCCTACAGTGCATGTAAAAAAGACCATGCAGGTAAAAATAAACACAGTCGTGTACAGTATATTTTATGCATGATTAATGGCAAAGAGGTACGTTTTTAACTTAATGAAACAAGCAAGAAACATATCATTCCCACATCTTCATTCTTGTCACCTTCATAGTCTTATACAGTATGTCATCTTCATTTTTTTTTTGTTTTAAACAGAATCAGTTGGTGGATGTCTGTGAGGAAATGCAGCTGCAAGCCATACGGATCGAACGCTTCATTGACCGTACACTTACAGCAAGAGAGAAAGCTGTACAAGTACATAAAGAATTTATTTGTTTTCAAATATGCAGAAAAAAACAGTGCATTGTTCATTTTTTTTTTGTAATTTAGTACACTAGCGTTTGTGTCATGGTAACATTATGTTGTGTTTGACATTACTGGACTGTAATATTATTACTGCAATGTATTATTATTATAATAAATCAGTGTTTTAACATTTCATTCAATGTATCCAGATGAACTGTACTTATACCAGTGTTATATGTGCATGTACCTTATAGACAGATGCAAACAGGGCAAGAGAACGAGTGTTGGCTCAGGTGAGTGTGGTGCGCGAGGCTTTGGAGGAAGAGGAGCAGCGTCTCCTGGAGGCTATACAGAGAGAGGAAGAGCGTGTGGAGCAGTGCCTCCTCACTCAGAGAGCACACTGGACTCAAACCCTTGAGAAACTCACCCAAACACGCACCAGCCTGGTGCACACACTCACACACTCAACAGATACAACGCTTGTGGTAAGTGAATAAACAACGATGTACAACGAGCTGCAGTAGATGTAATATTTTGAATGTTTTTAAGTCATATTCCAGCTGCTGGAGTTTTTTTTTTTATATTTAAATTTTAGTATGCTAGTAAGAGGCATACAGTTTTTGAATTCAAGTTATTGAACTATTTCTATTTTCCCTATTCAACTGCAGTTCACAAATCTTTTGAACAAAATACGCACACTATATTGTCATTTTCTTGTCATTCAACTCTTCAGCAGCTGGCAAAGATGCACAAAAAAAATTTGAAAAGCCCTTTTGGCTGTTTTAGGAGCAAGTCCCAAAACACATTTGCAGCCAATCAGCTGTAAAGACTACATCTGCTTGTGATGGCGGAGATATTAGTCACTGTACAGTAGGTGTGTTCGACTTGATCCAGGGCTGCAGACGACAGTTAGCAAGATTAGCACAGTGCAGTCATTGATATGAGTCATTCAACAACAAAATATCTAAATAGGTTATGCGGCTAAATAGACTAAAAGGGCTGTATTAAAACAAAGAAACAAATGAATCAACAACAAAAGTCATTGCAGTAAAATAATTGTGATCTCTTAATTAACATGACCTTCAAGATATAGATGGTAAGAAGTTAAATGTTTTGTTTTGAAAGTCTGTATATGATAATTAGAGGCACTGAAGATGCCGAATAACCTTATAACGTTCTCAAATGGTGCGTTCCACACGAGATATATCACCCTCCAAAAGGCGCTTATGAGTAAAGGCAATCATTACCACCAAAGTAAATAGAGTGCTCGAAACAAACCACTTTGTAATGAAGGATTTTGAAAGGTACCTGTACAACTGATTGACAAATAAGGTCTCCGAATGTTTTTTTCGTTGTGCCTTTTCTATCGTGTTACTTTGATGAAGCGATGTGGTATTGGCACATGCTGAAATCAGAAAAACTTGCTTACTGGCATGCACTGCTTCAAGTCAGATTTTAATCAGTCTGTGAAGTGCTACAAGAAGTCAAACACACCTTTTTTGGTGCTTTCAAATATCAATATAATTTCAAGAGTTCACTCTGAGCCCATAAGATTCTCGAGCCCAGGGCTCCCTGACGTTTGAAGGGGGCGAGAGGCAAGTTTGAGCTCAGGTAGGTTTCGAGAACTCCCCTGCTTGTTATGGCTGATGATGACTAATTAGGAATTGCTAAGAGAGATATATAGCTAACTAAGAGTTTATCTTTGGTGCCATTTTGGATGAGTCAATTCACTTATCTTGCATATCTTTGGACTGGACTGTGGGAGAAAACTGGGTAACCTGCCATCATTTGGCAGACTGGGACGGCAGAGATGGGGGAAATGTCTAAGTGTTGGGGGGTGAGGTGTCTGAATAACACAGCTAAGTAACTGCACTATGCGCCGGATTTCGGGCAGCTGCTGAGATCAGATATACCAAAGTCTGTGATCCGGGAGTGTTATAGACTGTACCAAAAAGGTGAAGGAGGGTGAAATTACAGGAGTTTTCCAGGTGAAGTAACAAAACGGGAGGGTGGCGGAAGATGGGTCTGAAATACAGGAGACTCCCGGAAAAAAACATGAGTGTTGGCAGGTAGGGGGCGGTGCTAAAATGGCGGGTAGAGCAGACATGATTTACTTTAGCTCGTGTTACAGGTTCCCAAAGTTTGTTAAAAAGTGTTTATTTCCCATCTTTTTCGCTTGAAATGTCTTCACAAAATCTGGTTAAACCTGCCATGTTAAAGCTACATCCCAAAGGAAAGGATTTCATATGTACCGTCAAAAGAAAAGATGTGACCAAAGCATCGGAGCATGATTACACAATGGAGGTCACGGTCCAAAATAAAAGGGAACGGGGAGATGATCCCTTCCATCAACCCCATGTAAAACTTCAACAGAAAAAAGAGCTAAGGCATCATTGGGTGATAGCGAGAAAACAGAAATTTCCAGCGAAACTATCTTGGAAACGATTCTAAATTTGGAATGGAGAGTGGATGAGAAACTACTGTATTTGAGTGCAAGCAAAACAAAGTACCGTCATGATTGCAAGCCTATCGAAGGCGATTCAATTGAACACGGAAGAGGTGAAGGAGTGCAAGAAAAGAAAAGAGCTGGAGACGCAAAATGAGCACTTCCTTCAGGAAAACCGTGAGCTGCAAGACAAAATTTGCGAGCAAGAGAGGTACAGAATGAGATGGTGCTTGCGTATTTCAAGGCATAGAAGGAAAAAAAAAAAAAAGGAAACATCAGATCGATAGTCATCCAAAAACTCTGCAAAATTGCACCTGATGTGGAAACAAAGTTGGAGGATGCCGTTGATATTGTTCACAGACTCTGAAAAAAGACGAACAGGAACAGAAATGTCATAGTTTTGCTTGCTCAAAAGCGGATGAAGGAGGAAATCTGGCGAAGAAGTAAAGATTTGGTGGTTTGCAAAACTGAATCAATCCGGTTTGCAGAGATGCTTTTTAGAGAAGAGTTGGAGGAAAGAGGTAAACTTTAGACCTCAAATTGAACAAGCGAGAGGAGCAGGCAAAAGAGCTTTTTTTTGTGGTCCACATGGTTTAATTGAAGGTCGCCGGATTGTTGCTGACTGAGGATATTGGTGCGTCAAATAATGGGAAATAGTTCATGGGAACAATAAAGCTTTATTTGTAAGTCACTGTTCAAGGATAGAAGTTATCTATAGTTATTGTTATATTCTCTATTCACTTGTTCTTTATTTTGGTTAATTTTAATGGTTAAAGACAAAATAGTTTTTGCTTCATTGAATGTTAGGGGCTTAAAGGACATTGTTAAAGGAAAAGCTTCTTTTTTATTTTGTAAAAGACAAAAAGCACATTGTATATTTTTGCAAGACTTATTCTTCTGATTTGGATGCCTCTTTCTGGACTAAGCAATGGGGTGACAAAATGTTTTTTAGTCATGGCTCCAATTGTTCTGGAGGAGTGGCAATATGCTTGAACAAATGTCCTGGTAAAGTCGTTTCTCATAAAGCTGATGGAAATGGTCACTGGATAATGGTGGTATTGAAAATTGACACACTTTTATTCATTTCGATTAATGTTTATGGGTTTAATTATGCATCACAAAATAGCAAATTAGTGGACGATTTATCTAATTTAATTCAGAAACAAAAGGGTTGTTCCATTCTGAGAATGTCATAGAAGGTGGAGATTGGAACATGGCTCCTGATAAGTGGAGAGATAGATGGCCTTCCAGATTTAATAGGCAGCAGTTAAATATAACAGTTGAGTCTATAAAAAATGAAAACAGTTTGAATGATGCATGGAGAATTTTGAAACCTGAAATTGAATGTTTTTCCTGGAGTAGGCCTAATGGCGAGAGTAAGTCCAGAATTGATTATTGGATGGTAAGTGATAATATTCTCCAATATGCTTCTCAATCAAGTATTATTAAAGACCATTGTCTGATAAATCTCACTTTAGGACCCTCACATAAACATTTTAGAAATAAAGGAAACTGGAAATTTAACCCAACTCTTTCAAAAAATTACAAATTTTGCATGAGGATTAAAGAATTAACAAGGGAGATTGAGTTAAATAATGTTTTAGATCGTAATATTAGAAAATGGGGGTTTCTGAAATTCAAAATTAGAATTTTTAAAATTTATTTCTCAAAAAAATATATAATAAAAATGAAATAGACAAAGAAAAGACAAGGTATGAGCATGTTTTAATAAGAGAAGTAAGTAGGTACTGTAGTAAACCAGTATTAGAGATTGAAGAAAAAAACAAAGTGATGGAGCTTTAAAACAAATTAGATCATCTCTATTTGGAAAGAGCAAAAGATGCCTATGTTCTCGGGCGAGGTGAATTGAGGAAGGTGAAAAGAACTCATCATATTTTAGTAATTTAGAAAAGAATAGACAACAAAAAAATTCAATCAATAGTTTAATGATTAAAGATGAGGAATGTAAAGATCCAAAGAAAATTGAAAAAGAAGTGTTCATGTTTTATTCTAAATTATATTCTTCAGACTTTTCTCCAGAGAAAGCAGACATTTTCTTTGCAAAAATACAGAAGTTATAATATTGAGCAGTCCTTTAAGATATTATGTGATTCGGATCTTAGAATTGAGGAATTGGATTTAGTAGCCCAAAATCTATCTTTAAATAAATCTCCAGGCACAGATGGACTCACAAATAATTTTTACAAATTCGTCTGGGAGGATCTGCGGAAATTATTATTTAATGCCTTAAAAGAATACATTTGAAAAAAAAGAGCTAATGGAAAGTAAGAAGCAAGGCCTAATTACTTTAATCCCTAAAGCGGGTAAAGATAAAAGAGTTTTAGATAATCTGAAGCCTATCGCTTTACTAAACACAGATTATGATTTTTTTTTTCAGGAGCTATTGCAGCTAGACTTAAAAAAGGTATTTTATCCGTGATACACAGTCAAGTTTTTTGAAAGGAAGATCAATCCATAAAAACATTAGACTTGTCCTTGATTTAATTGATTATAGTGATTTTGTTGATTATATTGATTATAGTTTTCTTAGATTTTTATAAAGTATTTGATGCTATGGAGCATCCATTTATTTTGAGAAGCTTAAAATATTTTGGATTTTGCTTAAAGTTTATAAATTTAATTGAAATGCTATATAGTGGAATTAATAGCTCTGTCACTCTTGGAAATTTAACTTGTACACAATTTCCAATTAACAGGGGGATTCGACAAAGGTGTGGTAGCTCTACATTATTTTTTATAATGGCTGTTGAACTATTATCTATATTAATTAAAAATAATGAAATTGAAGGTTTATCTTTGTTAGATGAAAAAAATTATTTTAAGTCAGTTTGCAGACCATACAATTTTATTTTTAAAAAATGATCAACAAATTCCTCTGGCTTTACGCTTTACGTTTAAACTGTTCTCCCATATAATATTAATATTAAGAAAGAAGTTAAATATTTAGGTATTTTTATTTCTAAAGACAAAGAAATGATGGAAAAGAAAAATGTCTGGAATAATATAGACAAATGTAAATCCATATTAGATCGATGGTTACAGAGAGATCTCTCCATTTTTGGAAGAACCCTTCTGTATAAAATGGAAAGTTTGTCTAGGTTTATCCACCCTGCCTTTACTTTGTCCATTTTATCCAGAATGATTAAAGCTATCAATAAATTAAAATGTATTTTATTTGGAGAAATAGGTGCCATTACATTAGAAAAGATTAAGAAATACATTAGAAAATGATTAAGAAATTTGAAGATGGAGGCGTAGGCAACGTAGTAGGAAGTGCTGTCACCTCACAGGAAGAAGGTCGCTGGGTCACGGCTCAGTCAGCGTTTCTGTGTGGAGTTTGCATGTTCTCCCTGCATTCCCGTGGGTTTCCCTCCGGGTGCTCCGGTTTCCCCCACAGTCCAAAGACATGCGGTACAGGTGAATTGGGTAGGCTATTGTCCGTAGTGTATGAGTGTGTGAGAATGTGTGTGTGGATGTTGCCAGTGAAACTCTCTAATTTCCATTAGCAAGTGTTGCTTTATTGGAATATACTCTTCAAACATAATATTAGCCCCCACAACACTCCTATTTGGAATAATAGATCTGTAAAAATTGGTAGAAAGTCAGTATTTTGAGGAATGGAATACTAAAGGGATTTAGGCAGTAGCACATTTTTTAGAGATAATGGCATTTTGCTACTGCATGGTGAGTTTTGTAAGAAGTTTCAGTTGCAATGTACTGTAAAGCTTTATAGTACAATGATTAGGGCTATTCCAGTAGCATTAAGGTCAATAGTTAAAGAATATATGTTATATTCCAGAACTTCTCCAAAATTGAGGCAACTGTCTGTCAATGGTTATGATTTCTGTGATAGAAAATGCACTAAAAAATATCATCAAGAACTTAATTTTACAGTCAGAATTTCCAAATCTAATTAGAAGAGAATTCCTATTTGAAGATTTTAATGTTGAAAATGTTGAAATTAAAAGAATATGGAATTATAATTTGTCTTTCCTTCTTCCTCCTAAGTTAAGGAGGTGAGCTTTAAAATGTTATACGCAATTTATCCTACCAAAGATTTTTTACGATTAAAATTTAATTTTGATGTGAATAATAGTGTGTTTTGCGAAAAATAGATAGAGAGTTTGGAACATGCTTTTTTTTATCCTTTATTATTTTATTATCTTATAATTTTTTTAATTTTTATTTTATTGCAATTTATTTAAAAACTGTTTTTTTTTTTTGAGATGCATATTTTGTTTGTCTATTTCATTACTCAACCTTAAGATGACAGTATGTAATATTGTAAGAATGTATCATTTTGTTTGTATGTTCAGCAAGATACAAAAAAAGGAAAAAAAAGAAAAAGTGTTGGCAGGTATGACGTGAGCATGTGGTGAACATGTAAAGTCTGCACAGAAATGTCGACTGGCCTGGTAAGGACTTGAACCAGTGACATTCTTGCTGTGAGGCAACAGTGCTAACCACTGGGCCAATGTGCCGCCCTATCTAAGAAAAGGGATGATGAGAAGGGGTGGAAGAGGGGATTTTTCAAGACGAAGTGGTTATTTATACTAAGTTAGGATTCATCTGATTGGTGAATCATGTTAGCTAATGCAGGACCAGCCATGGTCAATCATAAGCACATGATCCTCTCGAAATTAGTTTATAAATAAACAACAATTGGCAAAATTGGCTTGATGGACCATTAATAATTATAAATACATAACACAAATGTCGTCTTCACTATGGATTATTTTTCTTATAATTCACCATGTGTATAGTAATGTACATTATATACTACGATTACCACACTCAAAGACATCAATCAAGATGTTGACATCACAATTTTTTCCTCAAACAGCTCCTGTAGGACTCCTTTATACAAAAGAAGATAACTTAGGCATGTAACAATTTTTCGAAATGTACAGTTGAAGTCAGAATTATTAGCTGCCCTTTGAATTTTTTGTTCTTTTTTTAAATATTTACCAAATGATGTTTAATAGAGCAAAGAAATTTTCACAGTATGTCTGATGTTTTTTCTTCTGAAGAAAGTCTTATTTGTTTTATTCCAGCTAGAGAAAAAGCAGTTTTTAATTTTTTAAAACTTATTTAAGGTCAAACCTTTGAGCTATATTTTTTTCAGATAGTCTACAGAACAAACCATCGTTATACAATAACTTACCTAATATCCTAACCAGCCTAGTTAACCTAATTAACCTCGTTAAGCCTTTAAATGTCACTTTAAGCTGTATAGAAGTGTCTTAAAAAATATCTAGTAAAATATTATTTACTGTCATCATGGCAAAAATAAATTAAATCAGTTATTAGAAATGAGTTATTAAAACTATCATGTTTAGAAATGTGTTGAAAAAAACGTAAAAACCTTCTCTCCATAAAACAGAAATTAGGGGAAATTAAACAGGTGGGCTAATAATTTAGGGGGCTAATAATTCTGACTTCCACTGTATCTGCATGTGAGCAGCAGTAGCAGACAATTTCAGGCACATTCAGAGTACACACACACTTGTCTAATGTTCAAATTGACTACCCTTTTGTTTTGTTTGTGGCTTTTGCCCAAATTGACTTCAATTATAACATTATTTTTTCATTGCAAAGCCATGACACCATGCTTGTCACCAAATTTGTCATTTTTACTGTTGATCATCACTTGGCACCATAAACCCTTTAAATAGGCCTGTGCAAAAAAAAAAAAAAAAAATCTGGCTTTTAATATGGAATACTATGGAGTATAACAGCAGATTTTAGTATGTGTGAGTGCATACATAAATACACTAACTATTTTTACCATGCTCTGAGGTTGTGATGAGGTTCTTATTTTGATTTTCTCAGACATATCAAGGTAAGTGCACAAAGGTCTCTTTCACACACACAATACTCCATATAAAAGCCAAAAACTACACATTTTTTGAACAGCAGCTGATGATCAACAATTAAAATGACAAATGGTACCTCTTCCCAACAGGGAAAGCCATCAACAATAAAGAATGCATGATTACATGTTGTCATGTCTTTGCAATAAAAAAATATCATTATAATGCAAGTCATTATAAGACAAAGCTGTGGTTAAATTAAGTCTCAAAATCACCCCAGAGTGGATGAAAACACCCCCAAACAGCACACAAGGGTTAAGAAGCTAAAGTGCCATTCTCACAGAGTTCAGTGTTTTATATTATATATTTTAGTTGCATTTGTAAGGTCATTAAAATCTTACAGGTTCATTAGGCACATGTTATCTTATTATTTTAAAAACAAGCGGCAGCCAGGTTGCACCAGTGTCTTCTTCCTCCAGATTTTCAATCTGAATACCCATATCAATGGGTATTCCACTGAATGGAATTGTAACGCAGACCTTAATGACAAATATTGTATCGTTAGCTAAGTGTCAATACCCATTTTTTTTGATGAGACATCTGATTTAATAAAAATTGAACTGTTAAAATGAGTCGGCAGCACAACTATAATACTATAATAATGGCAGATCATTTTTCTTTAGCCTGAATTGGATCACAAAACAGTGATTGGTAATGTGTAAATACATAGTTCTTTATATTTCTATACTTAATTACATTTGTATGATTTGCCATTAATTATTGCTTGTTGCTTTTTTAGAGCTCTAATGAAGAAATAAATAACAGGTAATGTTGACAATAATCAGCAAGCATAAATATATCAAATGATTTAAGCTGGACACGAGAACTGATACTGTGTACTGTGCTAGGATTGAGGATGCAGAAGGAGTTGGTGACCCCCGAGATACTGAGCAACTAAGTTTCAACAGAAACTGCAGTGACAGTAAAGTCATGATGGGTTTATGGGCCAGTGCATTACTGCTTGGGCCATCTGGTAAGTGTGCTTCCAGTTACAATGAAAAAATACTGTCATTTGTTACAGCAACTTTTTTTTTGTTTTTTCTCAAAGTATAATGTAACTTTAGTTCAAACTATAAAATTTTATCGAAATCAAAAATATCATAATACACTACGATAAAATATTGCTTTATATAGAGACTAATGTATAGACACTAAATAGATTTTTTATTTAAGTAAATTTTTTTATGCTTAGATCTAAGTATATTCTTGCTTTAGACCAACTTTAAAAAAAATCACTCCCAAACTATTGTTTTGATGTATTAAAATAATATTAATTAATATTTTAATATTAATTAAAAAAATGTATTCCCAACGAAAAATAAAATACATTGACTTAATAGTAAAATATTGTTTGTATAATTAATTGAATTACTTTGGTTTGACTTAAAAATCAAAATCTAAATAAAGTTGTACTTAGCACTAAACTTAAATGAATTCATACAATGTTATTGCACTTACTAGCTGCTAGTGCTTTCAACATGGCTATAAATGTCAGGCAAGATGGTGACCAAACTCACACTAGAAATATAGTAAACAGCATGTTGATCACCAGGGATCACCAAACTTGTTCCTGGAGGTCCGTTGTCCTGCAGATTTAAGCTCCAGCCCTAATCAAACACACCTGAACAAGCTTATCAAGGTCTAAAGCTGCAGTCACACTATAAATTGTGTGTGCGAAATTCTGTCATACGGCGCTGCAAAAAGGGGCGGGATTAAACAAGATGATTAGACATTAAAAAAGCAAGCGATTTGCTCCATGTGTTAAATTTCTGTCCAGAGAGGTCATGTTTTGATCCTCGATTGGTCTCACGCAGTCATGTGATGCGATTCCGCAGGTCAGAGTTCAGCAAGATTGAACTTTGCGCCGCAGCAACCTTCGAAACTTAACGCATGACCATGTGTTTCTGATCTGATGCATTCGCGTGCGTATAAATAGAAGTCTATGGGGAGAAAAGCCCAGTGTGACCGCAGCTTCACTAGGTATACTTGAAACACCCAGGCAGGTGTGTTGAGGCAAGTTTGAGCTAAACCCTGCAGGGCACCTGACCTCCAGGAACGAGATTGGTGACCCCTGTAGTATACTAAAGCAAGAGGGCTATTTTTTTTAAAACACACACATAAAGTTGAAGTCAGAATTATTAGCCCCCCTTAAAATGTTTTTTTCCTTCTAAAATATTTCCCAAATAATATTTAACAGAGCAATTCAATTTTCATAGTATGTCTAATAATATTTTTTCTTCTAGAAAAAAGGCTTATTAGTTTTAATTCTCCTAGAATAAAATGCAGTTTTACATTTTTAAAAAAAACATTTTAAGGTCAAAATTATTTGCCCCTTTAAGCTGTATTTTTTTCCCGATAGTCTACAGAACAAATCATTGTTATACAATAACTTGCCTAATTACCCTAACCTGCCTAGTTAACCTAAGTAAGCTTTTAAACGTCACTTTACGCTATTTAGAAGTGTCTTGAAAATATCTAGTAAAATATTATGTACTGTCATCATGGCAAAGATAAAATAAATCAGTTATTAAAAATTAGTTATTAAAACTGTTATGTTTAGAAATGTGTTGAAAAAAAAATCTTCTCTGTTAAACAGAAATTGTGGAAAAAATAAAGAGGGCGTCTAATAATTCCAACTCCGACTGTATATAAACATACTTTTTAAAATATATATAATCTTGTTGGTTTTTGAGGACTCCTTATAGCCATATTTTAGGCCTCTTAGGGATACTGAGATATCCTAAGATTGCTGTAATAATGTGCAAAATTGGCACACCAAACATGTCTACAATTTATTAGTTTCTAACACTCCATCTCTTCTAAACATATCCTTCTTTTTTTTTTAGCTCACGGCTCAACTACAATGCAATTTGAAAAGCAAACCGTCAGTCCTCTTCTCTCCCTCTCCAATGACCAGCGCACGATAACATTCCAGCCCAAACGCCAGCGTCAGTTACCCCCCTATGACTCGGAACGCTTTGACAACTTGCCTAATGCCCTTTGTTCCCCTTCTATGTCTTCTGGTACTCATAGCTGGGTAGTTGACGTAGGCACAAGCGGTGCCTTCAAAGTAGGCATATGCTATGCCAGCATAGAACGCAAGGGGTCTGGCAATGAAGCTCGACTGGGCTATAACACAAATTCATGGGTGCTCTCGCATTATGATGGAGACTTGTCTTTCTGTCACAATGGATGCAGTGTGGCTATTTCATTGGCTAAGAAACTGAAGAGAGTGGGACTTCTGCTGGATTGGCCCAGTCAGACTTTGCTGTTCTATGATCCAGAATCTATGTCTGTGCTGCATGTAGCTAGATATGCTTTCAGAGAACCACTGCTAGCTGCCTGCGCTGTGGCTGATCAGAGCATCTCTATAGTGCACTGAACACTGGATGAATGGTAATATTAGGATGTTGAAGGAATGGATCAAATGTTATATGCAATGGTTTGAACCAATATATGCAAGAATATGCAACAAGAGAAAGTGTAAATCAAGCTGTTTAGTTTTTTACATACCAGTAATTTCTATATTTTGCCAAACTGCTTACAAGCACATCTTTAAAATGTTTTTTTACATTTTACATTTTTTATTAAAAATTTTAATTTAAATGCGTATATGTATTGTGTAAGTAATAATTCCCCATCTCTATTACCCCAAAAAGTGACATTGTTTTAGTCATTATCTATATTATTATATAAAAAAAGTTTGATTTGTCAATGCTTAAACTCAAAATTCCTGACACTTTTATTTGACAAGCTTATTTTAGAGTTTCTATGTGAGCATGATATCATGGCTCTGGTGTCCCTGCAATTCACAAGAAACAGAACCGCCATGTAAACATGCAAAAAAAAGTTAATTTGGAATAATGTTACCATTTGCCACGTTCCATTTTTAAGGTATATTTAAATACAGTAACTTTTTAGGGGTGGTTATCTGTAAGAGATGAGACCTATATAATAACAATAACAAACTCCTGTTAATAACTGTTGCATATTATCAAAAAAGTCCTAAATCTCCTTCAATTTCCTAGAAGATGATAACAAAACTTGATAAAGAAATTTGGCAAAATTAGCATTTGTTCTGCAATTTTCTTTTCTTATTGTTTAATTTTATTGTTATCAATTTTAGGACATTTTAGGCATGAATAAATTAATGTACTGTCAAATTGGCAGAGTGCTTTTTTTTACTCATTCCCATAAACAGTGTGCAAAACGAACAAACACAACAAAGGTACGTTTTTGTTGAAGATTGAATAATGTATAAATAAATTATGTAACAAATGTATGCAATTCAAATGTAGCATTTAAAAACAAAATATATAATCTATAAATATCCAAGTTCTTGTCTACTGGGGAAACAAGAACACGTACAGAATTCAGATTTTAATTATGTTTACATATTAAATTTTAAGATTACATCACTGTCCCCACTAGAGGGAGGCAGAGGAAAATATTCTGTATTACCACGGTCACAGTCTAGAGACTTTACTCTCACTGCAAATAAATTGATTCACAAGCACAATTGCCAAAATAGAATTATATTTGCTTTGTTTTTACATTTATTTATTTTTGAAAAGCTTGATTTCTGCAAGGATTTCATGTTAGAAACCAAACAAATGTAAAATGTTTCTTCTTTAAAGTATTGTATCCCCATATTGGCTTTTCATATTCAGGTAACAGAAGGAACCTTACAGCACTGCATCAAGTTGTCCGAAAAGAGGGATATCATTTTCAAAAAACAATGGCAAATTTCTTTTTACAAAGCATATCTTAATTTAGGGGATCATCTCTAATGATTCAGGTTACACAACATTTTTGCCATTATTATTTTGTATTATTAATTTAGACAATTTATCTCAATATGATTTATAATAGCATTTTTTTTTACTCATGCACTTGTATACCTCCAGTGCATGTTATCAAGAGGTCAATGTTAGTGCAGTATAAATATCTTGAAAGACACAGATACCTTTTATATAAAACTTTTTACGTCAGAATAACTTTCTTTAGATTTATGTTTAGGCCATTGCAGGTGGAAGAAAAGGAGTTATATGTAAGTGGTAAGCTCAAATAAATTTCCTTCTGTTATTTAGAAATAGTATGATTTTGAAGATGAGTTCTTGATTGATGCAATTAGACTAACTGGGGGTTCCTCAATGTTTAGCTCGTGTCTGAGTTCATCAAGAGTCTGCTCCCAGCGCCGTTCATAGTAGATGCTCAAAACACATCTTGCACGACCACCATTGCGCAGGGCCCAAAGTCCAAGAGACTGACCGAGCAACTGTAGGCGGCTGCAACAGACAGACAGTGCAATGTTAGGAATTTTCATTCAATTAGCATACAAGTACAACAAATACCATCAACTGTATAAAAGATATTTTACATTACTGTAGATGACCCTTTGAAGGAAAACAGGAAAATGTGCTTAAATATTTAGTTATGTCCAAAAAATTATATATATACACACACAAACACCAGCCACTTTATTAGGTACACCTGTCCAACTACTCGTTAACGCAGATCTTAATGTTAATTCTAATCAGACAATCACATGGCAGCAATTCAATGTATTTAGGCATGTAGACATGGTTAAGACGATCTGCTGCCGTTCAGCTTGTGCATCAGAGTGGAGAAGAAAGGTGATTTAAGTGACTTTGAACATGGCATAGGCGAGACAGTGGCGCAGTAGGTAGGGCTGTCTCTTCACAGCAAGAAGGTCGTGCTGGTTCAAGCCTCGGCTGGATCAGTTGGCGTTTCTGTGTGGAGTTTGCATGTTCTCCCTGCGTTTGCGTGGGTTTCCTCTGGGTGCTCCGGTTTCCCCCACAGTCCAAAGACATGCGGTACAGGTGAATTGGGTAAGCTAAATTGTCCATAGTGTATAAGTGTGAATGAGTGTGCATGGATGTTCCCCAGAGAAAACATATGCTGGATAAGTTGGCGGTTCATTCCATTGTGGCGACCCCAGATTAATAAAGGGACTTAGCCGAAAAAAAAATGAATGAATGAATGAATGAACACAGCATGGTTGTTGGTGCATGATGGGCTGTTATAAACTCCTGATCTACTGGGATTTTCACACACAACCATCTCAGGGTTTAAAGAGAATGGTCCGAAAAAGAGAAAATATCCAGTGAGCGGCAGTTCTGTGGGCACAAATGCCTTGATGATGATAGAGCTCAAAGGGTAATGGCCAATCTGGTTTGAGCTGATAGAATGATAGAAAGCCAACAGTGACTCAAATAACCACTTCTTACAACAGAGGTGTGCTGAAGAGCATCCTGGAATGCACAACACATCGAACCTTGAGGGGCTACAGCAGAAGAAGACCACACCGGTGCCACTCTTGTCAGCTAAGAACAGGAAACTGAGGCTACAATTTGCACAGGGTCACCAAAATTGGACAATAGAAGATTGAAAAAACGTTATCTTGTCTGATTTGTCTCGATGGTAGGGTAAGAATTTGGCGTCATCAACATGAAAGCATGAATCTATCCTGCCATGTGTTATTGGTTCAGGCTGGTGGTGATTATGTAATTGTGTAGGGGATGTTTTCTATACAATTTGGGCCCATTAGTACCGAATGAGCATTGTGTCAACACCACAGCCTACTGATACTGTTGCTGATCATGTTCATCCCTTTTGATGGCTACCTCCAGCAGGATACCACGTCATGTCATAAAGCATGAATTATCTCAAGACTGGTTTCATTATCATGACAATGAATTCACTGTACTTAAATGGCCTCCACAGTCACCAGATCTTAATCCAATAGAACACCTTTGGGATGTCAACGTGGACCAAAATTTCTGAGGAATATTTTCAGTACCTTGTTGAATCTTTGCCACAAAGATTAAGGCAGTTCTGAAGGCAAAAGGAGGCCCAACATGGTACTAGTAAGGTGTACCTAATATAGTGGCCGGTGAGTGTATATACAGAAAGGAGTTGTGGTGAAATATAAATGTAAATAATATTGTGAAACATACATGGATAATTCACCCAAAAAGTGTACACAACCTCAAGTAGTTCCAAAGGTTTATGAGGTTTGTTTTTCAGTTGAACACAAAAGATCTTTTTGTTACCCTTTAAAACATTGAAAAAGAAATATAATGGAGGTCAATGGTTACAGGTTTACAACATTTTTCAAAAGAACTTTGTGTTCAACAGAAAAAGACAGTCAAACAGGTTTGTGGAGTATGATTAAATAAAGAAAGAATATACAGTTTTGGGTGAGCTATCTCAACCTACACAACATGTTCTTGAGAATACTTTTGTGGCATATGACATGAGGTTTATTATAGACAATAGTCATGATAAACTAAAAGGCGAAATATTAAGTAATTTCTTATTTATCTGCCAGATACAGTAACAATTACTGCGGAACATACAAACCGTTTTCTAACATTCACAGAGAGAATGTCCTACACTACGAGGAAGGAGAAAGCTAGTAGTGTACAAAACAAAACAAAAATAATGACAGAACTAAGATTAACATAATGAAACCTTCCACAATGATTATAATGAAAGATGAACGAAAACAAAAACTAACATACAAATAGAAAATGTGAGTGAGTCATGGTTGTAATCACAGACAAATTTTGCAGGAAAGTCAAGTATGCATTTGCCGTTTCCCTGTTATGGAAAATTCCATTTAATTATACAGTAGTCAACATTCGAAGTGAATCCAAAATGTTTTCAAAATTGTCCTACAGTAGGACAGTAATGGGTTGTTGTTCAATAGTTTTATAACAACTTTGATGAAAGGTAATGATTCACTTCATATGTTGACTAATGTAAAAACAAACTTCAGCACGTAAAATTGTCATGAACAATTAGCTGTTTTAATAGATAAAAACTTAACCAAATGAAAATTTGGTAGAACATCTACATAAAAATGACTTCAAACAGTTATCACAATAATGTTAACTTAACGATTTTATTTGAATCCCTTTCTAGGGGACGAGACGTGCTGCTGAGTTGTCAAGTTTGTTCTTCATTTCTATTGCACTTTTACAATAAAGAATGTGTCAAAGCAACTTAACATAGACAAAAATTTAAAAAAAGGAAACAAATTGTTAAATGTTCCAGTATATCAAACACGCAGAAGGGTTGTGGTAGAATTCTGGTTAGATTTAGAATTAGATTAGATTAGTTTGATACAAATGTGACTGTTGAAGCATGATCTACCGTTATAGCAACATTACGCCACATTGCTATCCACAGAGCCTGAAAACCTAAACATTTACTGTATCTCACCTGACAGACAGTCGAAGGGGTCCAAGTGCTGCTCCCAATATACACATGGGGAGACCAGTTTGTGCAGCTTCAAACCATTTCACAGCAACCTCACCTGTGAATAAATGAATAACTATTTTCTATCCATGTTTTAAAACAAGAAAAACACTGGTGATAACACAGCTCTGATTTCGCATTTACACATTAGCATAAAATCATTTACGTGAAAACTGAACTGATGTATCAAAGATAACTAATAAAGTATAATTCTAGTAACTAAAGATTGTTCTGTATTATGCATACAGAAAATGTAATCTATAAAATGCCAAATGCTGACCTAGCATATTTGTGGGCATTCCAAGCAAAGTATGCAACAAGTCATGTACTTCACGATACCGTTGCATGACATACGCCAATTCCTCATTGTCTACAAACTTCACTTCAGCCCTCGTGTCAGGGGTGACTCTCTGAAAAAGACGAGATTCATTTCATTTGATCTACCTAGAAATTCTGTACTTGAAATTTCATGTCTTACATTTTCCTCAAGGAAACGTAGATATTCTCTTCCTAAAGTCCCATCTGGCAAGGCAGACATATTAGAAAGGTCTAATGTAGATAGGCGGATCCTTGGGCGCTCTCTAGAGGCAAAATACCAGAAATAAATATAGCTGTAAATGATTAGGAATTATAAAGGAAATAGAGAACTGTTGCACAAAGTCAGCTATGGATTTTAGCCATGTTAGTCTGTTTGGTTTGTGAGTATTCTCAACTCAATCGAGGTTTCAGGCTCAAGAAGATTTTTGTTTTTGTTTACAGGATATCAGCTTACACTAAACGCCTAACATCCACCAAAACTGGACCAATCAGCTGTAAGAAAGGTGAAATATATATAAACAGATGCTATAAAGCCACTCCCCCGTCCCCACAGAAAAAAACACATGAGCATCAAACAAGTTTCAAAAGTGAAACATTTTTGCTTTGGAAAAATGACCATTTAGTTCCTGACCTGAAAATGTACTCACTATTTACAAGAATTAAACCTTTAATAACTCGAGATTTGTGTGATGCTGATATGAATTTTCTGTAAGGACATTTATATTTTAAAAATGTGTCAAAAAAAATAAAACTGCACATAAGATCGTAAAGTTGTTAATTGCTTCTAATGTTTACAAATAATGATTATTATCTATGATTTAAACTGCATATATTTATGTAAATTGCATTCAATATTGAACAAATTCATCTAAATATATAAAACATTTTAACATATTGTATTATTCAGATGGTCATGATTCGCACTCATTGAATAGTTGCTTTGTAGTTTTAATTTTACATTCTTCAGGTGATACAAAACACAGACGTTTCGGCACGATGCCTTCCTCAGTGTGACACAATCCTCTCACTCCACCGTTTTGTCCCACAGTCAGTCACATTGCGTTACTAGTTAGACGGCCACTCGATAATTAAAAACAATCTCATTTTCATATATCAATATACGATGTAAAAGTCATCACGTCAGTTGAAGTAGCGAATTAGAAAACTTAATTAGATGACAAGATATAACTTTGGCAGTAGCAAGACATTTTATAGATTTTGGACTAGACGTTAAACAACTAGATAGCATAGGAATCGAAGAAGTATTTGAGTCACATAGAGGAGGTAATCTGAATAAAAGATTATTACAAAGAGAAGCGATCTGAATTCAAAAATTAAAATCACTTACACCAAGAGGAATGAATGAGAAATTGAACCTTTCTGTGTTTCTTTAACAGTTTGTTGTTTAGCTGTAATATTGTAAATCATGGATTTTGAAGATGTAATGATACAAATAATGAGATGAAAATGTATTTTTTTAATGTTTTGGACTGTAGAAATTTAATTGCATCAATGTAGACATGAATAAGTAAATGATGATAATTGATATGCTATGAAATAATGTTTTGAAGGTGAAGGTAAATATTTCTTGTGTGGTTAATTATGGTATATTGAAATGAAAATGAGATTGCTTTTAATTATCGAGTGGCCGTCTTACTAATAACGCAATGTGATTGACTGTGGGACAAAACGGTGGAGAGGATTGTGTCAAACACTGAGGAAGACATTGTGCCGAAACGTCTGTGTTTTGTATCACCTGAACAATGTCAAATAAAAACTATACAAAGCAATTATTTAATGAGTGCAACTCATGACCTTATGAAATATAAAATTTTCTATTTATATTTTAAACACTTCTATGTTAAGGTGCTTTGACACCATCTACATTATAAAAGTGCTATATAAACAAACATGAATTGAATTAAATGGTCTCTACAGTTAATCAAAAACTCAGAATTACACCCAGAGAATGTCTACAAAGAGTGTTATGATCTAAACCTCCTCCAAATGCCAGAATTCATGCAACAGACCACAGGTGTCATTTATGGATGCTGCGAGTACTAATTTTAATAAAACTATTCAGAGTAAATAAATGAGACATACAGAAGAATAGTAGAACCTTCAGGGTCATTTCTCATCCGATCTCTCAACTTTATTAGGGTCTGGTGCCCTGTGGTTTCTCCAAGCACTGCAACCATATCTGTTTTAACACAATAATATAAACACAGTGTATGATTCATGAATATTACTGTACACCTTAAGACTTATACTAGCGTTCACCACTCTTACACCTTTTAAAACTGTTTGTTATGGAATGATGTTTGGTTACGGTCGGCATTTAAAATCTGGGAACCAACGTACTTAGGGAAGCAAAAAGTTTACAAAATGATTATGTTGTTTTACAGAAAACTCATTAAAACAATTGTGGACTTTCCACTCACTGAGACCGAAAAAGAAACTAATAGGTGTTGTTTAAAGAAGCTAAATATGCATTCAATACTAGTGTGACATCATACTGTGGTCATACAGTAGTTAGTGTAAAGCTCAAATGTAATGAATAATCAATGAATGCCTCACCATGTCTATAGGGGTTTTTAAGGGCAGCAACTCCGGAACCTACAGCCAAAATAGCCTTCTGAACAGTGCTTGTTGGAATGTGGCTTGGATACAATCTTCCATCATACTTCTCTTCGGTGAGTACTGAGAACAAGAGAGAAAGGTATCTTAAACTTTATTCATGTGTTAAAAGATGTTGTATTATGGCAGCTTATAATGAGGGAAAAGGACATCTTTAAGATTTGTGCAATAATAAACAAAAATTTTTAATGTCTTATTATTTCTTAATGCTTGTCAGTGGTCAAATTCGACATTCGTGTTATTGTGCCAACTATAAAAAAGAAAAAAAAAAAACCGTCCTTTGATGCAGCTGACAAAAAAAGAAATGCACGAGCTGATATAATCTCAGATATACCCTCTATTTGTAGGGTTCCCACTCATTTTGAGCTGCACTTAAAAGTTTAATGTGTACATAAATAGCTCTGCGCTAACCTCAGAGAACTAGCCGCCATCTGTAAAGTGATGTCAAATGACGCGTCTGCCTGAAATCGGGTTTATGCGATTTACCAGGACTTCAAAGTCAGATGTCTGACTAACGTTCGCGGCATTCAGGAAGTGTGAAAACTCCCTATTAATTTGCAAATTTTTTTTAAACGCAGCATATAAACTGTCACAATTCTAAGTTAGTTAGCCATTGAGCTACTAGCAAGGTCAGACATTTTATTATGAAGTACGCTGGCTACACTCTCAATGTAGAACATTACATTTGTTAGGGAACTAATTTTTTTAAATTAAAATACCTCCGTATAAACGTTGACTTAAATATCCGTAAGAGGTTTTAAAAGAACCAAGGAAAGCACCCGGTAACCCCCGCATCATCAGTTACAGGAACTGGTAACGTTATGGCAAGCTGATTGAGCATGTAGTAGAATGTATGTAGTATGATTTTAATTGCTCCTTTTTCGTCCACATGGCCAGCATGCAGTGGAGACATCATGTGCACTAGTCAGGCACCTAAAGGTCCCATGGAATTAAAATAAATAAAGATATTTATACGCTAGTGTGCCCTAAAACAGTGACAAAATTCACGTTTAGAAGATAGAAGATAAAACTGATATAAACATGTAAAGCTCTCTCATCACATTATAATCAATCAAACGCTCTCTTGCCACTAACATGCCCCGCCCCCTTCAAGACGCTTTTTATCTGCTTATCATTTGATGCACCTGCTCAACCACTCTCACTGTCAGAGCTATGAAAACAAAACACGATTGGCTATTTTTTAGAATATAAAATAATAAATAAATAGATTTTATATATATATATATATATATATATATATATATATATATATATATATATATATATATATATATATATATATATAATTCCCTTTATTAATCTGGGGTCGCCACAGCAGAATGAACCACCAACTTATCCAGCAAGTTTTGACTGTGGGGAAAACTGGAGCACGAAGGCAGGGAGAACATGCAAACTCCACACAGAAACGCCAACTGAGCCAAGGTTCGAACCAGCGACCTTCTTGCTGTGAGGTGACAGCTCTACCAACTGCGCCACTGCCTCGCATATATATATATATATATATATATATATATATATATATATATATATATATATATATATATATATATATATATATATAAAGTCTTTTATATATAGATATGTTTTTTATGTTTAATGTTAAGAGAGACTGCCAGACTGCCACATTAAGCGTGACGTAATTAAGCGTGACACGCCTCATGACATAACGACGTTTTTTTTTTACAGTACTTGGAACTATTTGGTGAGTAACTTCTTCGTGTTTGTTCGTGTTTTCGACGTTCCTATTCCATCGAGTTCGTTACAATTTACTAGTATTTGAAAAGTCTGCGTAGTGTGGTGGTGCTGCTGCGAGTTGCCATTTTTACACACTCTCTCTTGGAGAACCAGGAAACAACCAATGTACGCTTCTTTTAACTGTATGTTGATTATTTATATATTTTATTTCGATTAACAGATTAATTTGTGGTCGCTATTATATGCCACGATACGTATGTCGAGCGTAATATATAGATGGATTTTTATTTTAGCGCGATTTAATACTTGTCTGTCTGTCTGTAACGTTAACTCGGCAACATATTTTGTTTTTGAAATGTGAACGCGCAATTTACAGTTTAGGCCTAAAGTCAGTTAACTTCGGACAAACATGGGATATTTTTGTGAGCTTATTGTTTAAGTTGAAGCGATACTATTGGCTGTTTAAGGTTTAAAACTTGCGCTAAAGTCATATTTTACATAGTAATCAAGCTGTTCTTATATTCATGGAAACTTGTGGCAAGCTCTAAAAAGGTCAGACTGAAACTGAAACAACCAGTTTTCAGTATAATAAGGAACTAACGACTGTTGTTCAAATTTTTATAGTTTACTCACAGCATGGTAATAACAGTAATTAGAATTCTTAAACATTTTCTTGAATAAATGTCAGTTGTTGACTTGGCCATGTCTGTCTGTCTTTCTGTCGGTTTAATAAAATTAAGAGTAAACTGTTGTTTTGTTTACTTCTTTTATTGTTGACTTATTCAATTTATAAACTATAGCCTGCTAGTTTTTATAGCCTACTTTATCTTACGTTATTATGTTTGTTTTTACAATATTTCATTAACTTTGCATTGTTTTCTGTCACTTTGAAACAACTTTTAAAGGAATCATATGCTGTGATTTTTCATGGTTTGTTTTTTAATTTTTTTATGTGAATTACAAACTGATCTAACACATTCTCACTATTATCCTCAAAAACGAAAGCCTCAAACCCAAAAGATATTCATTTTAAAGTTAAGACTTGCCCACACCTATTCAAAATGCAATGTTCAAGCATGTCACAACTCGGCGACTCACTCAGTGGGAAGCTTGTCAACACACTGCCCTAATATACATGCAAAAAAGAAGAAACTTACATTCTTGCTGTAGTTTTGTTGCCACCATAATGTGGAGGGACATCAGTGTTTTGTGAGGAAAGAAAATATATCTTGTTTGTATAATAAAATGTTAATACCAATCTATTATGTTATATTCGGGTCACTCTAGTAAAGTTGATTGATCATCTTGGTCATCTGCATTTTCTGGATCTGGTTTAGCTTTGAATTAATAATGTAACAAGGGTGTAATGCACTGGATGGCTGGCCAATCAAAGCATACAATGATTATTAGAACAATGAGTTTTGTAAAGCTTGGCATTTTTCTAAAAGGTCAAGCAGAGATAAGCTGCAATATGGAATGTAATTTTTTTTAACCTTAATTTTAAGACGTTGCACTACACCAAATAATATTTTTTAGTCACGTCATATAACCCTCTTAAAATTGGGCAGGAATGCTGAAAATGATCCATAATAAATGAATAATGCCATAATGCTAGTTGCTAGTATTGTAATGATTATGGGTATTGACATTAATAGTAGCAAATATGAAAAAGATATACTTACACAAGAACACACTGACATAACAGTGTCTATTTACTATGTTATTAAATTATATTAGGTCATATTTTCAGTAAAAATGAGAGAAATTCATGTTGAAATCAAGTTGTGGTCTACGTTTTTACAGATGATCAGCGCTGCAGGCACTCTGTGTAAATGGAAGGATATGGAACGTCCATCTTTACCATCTTCTCTGGACTCAACATTGCCTGGGATATCTCGAGAAGTGCTGTCGGTGTCCATGGAACCGAAATATCAATGCCAGCAGTGCAAAGATATTCTTAGGAAACCTTTCCAAGCACAATGTGGACATCGCTTCTGTGTGTTCTGTTTCAAACAACTGACCAGGTACCCAGAGCAACTCTCTGCCTCATGCTCTGCTTTATTTCTTTCCTCTCCATGGACATTCCCAATCCTTTTAATTTCTCGCTGGCTGTAGCTAAATTGTTGACCCACTCTTTGCCTCTTAATCTAAAGCCTGGTTTATACTTCTGCATCAAGTGACCGGCGTAACCAATGGCGCATGCAACGCGCGTAGCTGTGCATTTATACTTCTGCGCGCTGTCTCTGTTGGTCTGCATTAACACTTCCAAAACGCTAGTTGGCAGTGAGGTGTTAATGTTCCTCTGTGTCGAGTTTCTTCACCTGTGTTTTGTTCTTTCTGAACGCTTCTGGGATGTACAAATGGCTCAAACTCCCTCATTTTGAGGCAGGAACCGGCGGATGTGCAACTATGAGCTAAACACAAAACAAAACTTTCCATCAGGAGCTCCTTTGCGGGACTCCACACTTGTAAACATTCGCTCCATTGGGCTCGCGCTACTCGCGCGGCACTCGGTCCAGCCCAGACTCGTCAGCGCTACCAAGCCGACTAATCACAGAGCTTGCGCTACGCGTCGTTGCGACGTGTAGTTACATTTTTTGAGAGGTGCACGTCAGCGACAGCCACGGCGTAGGGCTATGAGTCAGCGCCGTAGCATACGCGTGCGTTTGATGCAGAAGTATAAATCAGCCTTAAATGGTACTCCATGCATATGGATATACAGTCTTCACTATAAACTATAATAACAAAATCTTCCCTCTTCCCTGGATTTATCATTTTCAGTTTTTGAGCTTTACCTTGCTGTTACCTATTTAGCTGTTGTTGATGTCAACGTTTATTTCATGAACGATGCCGATTTGCATTTTTTTTTCCATTTATTTTCTGTTTTTCTTGTTAAGTGGTAAATGTACTCTCTATGAGTAAATGAACATGCTCTATGGCTCAATCATGTGATTGTCATGCACGTTTATCTATAAAACTGGCTGTGAATCTTCAGTGCATGTGTTCAGCTGGAGCAGTGTTTAATACAAAGGGCCATAGCTCTCTGTCAAACTACGGAAAAAATGGTGTGCAAAATCATCATGGAGTTATCAATTCGCTAATAACTACATTGTAATATTGACAGCTGTTTGGCTACATTCCCTGTGAAATACACAAAGATCAATATTTGTTGATGTTAATACATTTTTTTTTACATGAGTGTGTTTTTTTACATGTGTTTGTGCTGCCTCTGCACAGTGTTTTGGTACATCTGTGCCCTTCAGGCTTTCTGTCAATATTTTATGCTTCGTTTACATACTTTGTATTTTAAAATTATTACACTGAAGTTTAAATTGTAATGCAGTTTGTATGCTAGTCGGGAACACATAACTGCTTATTATTAGTGTATAATAATTAGAAAATGAAGTAATTATTGAATGATTTTGCTGTATAAAGCTGTACAAGTCCTGCAGCACCACAGTTTCGAAAGGTAACAGAAATGTCTTACAGCAGTGGTTCCTAACCTTTTTTTGATATTATTGAGGACCCCCTCCACATTTAATGATATAATCGCTCATAAAGGTTTGCAGTAATGAAGACCAAAAATGTTTTTTGTAACTTACAATATCTGCCTAAATACAGATTCAGGCAAACTAACAGTGCTGGTACTGCTCGATCTCAGTGCCGCATTTGACACTTTCGATCACAGCATACTTTTGAATAGGCTGGAAAACTGGGTTGGGCTGTCCCCAACTGGTTCAGATCTGACCTTGAAGGGAGGTTACAATATAAGTATAGGTGACCGGTTGAGGTAGGTCGAGGTAGACAACCATGACATGTGGAGTTCCACATAGCTCGATTCTGGCACCTCTCCTGTTCAACCTTTACATGCTCCCTCTGAGCCAAATAGTGAGAAAAAAACAAATCTCCTACCACAGCTATGCTGATGACACTCAGATCTACCTAGCCCTACTGCCTAATGACTACAGTCCCATTGACACCCTCTGCCAATGCATTGATGAATATAACAATTGGATGTGCCAAAACTTTCTTCAGTTAAACAAAGAGAAAACTGAAGTGATTGCATTTGGGAACAAGTATGAGGTTCTCAAAGTGAATGCGTACCATGGCTCTAAGGGTCAAACAACAAAATGTAAGGTCAAGAATCTTGGTGTGATTCTGGAGTCAGATCTGAGTTTTAATAGTCATGTCAAAGCAGTTAGTCAATCAGCATACTATCATCTCAAAAACATTGCAAGAAGATGCTTTGTTTCCAGTGAAGACTTAGAGAAACTTGTTCATGCTTTCATCAGCAGCAGGGTGGATTACTGTAATGGCCTCCTCACTGGCCTTCCCAAAAAGACAGTCAGACAGTTACAGCTCATCCAGAATGCTGCGGCCAGGATTCTGACCAGAACCAGAAAATCTGAGCAGATCACACCTGTCCTCAGGTCTTTACACTGGCTCCCAGTTACATTCAGAATAGATTTTAAAGTATTATTACTTGTCTATAAATCACTAAATGGCCTAGGACCTCAATACATTACAGATATGCTCACTGAATACAAACCTTACAGATCACTCAGATCTTTAGGATCATATAAACTAGAAATTCCAAGAGTTTAGTCAAAGCAGGGTGAATCATGTGCACCAACAGTAGGCACATTTAAATCAAGACTGAAAACACATCTGTTTAGCTGTGCCTTTACTGAATGAGCACTGTGCTACGTCCGCAGTTTAGATTGCACTATTATGTTTTTATCTTCTTTTTCATTCTTTTATAACACATTTTATCTGTTTTTATGTTTTGTTTCATTATTTTTATTATTTGTTTTTATTTTTCTTATACCTGTTTCTTTTATTACTGTTTATCTAAAGCACTTTGAATTGCCACTTTGTATGAAATGTGCTATATAAATAAACTTGCCTTGCTTTGCTTTGCCTTACATAACAGCTTTATTGATTAATTATTTTTTTAACTTCTTTAAAAGTGCAAAAGTTAATTTTGAATTAAAAAAAAACTTTAATTAAATTTAATGACCATAATTAACTTAGGGGCCAGTCATCTACAGTAGCACATCTTTACATGTGCAAGTTAATTGTTAATATCAATAGAGGTGCGTGGCTTGCGCACACATTTTGGGAGCCACATGCCTGACTTCACCTCTAGTTTTTTTGACATTGACTTGGTATATCCCAAGGTTAAGTAAGGTGTCATATTCTGTTATAGGGAGTTGTCTAAACCACAATTTTCACTCATTAAGCCATCCGTTTTTGACTTGGTACATTTTGCAAATCAAGTCAAGTTACCGGCATTTGCAAAGTGCTTTATCCAATGTAGATTGTGTCAGCTGCTTTACAAGGATGAAACTTATAAAAAGTTGGATAACATTTTTTTTTAGTTCATGGGTCTGATGGAATATATAAATCAGGTAGAAGAATAGAGCAGAATGCTGTTAAACGGTCACTGTTAAAGGACAATCCCCTGAAGTGCAGATCTACCAATGGCAAATAATTAAAACTCCACCAATTGACAGAAATGGAGAAAAAAACCTGGGCATAAGCCAGGCTTAGTCAGGAACTAGTCTACTAAAAGGTTGATAGCCTTGTGATTGATGAGCTCTGTTATGGCAAAGGTGCAGGCCTCAAGTATGTCCAAAGTGAGTGTTCAGACTAGCCAAAGGGATTAAAGTAAAGGACTTTTTCCATCACATAGGTCTTTGCTGAGAATCAGTCTTGTGGATTTGACTAACCAATGTCCTCTAGTGGAAAGTGATGTTTGCAAATTTACAGCATATTTTACCATGCTAGCTATAGTAGAGCGGTCTAGGAGACCCTTTTAAAACTAGAATAGTAGAAAGTAAGGAGTATGTAATTTTGGTAAAAGGAAAAAAAGCAGCTCACACTGCTGTGTTGCCGTTTTTTTTTTAGTTACTGCTGGAGGGCCTGCAAAAAGAGAGTTGGAGTAATTTAATTGAGATGCAAGCAGCTACTGCTGGATAAGAAGAAAAGTACAGTTCATCAGCACAGAAAGAACTGCCATGTTTTTGAAATACATATACTAGTGATCTGTAGATAGTAATGAGGAGTGGTCCTCATACCGAGCCCTGAGGCATCTCAGTGGTTAGATGTTGCGACTTATACATCCCAACCTTAAGACCAAAAGCAATGGACTGATCCAATAATATTAGAGCCAATGATTTTGAAAGCTGCTTTAGAGCTTTAGAATTTGGGAGAAAGGCAGAAGGGTTTATCTGAGCCTGGTTTAATGCTAAAGAGCATGAGGGTGAAGAGATGTGATAATTACAACTATATGAGTAAGTGAAGACACAACTAAAGGAGAAAAGGATATGAGATGGGAAATGTGTATGTTTATGTTTAGGTTATTTCTGCAATAGTTAGCTTTTGAATGTAAGAAAATAAATGCCATCAGTGAGAAGAGATCATCATTCATGGTGTACTTGATTACTATAGTCATATTGTGTTTGATAATTTTTTGATAGTATGACAAATGTGTGACATTATATCATGTGTATTAAAAATGAATGATGTTTTGTAATGAAGTACATGGCTTTCTAGCCAACTGGAAGGATAAGGCATAGAAATGAATAAATATTCAAATACTTTTTATAAATAATGATAAAACGTACACTGGTAGCCCAACATGGCCAAAACACCGCCAACGGTGAAAGCAAAGCAATACATAAGCTCCAGGCTCTCATTTTCTTCTGTCGTCATTATTGCTTTTATGCTTCAGCTTCGCAATAATGCCCTTCACGCCCTTGTGATACAGTTGTTTAATGTTCTTTTTAAAAAGTATTTGAATTTTAAGAACTGTTTAACAACAAACTGTTTTGTTGTTTCTGTTGCAAGAAATGCTGATATTATAGACTATATCTGTTTGATTTAACTTTTGCTATTGTCTATACTTTGAAAATTGACCGTTGGCTATAAACTAAGAGATTTGTTATTAACATTATTTTATGAACAGTGAAACTCAGATGGAGCAATGAAGTTTATAGACAGGAGGTTATGCTACAACAATACCATAATATACAGTATACACTGAAAACCCTAATAAGCTGACTGAGCTACATTAAATGAGTAAACTCGTTGCCTCAATTTAAATAAGTAATGGAGTCTCCAGAACTTGCATATTGAAGTTTATTTAACTTGCCGGTTTTGTAGACTATACATAAATTGTTCAGTTCACCAAACTTAGTACTAATATATTCACTTCTCATACTGATGGAGGGAGCGATTCGTTTGTGAATGAATCTCCGTTATGAACGACTCCTTCACTAGCCGACAAGTTTCTGGCACCGCAGCATCTCATTGTCATATTTCTTTTGCATTGTTTGCTGATTTTATTCAACAAAATTTGCATAAGCCGAGTATTTAGTTCGAGTTGGAGCTACTTTGCCTTATGGTGAATGCAGTAAATGACTGTATTATCATCAATAACGTTACCTGTTTAGCACAAAAGTTCAGAACATACAAAAACGTAAAAAACTTAATCTTACCTATGAAATGTTCTGCCTTTGTGCTTTGTTTTCTTTGTTGGCTCGTTACTACACCCGTAGACAGCGTCCCGCATCTTCACGTAATAACACTGTCTTGACTAGTGCAGTTGAATGACATTTGTCCTGTGAGCACTGTACCAATGTGGAGGCGCTATTGACGCATGCTCAGGGTCCCTATGCGATATCTAGTGTATATATATCTATGTGCTTTTCATTTGATGCACCTGAGCTCAACCACTCTCACTGGCAGAGCTATGATAAAACAAAATACTATTGGCTATTTTTTTAAAAGGGGTGGAGCTACTCTATGTCCCACCCTCTCATCATGTTTCGGTTGACATTACATCAAACATCGAATAAAAATGCATATTTGAAAGCACTTCACGGAACCTTAAATGTTCATGATTTAGTAAGTGTGGCTTTGGACAGTTGCATTTAGGATCGCCTACTGCACCTTTGAGTACTTTGTGTTTGTGTTCTGTCTAGATCTTATTCTTTTAACTGCTTTCTCGCCGAAGTAAAACAAAACACTTTATCTTTAAATCTTAATATATATACCATGAAAAAATTTTCAATTAATTTTAAACAAAAAAAAGGAGCCATTTATTTACATTATGATGAATAATTATACCTGAAGCCATTTGTTTTCTGATTAAAAAAAAAAAAAAAAAACTTCTACTTAAAAGGTTGCACATATTAGAATTTTACAGTCAAGACTACATTTGTGAAAATGACCCATTTTTTTCAAAGGATTAATAATGATTTTGAGCTCACTACAATTGAAATCTTAAGTTTATGCATTTTTATGGTACATAAGTTAAATTAACTCATTTTTTTTAGTGATAGGACCAAAATGCAACATTTTAAGTTATGTTCAGTCAACTTTACTTAATTTTTTAAGTGAAAAGAAAAATAAAAAGTAAAAAACATAAGGTTTTTCAGTGTAGTGTATAATGAAAGTATACAGTATATAATTAAATGGGTACAAAAACCTTACCGTTTTTAAATGTCCTATAGCTTATTTAAATGTCATACACGCTTTAAAGCATTCAGTCATTTCTAACCCTGTATAGAGAGTGGTCAAAAATAAAAATGCTCTGAATACTCAGCAAAATTTCTTGTAATCCTTTCCCACAAATGTAACATTTTATATTAGTGCTACTGACACTTCAGTCTTTCCGTTATTAAAGCACTTCTTGTTGCATAAAATTAAACTTTATTGCTTTACAGTCTTAATAAAAGCCAGAGGAAAAGAAAGAGCTGTCTATTAATGGTTTCCCATATCTGTGATGTTCAGAGACTGCTTGTTTGTTAGAATTGTTAGAATCTGATTATGTTTCCCATATCCTTCTCAGAGGCTGCACTGTTAAAGTTTGCAAAATATTTTTTTCATTAGCTCAGGGCCCATACCCTGCGAAGCCTGTCGTGCTGAGGGTATATTTGAAGAGGAAACGTCTGTGCTTAATATTGCAGTGGTAAGCCTTGATTCTTAAATTACACCTCCTGTAAATGTATACTGCTTTAGTTTATGGTAACTGCTGTTCATATTGTTCCTGTTCATTATGTTCCTGTTCCTGTTAAAGATTATGATATTGTTAATTGCAATGACAAAGTTACAGTAAAACAAATCCTAATTGACACATAACTGCTGGCTCTGGTGTTATGTTAAAAAGTGAATGAAGTACATTTTTAAAAGGTATTAATTAATGATACAAATGTCATGGTCTTTGACTCCCCATAGGCATTTCCTGATAATGCAGCACGAAGAGAAATTGATAGCTTGCCTGCTAAATGCCCAAATGAAGGTTGTAGTTGGTCTGGGACACTGAAGGACTTTGAGGTAAGAATTCACCCTATAGTCAGGGAAAACTACTATGGTTAATGTCGAGTTCAGACTGCACGCTTTTAAAAGTAGTCGTGTCACAGATGTTTTCACACTGCATGACTATCTTGGCTAGCGTATTGTCACTGCTGTGTTTACACTGCAAGATAGTTCAGCAACAAGAGGTTTCACACTGCATGACTTTACAATAGGAAGAATAGCCGACAACTTTGTCCAAACTACGTGTCACATCTAAAAACATGTAGTATACAGTATATATGTTATTAACTACATAATGAGAAAGAAACTTTTAATGGGGTAAAAAATATATATATTTGCTCACCTGGGGTCTCATGTATCAACGCTGCGTACGCACAAAAAATTTGCGTACGCCAGGTTTTAACGCTCAGAATCGCTCACGTTTGGATTTACTAACAATGAACTGAACGTGGGAATGTGCGCAGCTCCACGCCAGCTTTATGGCTGGCGTACGCACATTTTTTGTGCTTGTCTGTTTTATTTCCATTGGCGACTCCTAGAGGCAGTTGTGTTAAATTCCTCTCTACAAAGTGTCTGAGCCTTGCAATGGCAGCTGTATGAGACGGGTTCATCTAGCAGGTATTTAAGGTTTCCATACCATATAGTTGACCAGCTAAACATTAAAGCACAATTTGCAGCGGTCGCCTGTTTTTCCAATGTAATCTGAGCTATCTACTGCACGCACATTGCTATAAAGACACTATCTGAAGATGAATTTGCATGCGTGAATCAGAAACATTTCCATTCAATAAATGTGCAAATAAAATATGATGCACAAACTTAATATTGATTCCTACTTGTCTTTCTCGTGATAAATAGTTGGCAAAATCTGATATGTAGCGGTGGGAAAAAGAAGAAAGAGTTCATAATATGCTGGATTCGAACCGAGTTCATACTTGAACGTGTCAAAACATGTTGACATGCGTCTTACAAGCTGTGCCACTGAGACTGTAAGGGGTAATGCAACATTTTACACCTATAAATCACACTATTTCTTTTCTAATTCACTCAGTGCGATGTTCAGACCCAACTGTGTTGACCGCATCAGCTAAACTCTCCCACTCAATTTTTTTCTTTTGTTGTTAATTCCGGAGAACAAACTTGCAAATAACACCGCTTTTCTCCGGTCTACCTCCGAAAGGAGCACCTACAATTCACATTCTGTTCAAAGTTTCTCTTCTTGCTTGCTTTTGACATTGCTTTTTTCGTTGGGCTTTGCCAAAGTAGAGTCATTTGCATATTCATACGGGGGAGGAAGCAGGGAGGGGTTTTGTGCTCGTGCATGTTGCGCTCAGTTTCACGTTCATTCAGATGTACAAAAGAATATGCGTGAGATTCGGCGTACGCACTGTTTCATACATCTGAATTTTTTCTGCGCACATTGCGTACGCAATGATTTAGTATGATGACCCCTGGTCTTTGAATGGAATTAGCAATTTCTCCTCAGCTTTATTCTTTTTTGACCTGATTGTAATATTGCTCACATGACAAATTTCCACTAGCTTTTCCTCCATTTCTTGGGTCCAAATAAACTTTTGGATAAAAATTTTCCCGCTGGCCTGCAGATACCCACACTAGTGAATGCTGCTCTCTCATGGGCTGTAGGTGATTGCTGATGTTATTTTCAGTCAAAACACATTTCACACGGCATGATTTGAAAAGCAGACAGCTCCACATATTTAGCATGCCAAATATCTCACGGCGCATCTCCGGCTCATCTGCGATTCTCTCAGGTCGCGTCTTTGATAGTTCACATTGTGTGAACAAGCACCGATTTGCCTGTGATTTCAGGCAATATTTGCCGATTTCTCAAAACCTGTCGACGAGTCAAAATCGTTACAAAAATCGGCTAAAATCATGCAGTCTGAACTCGGCATAAGGCAGCAAATACTAACTAGTAACTTTGATGACCTCTTGCCTTGCCTTAGATAACCTATTGTTTGAAAAACTAAATTCATATATCTATTTGGTTTATTTGGAAAAGATTCTATGACTTTTTGGAGAATCTAAATGGTGACTCTTTTCTTGAACTTATAGAGATTGAAAGTATATAAATTACACAAATATGTTATTGCTGTATTATTTAATATTAATATTATTATTTATTTATTTTTTCTTTCAAAGTGTGTTGTTATTTTGAATCTATATTATTCTAGCTGTTTTGTTTTTGTATTATTTATTTTAATTAAATAATTGTTTTTTCTATTACTTTTACTAAAACTTAAACCTTTGTCAATTTATATGACAGTGTTTAAAAAAAAATTGTTGTTCAAAAAAAGCATACAAACTAGTAACTAGTTTAGTTAGTAACGAAGTGTAACCTTGCTTTTAAGCAAATAGCTCGATAATAAAGTGACCTAAGCATGAGTATGCTGTCAGTTCAAAAGAAAAAAAAATTACTCAGCAATGACAGTGGTGTGGGGGATGGGTGGAAAGTCCCAAAGCTAACTGGAAAGTACCAACATTGCATTGCTTATTCAAAAGCTAGGAGTTTTTCAAATCATGTACAGGGTACTTTTTATGACTAAGTTAAAAGCATGATCACCCACTGTTTTACCTTTTTGCATAGCTATAATTAGAATTTTTTTTATTTTTATTTTTATTTCATTTTACACTTGAGGAGCATTATTTTCTTAGCCAAAAGATTTTGTAATATTTTTGTTAGAATTGTTAACAAATTCCATCAATTGAAATATGTTTTGTTACAAGATATTTATAACTTGTGAACCTATGAGATTTGGATTGCTGATGCATGTACTTACCAAGTGTCTTGTATCCAAAAAGCTAAAGATGATGTATCATCAAAATTGCCTTGGTTTAGATAATTTTTTCCTCTGCTTAGCTTGTAAAAGTTTTACATACTTTTCTTGTTGCCAAACAGTTTATGATTACATTTATGATTGTAGGTTGTCAGACTATATGAACGTGTATACAGTGTATAAAGAGAAAAAATGGATGCACACAATAAGACTCATCCAGTGTTGTTTACCATTAATCAAAAATAAAATAATAAATGTCATACAAAAATGTCAGAATTTTAAACTAATCCCCTTATGAATTCTATGTCTGTGTTGTTGAATGAGATACTGTGTCTGATATCTGAAGTGTGTTTTTAAAGAGCTTTTTGCTTTTTTCTTTTTGTTTGACTCAATAAGTTTGTGTTCTCATTGTACTTGTTGTACCCCCCTTTTATCAGTTTGGTTTATTGGTTCTTGGTTAGTTGTTAAAGTTGCACTGCAGGAAAGTGTCTCAAATCTTCTGACAGTGTCAAGAATTTCTTTGGAAGAAGAATTTTATTGAAATGGCCATTATTCATCTGTCAGTCAAACCAGCATTTAAAGACTACAGATTTTAGCCCTGGATTATATGAAGCCTTTTTTTGGATAAAATAAAGTCTAAGACAATTAAATTGTGGTAAAAATGTTCACAGTGTATGCATATAGAAAGACATACTAACATCAATTTGTGTGTATTTGACTATTTAAGCTGAATCTGTTTTTGAAGTCTAACAAAGATATTTGTATTTGCTTATTTGAGGTGTGGATTCATTTATTTATTCAACCTCATGCTATTGTAAATGGATGTTTATAAATTTTTTTCATGTGCAATACCTTCAATTCCATGCCAGAATTTGAACTCTGGTAAGCACATTCTGTTTAGTAATTGGTGAACATTTTGTAGACCGTTACAATAGGTCACATATCAACAAATATTTTTATTTTCAGTTCACAGAGATTCAGTTCTTGGAGCATATGAAATAAAAATGGTTTAAATTTTGAGCCCTAATAAACTAGTCTTACTAGAGTTTATATATTTATAAAATCATAAACAGCCCAGGTCGGATTGCTGGTTAGGAAATTTAAAAGTGCGGTTTTTGATACTGACAGCTAGCATTTAATCAAATTCTAAATAATGGTACACACAGGTTAATGGTTACAACAGGCCATATTTGGCCATATTTTCTGTCACAAATAAATGTTGGTCAGTAATGCGTTACTGTAATTTGATAACAGTCCTTAACCATTTTATACCTCTAAAAATCTAAAACATTTTAGCCCAATTTTTTAGCATGTTATATTTGGTGTGATGGGAGGTTTTGTTTCCTTGTTCTGAGTAGCAGATATAACTACTATAGCACTTCCTACACCCTTCTATAACAGTTTAACAGACTGTTTTTTACTGTAATACAAATGTTTGACCTTTGATAGACAATCGAGAATGAGCACTAAAAGTAAACTAAACTTCAAGTTTCAACCACTAAACTTCACTATTGTTTCCTTACTGCGTAAATGTTAGGAAAAAAAAATCTATAGAAAACAAGTTAGTCAACACATCTTTATACATATCAGATATATTATTTGTATAATAATGACATATAATTTTAAATTATCACAAAAGTCAGAAATGTATAATGTGAATAGAAAAGCACTAGAAATAAAACATGTATTTTTCTATGTAACATTTTTTTACTACTAAATTTTGTTTTACTACTAAAATTCTGTAAGTTTTCTCACTTTCTTTGGTGAAACATAAAAAAGACTTTCTTTTGTAAAAATATATGCTGTTAATCCATGTAGTTAATGTAGATGCAAGCTAAAGGTTTGGAAGTTTTAAAAAGTACATTATAGCTGAACTATATTCTTATAAATAATGTAAAGCACTATGTTAACTTGCTTCAACAGTACGTGAAGTATTATAAAAAAATCTCAGGGATTTCCAATAGTTTTTGGAGATTTTTCCAGATTGTTCTTTATGGTAATACACTTATTTTCCATACTTATTTCTGTCTTTTCACTGTTTTGTTCAAAGGTCGGTATGTACTTTCATCCAAAAATGTCTTGTGACTTTTTAGTCATTTAAATACAGGAATTACAACAGGAAAAAGCACATGAGAATGTGGACAGTTTATAAATGTTGTTCAAGATAGACTGTGAATTAATCAAATGGAAGATAATTTGAGAGTTGACCTATAGTCATACACACCAGTATAATAACAGTGTTTTTTTTGTATACAACATACCCCAATCATTTGCGATATTTATGGATAATTCCTTTCCTTGACTAGAATCAACATGAAGGTCGCTGTGCCTTTGAACGTGTGAAATGTGAAGCATGTCAAGTGCTTATATTGCTCTCTGAGAAGGACCGTCACAATGAGCGGGAATGTGAAGCCAGAACCCTCAACTGTAAATACTGCAAAGTCACATTCAACTTTAAGGAAATTAAGGTAAGCATCCTAGAAGTGATGCAACTGCAGTTTTACTGTTGACTGTGGTGTACTTAATGTTTTTAGTGTCTACAGGATGTTGTAGTGTGTTTCGCTATTGTTTTTAGTCATAAACTTACTCTAAGTACCAAGATGAATAACATTTTTGTGAATAAAACATTGCATTACACATAATAAAATGTGGCTGAATTTGGGATGAAATTGTAGTTAATCCAAAACTGACCAATCTCTTTCACCATTATTTAGGCACCTATGCCAGAATATACAAACTTACACTTTTCTTACAATAAAAGTCAAGTATGACATTCAAGGAGAAAATGACAATAATCGTAGTAAATAGCAACTTACGTAATGTACCTCACATGAGTATCACATGGTTGATTGGATTACTACTATGAAAAAATTTGTCTATGTGTGTGTGTGACTGTAAACTGCAAATCCATAGGTATTAAGCAACATAAAAGAATGGGTGAGAAAACTAGTTGTTATTTCACCTTTGCTGATTTTTCCTCCTACACCTCTTTTTTTTCTGCCACAGGCCCATGATGAAATTTGTCAGAAATTTCCCATGCAATGCAAAGACTGTGGTAAAAAGAAAATACCCAGAGAGAAGGTTGGTCTGCATTCCTGTTCATATATTCTTTCTATTGTCTTTCCACAGTATTTAAAGAAGTCTTATGTGGATTTTTTGAAGGGCTAGTTCTCTTACAAATGACATTTGTTTGGTTCCAATCCCCTGAGACCTTCATTCAACTTCAGACACAAATTAAGATAATGTGTATTAAATCTGAAAGCTTCTTCATTCCTTATAGGCAGCAACTGCTTAGAGACATTCAAAGCCATGTGACTTCAGTGGTTTAACTATAATCATGCAAAGCACTAAAATGACTTTAGTGCAAAAACCACGTCATTAGGGTGCAACTTTACTATGGATTAGAGTCAGCAGCACAGCATGCACAGACGATGCTTTTGTTTTTTTTTCTGGAATTTGAATGGCAACATTGCTGTCTGTGAAGGACGAGAGAGCTCTCAGATTTAATCTGAAATATCTTAATTGTGTTGTTAAGATGAACAAAGGAATGAACAACATGAACTTGAGATATTGAAGAATATAGACATGCAAAGAGGATTCCCTGAAATTCTTATGAAATGGAAAAAATCTAAGTACAGTTTGGCGACCACAATGATGAAAGTCCTGCTTTCCAGACAGAACCCTGCCAATCGCCACACAGTTCTGTGGGGCAGTGCTCTGTACAGATTCGCTTCTTTGTTATGCCAAGCCCTGTCGTTTGGCAACTACTGTACTGAAGAAAAGACATTGCAGCACAGCACACCCCAACACATATTGTGTCTTTCCAGTGTCATCCAGTGTCTTTGCGCAGGTTTTCTCTCATTTTTTCCAGTGTTTATATCCGCGTGCTTTGGGTATTATTAAAACACCCTTAAAGGAGATTGGTGTCATGCTAATCTTTGAGCATGTGCAGTACACTACCTGATAAAAGATGTGTCGCCTATCCAAGTTTTACGGACAACAAATTATGACTTAAATTCTAGTTGATCATTTGATATCAGAAGTGGCTTATATGGAAGACAAAAGCCTCTAGATTACACTTATTGTGTTAAAATAAAATATGATCATGCTTTGATTTTTAATTATTTAATTAGAACAGTAAGTTCTGACTTTGCTTAGTAAAAAAGTCCTGTTACATAACAGAAATAATGTACAGTATCGAATATAAAGTCATGGTGCATTTAGAATGAATATTGTGTATGACTCCCATGAGCTTGGAGGACTGCATCCATACATCTCTGCAATGGCTCAAATAACTTATTAATAAAGTCATCTGGAATGGCAAGATTCTTTGGATTCATCTTCAATGCCTCCTCCTTCATCTTACCCCAGACATGCTCAGTAATGTTCATCTCTGGTGACTGGGCTGGCCAATCCCTGCACACCTTGACCTTCTTTGCTTTCAAGAACTTTGATGTGGAGGCTGAAGTATGAGAAGGAGCTCTATCCTGCTGAAGAATTTGCCCTCTCCTGTGGTTTGTAATGTAATGGGCAGCACAAATGTCTTGAAACCTCAGGCTGTTGATCTGCAGATCTCACGCACGTCCCCACACTGAATGTAACCCCAAACCATGGTTTTTCTTCCACCAAACTTGACTGATTTCTATGAGAATCTTGGGACCGTGCAGGTTCCAATAAGTCTTCTGCAGTATTTGTGATGATTGAGATGCAGTTCAACAGATGATTCATCAGAAAAATCTAGCATCTGCCACTTTTCCAAATGATCAACTAAAAGTCAAGTTATTATTTGTTGCTCTTACAACTGGCATAAATGGCAAGGCTTTTGTCAGGTAGTGTAGATTTCAGGATTCCCCCTTTGATTTAGACAGGATTTGGATCTTGGATGTACTTCTCGGTGTGCTGCAGATATGGCCATCGAGTAAACAGACTTTCCTTGAAAGGGCATGTTTATTGACAGGTGTAATTACGTTGTCCAATAGGTGTTGTTGTAGACTATCATTGGTGATTAACATAAAAAAATGGGAAAATGTGCACAAAATTAATAGGAGATGGCTGATACTATGGCTGATACTGAAAGCTTGTCGGTAAGTGGGTATGGGTTTGCGAGTGGTCAATTAGTAACAGAATTTTCAATTTTGGTTGAACTAACCCTTTAATTGGCCCTAATATTGTGTTGTACTATAATTAAATGCACCTGTTATTATGTCATGTTTTAATATACTGTAGAAATAAACTCACCTTATTTGTTTTTAATTCTTTTTTCTTCTACTTTTTTGCAGTTTCAAGAGCACACCAAATCTTGTGCAAAATCTAAGTCAGCATGCCAGTTCAGAGAGATTGGTTGCAGGGCAGTGGTATGTGTTTGTTTCTCAGATTGCACATGTACGTTCTGAATAGATGGGCTAAAGACGCTTTGAAGCAAGTTGTGAGCAAATGCCAAATTCCTCTATCAGAGATGAGACCTTTTATCAACATTTACATTTTAAACAAGTGGCAAAAGTAACGGGATGCATTAGAAAATAATAAATTACATGAAATCCAACCTGAAGTCTCACACAGAATCTTAAGTCATTTTAAGAATAGATTTGATCAAGTGGTTTTACCAGATGTCGTATTGGGCATGGTTTTTTGCTTCAAGGTGAAAACCCTACTCAGTGTTTGTGCTGCAAAACTTCCCTTAATATAAAACACATTTTACTGGACTGTCCTGCTTTTAATGATTCTAGAAGACTTTTTTTTTAAATGAACTCTTAAGGACATTTTTAACAAAGTGAAACCAGAAAAGATTTTACAATTTTTATTATGCATCAACATTAAAAATCTTATTTAATTTATGTATTCATTTGTTTGTTGATTTTAAATTGTATATTTATTATTGAAAGGTTCCTGCCATGAAGATAACCTTGGTTGCTGACATGACATTAAATAAAAAATACATTACATTACTTCTGAATAGATGGGTGGATAATATGATTTATGCTTACCACAATAAGGGCAGATTTCAGAATAGTCAGTACATTAGTTGCTTAAAAAGCCACAATGCTTTTTTTATGGTTGTAATGTTGCTGAACCATAAAGTTGCTTTGTGTCATGTAATTACGTTTAAATCATAGCTACCTTGCACTATGGAGTTGTTATTGAAGTGGCACAACTGCATACAAAGTACTTTGACTGTGTTATTGGAAATGAGTTACAAATCGACTTTGAGTTAAAGTGAGAAATTGTTAAGCACATGTCCTCTGCCTCCAGACTCTTAGTCATTTTTAAAGGCTGTCAAATTACTGCCTCTCTGTCAAAATAAGGGCATCTATTTGAATTTCTCAGGACCCAACTAAAATAGTTACAAGTGTGGGTTAGAAAAGTCCCAAACTTAAAGACATTAGGCTAGACAGTTTATCCAGTAGCCTACTGTCATTTTCATTTGTATATCATTGAAGGCCATTTTAAAATTGTAAATAACCCTCTTCCTGTGTAGACCTTACAAATTTCCCAAGTCCAAATTAAGCCAGTTGTATAGGTTTTTTTCCGGAATATGTCCTCTACTGGTCAGATAATACCATCTGAAATAAAGCATACAACTTGAGTGTAAAGGAAGATCAGTTGTGTGTGGTTGTGGTCACAAGGGCGAGGAAGACTTACAATAAATCTACAGTCTGACACACCCTGCTCTGCACTAACTACACAAGTGCTAAGCTTTTACAAAAATGAATAAGAAAAGACTTCACTTCATAAATCAAACCAAAAAATATATGCATATTTATGTGTCTTGGATTCTAGTTTCATTTATAAAACCCAGTGACATATGTCAAGCTCAAATCTGTAACAGTTACAATTGTATATACAGTTAAAGTCTGTGTTATCAGCCTTTCTGAATAATTTTTTCCAGCAGTTTCCGTTTAACAGAAAGACCATTTTTAAACATAATAGTTTTAATAATCGATTTCTTTGCCATGATGACAGCACATAATATCTGACTAGATATTTTCCAAGATACTAGTATTCAGCTTAAGGTGACATTTTAAAGGCTTCACTAGGTGATTTAGGCAAACCATTACACAACAGTGGTTTGTATGGTAGATCATCAAAAAAAAAAAAAAAAAAAAAAAAATTGCCATAAGTTAATATTATTAGTGATCTTATTAATATTGTCTTTAAAGAGGTGGTCCAGAGTGTATGTTTAAGGCTTGGTTGTGTTGATTAGATGCAAAGCAATGTGTGCTCATTAGTAATAAATCACATTATTTTTATACTTCTACTCAGCTAACATTACAATGACTGACATACCTTCTAGTTTCTCTGAAAGCCTGCCCTCAAGAGGCTCTGATTGGTTAGCTAACATAATGTGCTTCAAACCTAAATATATATGAAAAATAGTTGTCAGATTTTTTTTTTAGAGAGCAGACATGAGGTTTTGCTATGTTCTCTTCATTTTATATACAATGCAGGGTCACACTGACACAGCTGCTACACTGACTATAATAGTTCATATTAGCTGTCAATCAATCACTAAGGCTTTCCACTGTAATATGACAGGGAGCTTTTGTGACAGAGGGAAATGCAAACGGTTGAAGAGTGAAAAGTACACCGGTTTGCAAACCCCACCTAAAGTTACAAATAATGGTGCAGATGACAGCAATCATGTGGTGAATGTTAATCCTCCAGTCGAGATCAATCGAGTGTTTTTGGACAAGGTGCCCAAATCACTATGAGTTGTATTTACTACGTGTTTAACGCAAATGGCCGCTAAACGTAAAATCTAACACTGTACAAACATCATCACCAAAGAAGCTCGCCTTTACTAAGTTTAAACTAAAACTGCGGCTCATAGCAAAGAACGGTATTGCGCCAGTGGTCATCATGAGAATCCTACTCTGCCCTGCTCATATATTGGGCCGGTTGACCTGCCTGCTTTTTTCCACAAACACAGAAAAAAGAAATAGGCTTATAACGAGTCTGAGCATTAAAATGACAGAAACTGAAACCAAAATTTCTAAAGAATGGCATAAGTGAGACTTCCCTTGCTTTCTTTTGTCTGTTCTTTCTTGAGATGCATATTATTTTTCTGTTTAATTACTGATGACTGCTTTGCGGCTTTCAGCATTGAATTGAATTATTTATTATAATCTTCCATTTGTTTTGTAGCAGAAATGTTATTTATTTAAATTGTCATGCATATAAAAACAATAGTATAAAATAAATATTTCTTTATGCAATTGTTAGATTTTTCCTTAGCTTAACCATTCGTGCGTGGCTCACTATTGTATTAGATTACTCTAATACATAAAATAAGTAACCTAAAGAGACACTGCAGCGCTGCTGAAGCTTGTGGCTGTTTACAGGGGTTTGATGGATAAAGCAGTATGAATTTGTAGCTAAATTGTTAACAGTCCCAAACGGTATTTCCTGTTGTTTACGTCCTTGCTACAGCATACTGTTGACGCTAGACACTATGCATTTAATAGATCAGTACAAATACTTAAAGGTTGTGGCCCACAATCCATAGCTTATTCCATTACGGTCAGACCTGCTCCTTTATAGAGGAGTATTAGCCAAATGCATCACTGACCTGGGAGAGATTCTGGGTGCTGTCCTTTGTCAAATGCTACAGCTATATATGTATATTTTTTATAACTCTCTGGAACATAATTACAGTTAAATTGTAAGCTATTCTCTCTTCGTGTTGTGTATTTTGGAAGCCCAAATACAGAAACAGAAGAAGCTCTGTGGAAATAGCAGAGTTTGAACAGCATTTTAGCTTTCTCTGCTATAATATTACAGCGCCTTTGCCTTTGCTGCGTTGGGTGTATGCACGTAGTGATAAATGTGCATAACCTGAAATGTTTGTGGTCTCACTAGCCCTGATGTATTTTTTTGGTAGTCCCCCAAAATCATTCACTGTAGGCTTTGCTAAGCTAACTCTGTAAAAGCCAATGTCTCTCTTTGCATTGAACTTTGAGCGTATTACATTTAGAGATGTTGTTTATGTTCACACAGCTACGTTATACATGGACTTAAGTTTAACATATGATATCTTAATGGACCAACCCCTTTAAACTGCTTTTTTTCTAGCCGAAAAATGAAACTAAGTATTTAGTTTTACATTATTATTTGTATAATTATTTAAGTATACAAAAACCTCACTCCAACATTACGTGGGAAATATTTGAAAAAGAAATCACATAAGGCTGATCATTTTTATTAACTGGATACCTTATTTTGTACACAGGTTGACAATTGCAAGCAACAGGAGCATGAGCAGACCAGCATAATGGAGCATTTGCGTCTGATGTTAGCTTTGCTATCCTCCATGCGCCTGCGAGCAGAAGGGGCTGGAGAGTGGCAGGAAGACGTTGGGCTGGGATTGTATCGCGGACCTGAAGATGCACCACCAGCAGGAGCTCATAATGTAGGAAGAGGAGGCGGTCCTGGTGTTCAGAAAAAAGTCACAACTTTGGAGAACATAGTGTGTGTCTTGAATAAAGAGGTGGAACGCTCTGCCCTCACCATGGAGGCGATATCCCGGCAACATCGCCTGGACCAGGAAAAAATTGAGAATTTGTCAAACAAGGTATTACACACACTGGGCAGAAAATGATGCACCAAAATAGTTGTGCAAAAACACTCGGATTTATGCTGGATTTATAGGATTGTTTTTCCTTTCGGACTGCAGAGATGGTTTTGATGCTCTGCTATGTGTCCGAGCATGATGCGAGGCTCTCACCTTGCAGGTAACAAAATCATGATGTATTGAACTGTCTTGTTCCATAATGGGCAGGTGGAGAGCTTTAGAGATATTTTATAAATATTGCTCATTATCTCTTCTCCTCCTCCAACTTTCTGTTGTTAAAAGCCTGGAGCACAAGGAGAAAAAATGATGGAAAGTATGTAACAAAATCAATGGCCAAAGTTTTGAAATGAATATCCTGTCCAATAGCACTAACTGAAAAAATACATTAAATACCAACTGCTCGCATTTTAATGACTTGAACTGCTGGGGTTTGTAATTTTAGGTCCTAAAATTTAACATAGCTGTTCATTTAAGCTGTGAATATTTCAATACAAAACACAATTTCATACTTAAATCCAATACTTCATATTCAACTTCCAAAATATTCAGTTCTGTCTAAAAATACGAAGTATAATATTCAAAAGATCTTTCAGTTAATTTTTTTTTTTTCAGTTCAAAATTTTGCTTTCATAAATTCAATGGTTCAAACTTGGCTGTTAAAATTCGACATTTCATCCAGGAACTGCAGGAAAAGCAATAGATTGCAGATGGCACATTCAGTAGCAGATGAAAATGGACCAATTTAAGATTTTTAAACCATTAAATAATGTGAGGGAAAAAGCTAATAATTGGACAAACAGTAGCGGATTTAGGCATGGGCAATATGGGCGATCGCCCATGGTGGCGTCTTGCTGGGGGCGGCATGGGGAGACGGTGCAAAAAAAAGTGTCCCAATAACAGCTTTAAGATAAGATTTACTTTATGCAAGTGTATTAATTTAAAGTAGTTATCCCAGAATAAAGACGTTAGGGGCTATTCACGTTTGGCATCTTTTGCACACGTAAGTTTATTATTGTGTCAAGAGCAATTTATTTAGTTTTACAGTTAGAGTGGATTTTCCTTATTATACTAGTATTATAGTAGCGGTTTTTTTTTCGGTGTAAAGAATAACTGGATGTTTACAAAAACATTTTGATATTGGTAAGGGCGTCTGCAACTTTAGTGAAGCATCAAATCACCATCATAATAACATTCAAAACATGTTAATGATTGCATAAATGTATTATTGCTTTTTAAAAAAGTCACATATTATGTCTATTATCATGCACAAATTGTACTAAAGCAATCTAAAAAGTTCATATCAATAAGTTTTCTCTTTGCACCACCAGGTGGCAGTCTTTGTACTTTTATTTCGGGGGTGCAGATTGCATAAGTTTTATTCATATATGTATATATATATATATATATATATATATATACATATATATATATATATATATATATATATATATATATATATATATATATATATATATATATATATTTAACTTTATATATGTATAGTTAAAATTTTTTTTTTTACTATTTTCCCAAGTGTACATAACTACTACTGTAAGGAAATATCAGAATTCGGTACATACTTTTAGTATTATCTTTGCTTGAACAGACCCAGATCTAATCCTGTTTATATGAATTTAACCTGCTCCCGACCAGGTTTGATCTACCAGAACAGTTGCTATGACAACAACTCTCGGATCACTTTTGAAGAACGAAACGATCCTGGATCGTGTCAAATCGTCAATAACCAAATCCAGCTAACTGAGTAATCCACATACGAAGAACAGACCCCTGGTTGTTTATATGCATGGTGATATGCGTTGACATGCAAGTTGACAAACTAAATCTTATTATTTCAACTAAGCATGGCTATGAAGCGGAAAGGAGAAATAATGAGTTAGGGAGGTAACTAAGACTTCATAACATTAGCTTTCGGCCAATAGTCGGGTCTAAAACAACAGATAATTCTATAATTTTTTTTTTTTTTGTATTTTTAGAACTGTCATAATTAATATTCATGCAAAATATCTGTATATAGTTTTTCAGTTACATTTAGCACTAATTTCTTTTATTTATTTAGAATAATAATTGTATAATAATATTAAACAAATGTATATATTTATTGAAAATTTATATATTTAAATCTATTTGTAATAATTATTTCAAATGTATAGACTAAAAATATATATATTTAAATATTTAAAATATATAAAGCAAACCACAAAGTGTTTTTATTTCTTGGGGGATGAGGAGGGGGTATGTTTAGGGTGCTTTCACTGGGCACAACAGTAGCGATATTAGTATCAGTCTTGGACATTATAAGTAGGCTAATAAAAGGATTATGAGTAGGCCTAAATTGAGTAAATGAAGTTTTGGACATTTATATTAGCCCTATTGTAATGAAAGCCAGCTGGGGATCACGCAAACCGCATTCCTTAGATCTCAAGAGGTGATCCAGCTATTTTTATTTATTTATTTTTGAGTCTTTGACTGATATTAATATTAAATGCTACTTTTGTGCTTTTTCCTCACCTATTTACTGGTTTAAAAATCTTAAATTGCTCCATCTTTATCTGCTGGTGAAAAAGGAATCTGTAATCTATTGAATATTTTATCTGCAATCTATTGCTTTTCCTACAGTTTCCGGATGTAATGTTGAACTTTTACAGCCGAATTTGAACCACTGAATTTATGGAAGCAAATTTTTGAACTGAAAATGATCTTTTAAATATTATACTTTTGTTTTTTTAAACAAAAAAAGTTGAATATGAAGTATTGAATTCAAAGTAAGAAATTGTGTTTTAATTTAAAATATTCACAGCTTAAATAAACAGCTATGTTAAATTTCATTACCTAAAATTACAAACCCCGGGGGTTCAAGTCATTAAAATGCAAGCAGTTGTTAAATCAATGTATTTTTTTTTTCAGTTAATGCTATTTAACAAGCTTTTTAATTTACAGTAATACTTTTGCCATTGATTTTGTTACATAGAAAAGTACTATACATGATCAATGGTTCCTGCAGTCTGTATGATTTTTTGTTTTTGACTGAAATTGAACAACAACAAAAAATATTTAATACTCAATTGTACATTTAAGGTTATAACAACTTGTCACTGGTGCACTACCTTTATTTGACAAAAATGTACATCATTTACTCTAAAGGTTGCACAGCAGTACTATTGAGTAGAAAGGTGTCAAGAGCTCATTGTGATATTAATGATAATGTTTTGGTGAATTTAGATGACCCAGTTCTGCGTGCAGCATAGAAGAGAGTTAATCAAATGGGTTTGCATACTTTGCAAATTTTTATGTTAATTTTGGCAAAAGTTGTTCTTTATTTAAAATAAAGCCAGTTTTATTCAAATTAAAGTTCAGACGTTTGATTACCAGTGGAAGCCTTTACTACCAAACAGACATGCTTTGTTTTCATGTGGCTGTTACTGGTGAAACACAGACATGTGTCTTTCCTTTACCTGCAGAAGAGCCTTTGCTGTCTCTGTCATGACCTTTTATTCATGTGGGATGTTAAAGTCCACATTTCTCTAAATGATAAGTTGATTATTAAGTTAAAATAATGACAGAATTTGTCCTTCGCAAGTTTTCTGTGGGTCTTAAAATGTGTTTAAGTAAATATTTGACAATCCAAAAAGCCTAAAAGAATTTGATGCTTGAACTTACGATGCAAAAAATATACATTCAGTTTAATAAAAATTAGTTGTAGGCAGAAAGCAAAGACAATGCTATTTTTGTTTTAATCTCAAACATGCTTCACTGTGGCCAGCATAACAGAAAGCTGTAGACATATATAATGGAAAATGAGAAACAAAAATCATTTAAGACATTTTGTGTTCCCCTCAAAGTAAATACTTTACATTGTGTTAAAGATTTCTTTAGATTTTTTTTTTAAGTTACATGTATCTTCATAAAACTACAGAAACCCTATGCAAATTACCATAGACATCTTTGAGGTATCAATTGGGACAATTTATTGAAGATGCATTAGTGGCTCACTTATCCTTCTACTGTTAAGTAGTTAATTATTTGATGATGACACAGTTTTTCAATTTAATGACGCTACAGTGAATGAGACTATCTATATTCATTCCTAATTATCTTTTATCTCAAAGTAAAGGATTATGTAGAAGTAGCTTTCAAATGTTAACATATTGTTGCCACACTACAGTCAGCACATTGCTGTTGAGCAGTTTCATGACTCTGTTTGTCCTTCTTTCTGTGTTTGATGACTCTTGAAGGTGCGACAGTTGGAACGGACGTTAACCACGCGAGATCTGCAGTTAGCAGAATCTGAGCAGTCTTTGCGGGAGCTGCAGTTTTGTACATATGATGGGGTTTTCATTTGGAAAATTGCAGAATTCTCTCGACGCAGGCAAGACGCAGTGGCAGGCCGAGCACCTGCCATGTTCTCACCTGGTAAGATTAAGATCACAATAAAAGGCTGTTACAGGTTCTGTGCAGGTTAAGGTCCACCTGAAATTAAAAATGACAATGTTTAGTTTGCTAGCTCACATTCTTATGTTTTAGGTAAATAATTAATTCATGCAATGTAATCTTTTTTTCGGAAAATGTGTTTGTTTTGGTAATTTAATCAAAATGATCATATTTAAATAAAAGTCTCATGTGAGTTTTAAGCTTAATAATCAGGATTTGTTGCATAATGTTCATTAGCACAGATAAATTTTATGATCAGCTCAGAATGTTGAAAAGAGGTTATGCCATATATATATATATATATATATATTAGAGCATAAAATAATAACTTGACTAGTTGATCATTTGGAAAAGTGGCAGAAAGTAGATTTTTCTGATCAGTCATCTGTTGAACTGCATCACAATCATCACAAATACTGCTGAAGACTTATTTGAACCCGCATGGATCCAAGATTTTCATAGAAATCAGTCAAGTTTGGTGAAAGGAATGTCATGGTTTGGGGTTACATTTAGTATGCGGGCATGGGAGAGATCTGCAGAGTGGATGGCAACTTCAACAGCCCGAGTTATCAAGTCATTTGTGCTGCCCATTACCTTTCAAACCAAAGGAGATGGCAAATTCATCAAGAGGGTAGCCCTCCTTCTCATACTTCAACCTCCACATCAACGTTCCTAAAAGCAAAGAACGTCAATGTGCTCTAGGATTGGCCAGCCCAGTGGCCAGACATGAACATTACTGAGCAAATCTGGGGTAAGATAAAGTAAAGAGTCCTGCATGAACGCTTTCTTTTCCATTCCAGATGACTTTATTAATAAGTTATTTGAGTCATTGCAAAGATGTATGGATGCAGTCCTCCAAGCTCATGGGAGTCAACCACAATAGTAATTCTTTTTTGACTGCACCATGACTTTATATTCTATACTGTACATTATTTCTGTTAAATGAAAAGACTTTAGTATAATCAAAGTTAGACCTTACTGTCCTAATTAAATAATTATTTAATAATTATTATAATCATATTCTGTTTTGGTGAAATAAGCGTCATCTAGAGGTCTTCGCCTTTCATATAAGCCACTTCTGATACCAAATGATCAACTTGAAGTCCAGTTATTATTTGATGTTCCTAAAACTTGGATAAGGTGACCAGAATTTTGTCAGGTAGTTTACATATATCCTGTATTATCAGATGGCCATAAAGTGATTAATTTTTTCTAAATTGTTAAAATATTGGTCAAGTCCAGAGACACCTTGATTTTGAAAAAAAAAAAAAAAAAAAGTAATAAGTGGTCATAAATGACAATTTTTTCAATTCAAATGAGTAGCTACTTGGACAAGTGCATAGTACAGTGATTAACTTGGAAAAAAATTAATGATATTAATTCAAAAGTTTGCCATTCCCACCTTACATATGCCATTTTCAACTTTGTCAGTTGAGGAATTGTGAAATTTAATCAGGTAATTTTTAGTTTATTTGTGCAGTTAACTCATTTTTGATCCTGCCTGATGACTTTTCTTTGTTCTTCAGCATTTTACTCCAGTAAATATGGGTATAAGATGTGTCTGAGACTGTACCTGAACGGTGATGGCACAGGTCGAGGCTCTCATCTCTCTCTGTTCTTTGTGGTCATGAAAGGCAAATATGATGCTCTGCTGAAGTGGCCCTTCAGCCAGAAGGTAAATCTTCTTTTTACTATTTAATTTTCTCTTATAGCCTTTAAAGATGCCATAATATGAAAATCTGGCTATACCTTAGCATATCTGAATAACAGTTCACATAAATTGAGCTTTATACACTATAGCTTCCTTGTACTTATGTAAGTCCTGTGAATGTAAAACAGGCCAATTGGAACAAAACACAAATTCTGCCTATATACATCATTAATATGGACGCCCCGGCTATATGTTTGGCCACAATTCCTAGTGAGATTACAACAATTGTATATTTGTTTCTTATTTTTAAGTTGATCTAAGCTTCTGTTAAACAGATCATGTATGTGTTATTTTGAAATCGGGACAGTTTATGTATGTGTCCCGCCCTAGCCCCGAACACACACACCCCAGAGAAAGAGAGGTCCTGTGTGTGTACTTTATTCTCAGAAACGGCAATGGCGTTGTAACAGGGGAAACATTAACTCATTTGATTACTCGTTACTGACTAAAGTCCCGCCATTAGTAATGACGTTTATTTATTGCACCGTTATTCAAATTACTGTTGTTGAGGGCTCTAATGTTCGCCCCTTTTTTCACATTTTAGTACCGTTCGCTACCGAACTTCGATACTTTTGACAACACTAACAGCTATTACAGTTTGTGATTCCAGTCGCTCTCCCTCTGTTCTTTTCTCCCAGGTGACATTGATGCTGTTGGACCAAAATAACAGAGAGCACATCATTGATGCCTTCAGGCCTGACGTGAGCTCCACATCTTTCCAGAGACCCATCAGTGAGATGAATATAGCCAGTGGCTGTCCTCTCTTCTGCCCCCTCGCCAAGCTGGCAGGCAAAAGCTCATATCTGAGAGACGACACCATATTTATTAAAGCCATAGTCGACCTTACTGGCTTATAAGACCAAATAGATCACTCATAATAACAATTTATGATATTATTGTGCTGCGGAAGACACATATTTGAAATATTACATAATAGAAATAATAATATAAAGGATAATATCATGGTTATTATGATTTTTATAAACATTATTTTTATTATTATCATATTGAAAACATTTAAGGTTCTAGAACTTAATGTTTTAACTATACTAGTAGATTACTTGCATTATTATAATCCAAAGATTTGCTTATTAACATTAGTTAATACACAAGAACTAACAAGGAACAACCTTATTTCAATTAACTAACGTAAACACCGGTGAATAAATACAGCAATGTATTGTTCATTGTTGGTTCATGTTTGGTAATATATTACAAGAAGGTTCCAATAGTTCATGTTAAACTGTTACCTTAAGTGTTATTATTATTATTATTATTTATTATATGCAAAATGATAATGTTGTAAAGAGACATCCACACCAATAATTGCACTATTGTGATATAATTGAATATTTAATAAACAATATATATTTATATACTTTATGTATACATTGTATTTATATTATACCTACAATATAGAACTACTTCCAGTAGTTTAAGGCAGTACTAAATTATTATACTGAGATGCAGTTAGGATTTTTATTGCATTGCTTAGAGCTATGATATTTTGTTGAAAGAGCTGAGTATAAATAGTTTGCTATAAATGAGCACTCTGCTTTAAGTAACTAGACTGGTTTAATAATAGAGGGATTGATTTTACATGAATACTTATTAATTAGTGCTGTAAGCTGGTTGAAATGGATTGTTGTGATGGTTTGTACGCTGCATAAAGCTACAATATTAGTAGCAAAAATAAAATGCTGGACTAAAAGATTGATTTGATTGCTCTGGCATTTTAAATGGTTTCACAGAATATATTGCTGTAGATGCTTAATCATCCAACCCTGGTGAAAGAGAGCTTATTATTACTACTATCATTTATTCTTTGTAAAGTCGATGCACACCTGTTTAAACTAGCAGGTGAATGGGTTGTATTGTAAAGGCTGCTCAGCTTTACTAAAGGAGCTGCTGCTTGGATATTAGTTGGCTTTTGCTCATAGGTAAAAAAAAAAAAACAGCATTATCTTTTTTCGTTTGTATTTCTCTTAGACATATTGTGTTTTATTTTACTCTTTATACAGGTATGTGCCAAAAAATGTTAATATTGAGGGAAAGTCCATTTATTTCCGAATTAGTTCGCTAAGTGAAGTTTGTTTTTAAACTAATTTCGAGAGGGGCATGCACCTATGATTGATAGCAGCTGGTTGTCATCAGCTAACACATGATTCACTAATCAGACGATTCCTAAATCACTATAAATAACCAGAGGACCTCACATTAAGCTGCGGTCACACTAGAGTTTGAGCATGCGATATTCTGTCATGCAGCGCTGCGAAAAGGGGCAAGATTAAACTAGCTAATTAGACTGTTAAAAAAGCAAGCGATTGCTCTATGTTTTAAATTTCTAACCATAGAGGTCAGAATGCCAAACACGCTTTATAATCAATCATCAGCTAAGGTAGAACTATTGGAACACAAAGTGAAATATTTCAAGCCTTCAATTGATTTAATTTAAACGATTATAGATTACAAATGTAAAAGACCCAAATGCATTATTTTATCAAATTTAAATATTTCACGTGACCAATAATAAAAAAGGATCTTTAACACACGTTGGCCTTCTGAAAAGTGTGTTAATGTACTGTATTATGTCCTCAGTACTTTGTTAGGCCTCCTTTGGCACTAATTACAGCATCAGGGTTATGTGGCATGGAGGTGATCAGCCTTTGACATCTTTGAGATGTTTTGGTAGTCCATGTTGCTTTGCTTTGATATCAGCCTTCAGCTTATCTGCATTTCGGGTTCCCTCATCTTCCTCTTGAAAATATTCTATAGATTTTCTATAGACTCTTTTCACATTTCCGGGTTTCTAAGTAGCGGAAATCCTCATAGTTGGGTAAACTTAAGAGTGCAGTGAATGTGAGAGTACAACAAATTATTTTTTACAATCTTATTTGCTCAAACAACAAAAGAAAAACTCCAATGATGCTATCAACACTTTCAGAAAAAGGAAAAATAATTGTGAGACTGATGACAGCAGCCAGAGGAGAGAATAATGTCAAATTTACACCTCAAATTAGAAAATTAGAAACAACTCGCACAAGCCGTAATTATTTTTTTTCTCATTTGAAGCAAAGATGATATAATGCATACATAGATACATATAAATGTTCATATGTTTGAAAAAAAAAACTAAATATTAAAAAAAACCTATAGGGATTTGAGATGCTGTTGACCGTTAAACTCATCATAACAGGCTTGTGAAAAGGGTCCATTGGGTGAGTTTCCTGGCCAATTAAGAACAGGGATACAAGGGTCCTCAAACCAGGCACTGGTAGCTTTGGGACTGTGTGCAGGTTCCAAGTCCTGCTGGAAAATAAAATCATCAACTCCAAAAAGCTCGTCAGCAGCAGGAAACATGACGTGCTCTAAAATGTCCTGGTATAGGGCTGTGTTGAATGTAGACTTGATAAAAGACAATGGACCCACACCAGCATATGACATAGCTCACCAAACCATTACTGACTGTGGAATCCTCACACAGGACATTAAGCAGCTTGTCTTTTGTGTCTGTCCGCTCTTCCTCTAGACTCTGGGATCTTGATTTCCAAATGAAATACAAAATTTGCTCTCATCTTAAAAGGAGGACTTAGGACCATTGGGCAACAGACCCGTGCTTTTTTCCTCTTTAGCCCAGCACAGATGCTTCTAGCATTGTTTTTTGGTTCAGGAGTGGCTTGACACATGGAATTCTACAGCTGTAGCCAGTGTCATGCAGACGTCTGTATGTGGTGGTTCTTGAAGCTCTGACACCAGCCTGAGCCTCAGTCGCCCTTGCTTGACAATCTTCTCAAGGCTGCGATCATACTTGTCCACCTTTTCCAGCCACATATTAGCTTCCTTTTAAAACTCTATTAATATACTTAGAGACTGCACTCTGAGAGCATCCAGCTTCTTTCGCAATTGCCTTTTGAGACTTTTCCTCTATATGGAGGCTTCCAATGATGCTCTTCTGCTCAACCGTCAAGTCAGCAGACTTCCCTATGATTTTGAAGCCTACTAAGCCAGACTGAGACAATTACAAGGCTTTGCAATAATTAGCGGACTAGATTGAGACACAGGGAGCCTACAATGTTGAACGATGTCATGATATTCTAATTTGGTTGAATACTAGATTTGAGTTTTGTACATCTTTAGTCCATAATCAGTCAAAATAAAACAAATGAAGGCTTGAAATATTTCACTTTGTGTGTGGTGAACTAATATAACACAAGTTCCTGTTCTAATCTTTATTTTTTTTGGCACATTCAATCGTTTCAGATTTGAACATACTTTCCATTTTATGATTTAACAATACTCGATTACTGTAACAATATATATATATAGTTTTTATTTATTTCTTAAGCAGTTCTTTAACAATCTTATTCTAAAAGACTAAATAAAATAACAATTTCCACATTCATTTTTTTGGACATTCTTACATTGATCACTAATAGGACAAAATATAAACGAATAACAATAAGGCAAAATAAAAGTTCAAATGGAATCTCATGATTATAAAACACAAACATTAAAATGAAGACTTGTATTATCTATCTTTTAAATTGAAATGAATTTGTTTAGGTGGCACGGTGGCTCAATGGTTAGCACTGTTGCGGGCTGGGCCAGTTGGCATTTCTGTGTGGAGTTTGCATGTTCTCCCTGTGTTGGTGTGGGTTTCTCCACATGTACATAAAGACAAGAGTACATGATGTACTCTTTAGTGTATTTTTAATTGACATCATGCCTCTTCATTGAATGTTACAAATTGACAGCAGCCCGGACAGCATGGTGGCTAAGTGGTTAGCACTACTGCTTAACAGCAGGACCAGAAGACCTTTCTCTGTAGAGTTTGCATGCTCTCCCTGTGTATCTGTGGGTTTCCTCCGGGAGCTCCGGTTTCCCCCACAGTCCAAAGACATGCGGTACAGGTGAATTGATTAAACTAAATTGGCCATAGTGTATGTGTGTGAATGAGTGTTTCCTAGTACTTGGTTGCAGCTGGAAGGGCATACACTGAGTAAAACCTATGCTGGATAAATTGTCGGTTCATTCCGCTGTGGACCCCTGATAGATAAAGGGACTAAGCCGAATGACAATGAATGAATTTGTTAAACCATAAATATTATGTAAATCATTTTTACATGGATTACTTAAAAAAAACACACTGGAAAGTGTGTGAAAAATAAATCAAATGAAATACGATAATGGAGTTAATAGATATAAAATACCAAAATTATAAATAACAGTATTTTTGTGAATGTGGATCATTGTAATGTATGTGGGTTTTTTTGGGGGTGGGGAGATTTGTTAAACCATTTGTTTCAGCAATAAACATAATAAAAAGAACATACTCTTAAAGGTGTGGATTTTATTCTTTCTTTAAAATGAAATAAACAAATACATTGCATCTGATAAAAGAAAAGTGTTTAATAGATCAAATCAATTTTACACATTTCACAATTCTACAAAATCTAACGATGCCGAACAAGCAAAGGTCGGCTGGGAAAATCCGATTCACAAGCTCAAACAGAGAACCAGGTTCATTGAAGCAAAACTGATGTACTTACAACCGCACAGACAAATGCAGGAAACTAAACATTAACTGAATTATTCCAATGATCAGACATAAATTAAGCAACCAAATTGAAATCAATAATAAATCGGACGCAGCCATTACAAAAACACACTTACACACGAGTAACAGATTGACCAGTATACAGATGAGCTTCATATATGGGGGCGCATTTCATGACATCAGAGATAACAACCTTTGAAGAGCACCTTTGCTGAATATTTACGGCTGGTAAACAGTGTGAGCTAAAGGGTTAGTTCACCAAAAACGTTCAATTCTTTTGAAATCATCCTTTACTCACTGTTAACTTGCTCCATTTTTTCCTACAGTTGAACACAAATAAAGATACTTTGAAGAAAGCTGGAAACCTGTAACCATCGACTTCCATTGTATCTGTTTTACCCTACTACGAAAGTCAATGGCTACAGGTTTTCAGCTTTCTCGGATGAAACAGTGGGTTCATTTTTATTTTTGGATGAACTATCCCTTTAAACATGCCTGATATTTTGTGTTCAGTAACAGCTACATTAGGTTGTATAATAAAATTGATCATGGAGAAGGAAATAGTGTACAGTCAACCAGAGCTTTTCTTCTGGTTTTTGGTGGTTTTGACAATCCAAACTGCAAATATTGTCACCCTTCACTTTTTAAAAGCCTATTCTTTCTTCTTAACACAAAAGAAGACAATAAATGTCTACTTTTGTGTTCAACGCCATGGTTTAAAACCACAAGGGGGAGAATAAATAACGACTGGCTGAACTATCCCTTTAAATATAAAAAAAACCCTGCCACCATAACAGAAGCACAGCAACAGTGCATTGTTAAAACAAAGTGATTGTATGAAGCAGACAATGACTAAATGTTCAACAAGTAGGCTTTTACTGTTTTTGGAATTGTCAATATATTACCTGTATGCCAAAATACACAACTCATTTCATTAATAAAGGCATAGTTGGAAAACCTCGGATGTAAACACTTGCATTGTCATTCTGTAGCTTGTCAAACTGAACCAAAGCTATGACACATCATTGTTCCTCTGTAGGTTTGTTTTCCATTAGTGAATATTTGAATGATTTGATCACATTCTTGTTCTTCAGACCATCAAGTATTTTATTAACACATATTAAACAAGGCGCTGAGAAAAAATAAATGTTAAAAATGTGCAGTCATGCTCACGCAATCAAAACAGTTAACTAGTTTTAACAACTGCACACGTGTGAAAATAACCTTAAAGGAACGCTCTATTTTGGAAACTATTCTTTTATTATATTATGGCTCCTTTTACAGCTCTCCTAGAGTTTTGCCATTATTGAATCCATTCAGCTGATCTCCGGTCTGGTGTGGAACATGTTTAGCTTAGCTTAGAACATCGAATCAGATTAGACCGTTAGCATCTTGCTGGAAAATCATCAATATTTTTTTTTGAAGCTCGACTATTCTATTATTAATAAGAAAAGTTGTTGTTTTCTAGGTGGATATGGGTAGAAACTATAGAGCAAATTTCCTAAAGAGAGAATAGCTAAACTGGCCAAGAAGATATCAACTTCTCATTTTCCGTTAGCCTCAGTACACAATATAACAACAGAGGATCAATTTAAATGTCATTTTTGTGTAAGACACTAACAGTCTAATCTCATTCAATTATTTATGCTAAGCTGAGGTAAAAGGGCTCCCACCAGATCCAGAATCAGCTGAATTGATTTAAAATCAACTGTAACTCTAAGGGAGTTATAAAATGAAACATAATATATCAAATACACTGCAAAAAAAGAGTTTTTGTTTTGTTTCTAGTCCAAATAACTAAAAATTCTTATATCAAGAAGCATTTTATAGGTAAGCAAAACATAATGTCTTGTTTTGAGAAATAATATGCCAATATTAAGTGAGTTTTTCCTTAAAACAAGCAAAATAATCTGCCAATGGGGTAAGCAAAATATTATTGTTTTTCCTTTTGATATAATATTAATTTGCTTACTCCTTTGGCAGATTATTTTGCTTGTTTTAGGGACAAACTCACTTCATTTTAGCATATTATTTCTTAAAACAAGACAATATGTTTTGCTTGTCTTGACAATTATTCTTGATTTAATATTTTTTTTATATTTGGACATCAACAAGACAAAAAAAATCAGTCAGAAAAGCATTTTCTGCAGTGTAAACAATAGTTTTCCCTTAATATCTTTCTTTATATTCTTGTTTCTTTGCTCTTGGAGTCGCATCCCATTGATGTTCACCTTCCATGTTTTTATCCATTTGTGGTGACGTTTAATAAAAAAACTGATTCTCAATTCATCTTTCAGGGATCTGGTAGATCACAGTACATTCTTTAATAGTGCCACTAAGCATCTTCCTCCTCCCCATCCTCAATTTCTTGACCTCACACATGACCTTCTCTGCTCACGGAGTGTCAGTCTCTAGGGTTTTGTTATAAATGCGCCGGTGTGATGGTCAGGGCTTACCGTTTACGTTAATACTTCTGTGGCCGAGCAAGGAGGAAAGCAGTTTGTGAGCGCGAGATGGGGGTCGGGGGGCCTGGCTGAGGCGCACCATGCGCGGTGACCGCCACACTTTGATGGTGGAGTCATCGCTGGCAGAAAGCAGCAGCTCCTGGTCTGCTGGACTGAAGGCCACTGAGTTGACCACGTCATCGTGTTGCAGGCGCGCTAGGCAGATATTGTAGTGTCTGTCCCATATGTAACCGTGCTTGTCCTCTGCACCACTGCACACACAATGACACTAAATGAAAACATCTAAAGGTGTTATGAGGATTCTACACTTCTACATTTTTTGTTTTGTACTGGGGTTAACCTATAAAGATGTGGAAGAAAGTTGTGACAATTGTAGGTTATAATCACACTGAATTAGAATATAAAATATGATGTTGTTACATGAATACTGCCATGATTTTTTTAAAAGGACACACGTTAGACAATGTTTACTGCTGTTTCTTTACTTGCCACTCGTATGTTTGATTCCCTTTGAATTGCATATCCGGAGGAAAACATTTAGCTCAATAAAAACAAAAATGTAGGTGCAACTAGAAACATTTAATCTACTTCTGAGAATCAGTAATTTGTTAATAATCCATTTCCATTGAAATACTGCTGTTATATCCCACTTTTAGCATACTGTACTACACATATAAGTAAATATTTAGTAACTTGTAAGATCTGATTAAGTTGAAACATTTTAAAACTAGGCATCACACTTGCTGACTTTGTAAACGATGGCAGAAATTCCAACTTCCTACATCCTGAAAACACTAATAATGTCTGACACTCTCAGACTGAATGAAGTCATACACTCTCTGGCCACTTTATTAGGCACACCTTACCATTTTTTGCCTTAAGAAGTGCCTTAATCATTTGTAGCATAGATTCAATAAGGTACTAGAAAAATTCCTCAGAGACTTTGGTCCATTTTGACATGATAGCATCACGCAGTTGCTGCAGATTTGTCGAATACACATCCATGATGCGAATCTCCTGTTCCACCACATCTCAAAGGTGCTCTATTTGATTGAATTCTGGTGACTGTGGAGGCCATTTGAGTACAGTGAACTCATTGTCATGTTCAAGAAACCAGTCTGAGATGATTTACACTTTATGACACCTCGCGTTATCCTGCTGGAAGTAGCTATCAGAAGATGGGTACACAGTGGTCATAAAGGGATGGACATGGACAGCAACAATACTCAGGTAGGCTGTGGCGTGGACACAATGCTTAATTGGTACTAGTGGGCATAAAGTGTCCAAGAAAATGTCCCCCACACCATTACACTACAACCACCAGCCTAAACCATTGATACAAAGCAGGATGGATCCATGCTTTCATGCTATTGATGCCAAATCCTGGCCCTACCATCCGAATGTTGCAGCAGAAATCAAGACTCATCAGACCAGGCAAAGTTTTTCCAATCTTCTACGGTCCAATTTTGGTGAGCCTGTGCGAATTGTAGCCTCAGTTTCCTGTTCTTAGCTGACTGGAGTGGCACCCGGTGTGGTCTTCTGCTGCTGTAGCCCATCCGCCTCAAGCTTGGACGTGTTGTGCATTCAGAGATGCTCTTCTGTAGACCTAGGTTGTAACTAGTGGTTATTTGAGTTACTGTTGTATTTCTCAAACCAGTCTGACCACTCAAACCATTTGTGCCCACAGAACTGCCACTCACTGGATATTTTCTATTTTTCAGACCATTCTCGGTAAATCCTAGAGATGGTTGAGCGTGAAAATCCCAGTAGATCAGCAGTTTCTGAAATACTCAGACAAGCCCATCTGGCACCAACAACCATGCCACGTTCAAAATCATCTTTCTTTGAGTTGCTGCCATGTGATTGGCTGATATTTGCGTTAACAAGCAGTTGTAACTGGTGTACTTAATAAAGTGGCCGGTGAGTATAGTTTAAGCTGAAGCATCTTGCCCTAATAACAAAGGCTATGGTAAGTGTTGTCTGTCTGACTGCCTTTGACTTAAGTTAAAGTCATGTAAAGCTGCCATTATTTTTTCAAACTGGGCTCTGTAATGGAGTACTACATGGTAACTTAACTTAAAAAATTAGATCAGGTAATCTAATAAATTTAAAACACAAAAACATGATTAAATAAACTTTAAGTAAGTCAGTGAAGATTCAATTAAAAAAGACTAAACATTTATTTTATTTTTTATATATTCTTTAAATTTAATACATTTAGGGCTGCACAATGTATCGTTTCAGCTTCGATATCGCAATGTGTGAATCTGCAATAGTAACAGGATCAGCAATGTCAAGTTGGTATTAAGAGTTGATCAGCACCACAGTTCAAAATGTGATTTTTGGGGTCATCACAAAGTTTAACCCCACAATAGAGTGAAAGATTTTCATTTGGATATGTATTTAAAACTTGTGACTTTTTAAGATTTTAGTAATTTTAGTTTTACTTAAACCAAGAGCTTAAAATAGTATATAGACCAAAATTAATTGTCTTTAATTATTTATACAATGAAGAATCTACACTATACAATGTTTTTATATATTATTGTTGAATTTCTGTCCGTCACTTCTATTCTACAGATTAATTCATTTGTATCTGTTTAATTGTATTGTATTTGATGCAGATACTTCTCTATAAAATAATTCCAATCAAAATAAAATGATGAATTCATTCCAAATAGAGTTACAAGTCCTCTTGCGAAATGATATTTATATCGCAGACAAATTAAATATCACAATGTCAGCTTTTGTCCAATGTCATGCAGCCCTAATTAAATAGTTATCCTCTTGAATATATTGAAAAAATTTTTTCTGGCTTTACTGATCCAGAGAAATTCTCAGGACTGAAAAGGCTTGTGTTTTGTCATTTCTGTTAGTTTCCATAACATCATAAAGCTGCATTTTGATCTGACAGATAAAGATAATTGTTGCATTTCCCATTATTATTGGTGGTTTATATTCTTAGATAGAACTTTTACTGCCATCTACTGTTGGTAATAGGACCAGATACTAATCTATTATCTTAAACTTGATGTGACCGACTAAATTAAAGTTTACCCAAAAAATAAAATCTCTGACTCACTTGACTCGATCAGTTTGAGGTTTTTTTAATGTTGACAATATTTTGAAGAATGTGGAAACCTGTAACTAGCCCTGAACAGAATCTGTGGACATTTATTGCTAATTCTGATAAGAATTTTGTAAAACTAATAAGTAGATTTATGTGGAATGTTTTTGGTAGTATCACAACTAAAAACTTAATGTTCGAAATTAAAAAATAATAACTATTTAACTTATTTAATGTTTCCAATGCAAATCCAATTAGATCTACGTATTTTGTAAAAAAAAAAAAAAAAAAAAAGCAAGTCTCTTATAAAACTGATCTTCTAAAAGACAGAAAATATTACTTTACAAACTGTACTGTAAATAAATCATAGAAACATTTTCATTTATGTCAATAACATTACTGAAACTAATTAAAAAACTCAATAAATAAACTGGGTTTACTACTGGGTTTATAAAATGGGTTAAAAATATATGGAAATTTCTGCCCGCACAGTTTCTGTGTGGGCCTACCTGTAACCACTGACATCCATAGAGGGAAAACAAATACTTTGGAAGACAATGGTTACAGGTGTCCAAAATTCTTTAAAATATCTTCTTTTGTTAGCAAAAAAATAATAATAATAATACTTGTAAGTAACAATGATGGCAGTATTTTAATTTTAAGGTGAACTGTCCTGTTTCAGAAAGTTTTTTAGGGCCACAAAAAAAAAAAAAAGAACGGAAAAAAGCTAACATGCTGAAATGCACATAAGCTCATTATATGCATTCTGTAAGTCAAATATCATGGTAAGTAAGCACTTGCAATTATCTTAAAAGCTTAATTATTCATGTACACTACAGTACACTTAATAGTTTTAATTCTGGTTTTATGTTTCCAATCCTCTACTTATTTCAAACATATATGACTTTTTTTTTCGCTAAATACAAAAGAATTACAATACAAAAGTTTGCGGAATGTCGGTATCTAGTTGATAATTTTGTGTCAATTTTGTCACATGTGGAAGGTAAGTAAATAATGACAGGATTTTAAACTTTTGTTGCACTATCCCTTTTAACACTTTAAAGAATGTGATGACAAATTAAATGCTACGGCCACCTTTTACTTGTTCCAAACCTGTTTGACTTTCTTTCTTCCCTTAATCACAAAAGAAGATATTTCGAAAAAATCTGGAAACCTGCAACCGCTGACGTCCATAATACTTGTTCTTCCTACTATGAAATTCAGTGATTACAGGTTTTTGGCTTTCTTTAAATCCTCTTTATTTGTGTTCCAAAGAATAAAGAAACTCATATTCTCAAAAACAAGGTTTGGATCTATTTGTGTGAGTACATATTTATTTTTGGCTGAATAATTTAGCATTGCTGATACAATGTGTATATTACCTGGCGACAAAGTCTCTGCTGACATCGAGGAAGATAAAGAAACACTCATCATTTGGTGTGAAGGCCCGGTGAGCTCGAAGGCTGCGGCGCTCCTCCCTCAGACTCTTAAGATCAATCACATGCAGGTCTATCTCCTCTGCGATTGGTGGAGGGGACATGGGGTCCGAGATCACACAGCCTGCTGGCCATGCTCGACTGTTCACGTACAAGTACCTGCAAGCAGACAAATACTGAATAACAGCTGACACTTTAAAGGGCACCTATTTTACCCCTTTTACAAGATGTACGATTTTTTTGTCTCTCTGAATGTGTCTGTAAAGTTTCAGCTCAAAATACCAATTAGATCATTTATTATAGCCTCAAGAATCTGCCCATTTGGTGTGTGAGTACAGTGTAGCTGTTTTTGTAGCCTGTGGCTTTTAATGCAAATGTAGTGTATATACTGTGTAGACTAAAAATTCCATAGCAATTTTACTGTGTTTATTACAAACATGCTGCTTTAAAAATGTCTAAAACTTATAAAAAATCATACAGAGTTGTAACAAATATTTTAAACCCAGTTTATTTGCAAATATTTTCTTTAGACAATTGTGTATGCATGTTATTAGAGAAACATGGCGTCTGTCAATCAATTCGGTGAGCGGGGAAACTGCACTCCTTCTTCACGTTGCGGTGGGCCTCAAAATGGGAGGTATTTGGATTTTATTTTAACGTCAGAAATTTAAAAAAAGATATTTGTTGTGTTTCAATCACTAGTATAACTGTGCACACGCTATACATAGGCATGACCCGGTATATGATTCAGACAGTATGATAACCTTGGATAAAAATATCACAGTTTTACACTTTGAATGAATTTTGATTACTACTCTAAAATATATTCCTTTTAAATGTCTGGGTAAAAAAGAAAAAAAAAATTCCCCCTTTGAACATGCTGTTTTGAGAAACTTTTAAAATATTTTGAAACGGTAAAGTAAACATCTAAATAATTCAAATTAATCATTGACTTCTGCTGTTTTTATTAGTTTCAAAAACAGTGATTTCTTTACGTGTTAAAACGGCATCTTTGGATATCTTTTCTGCTGGAGATACTGTTGTCCTAAAAATCAAGGAACGATATAACAAAATTTTGGCGGTTTTAAAAAATGGATTATTTCTAACTGTGGTATACCTTCTGTCCAAACAGCTTACAAAAGTTGATTTTCATCACAGGTGCCCTTTAATTGCTAATGCTTCCTTGATTTTCCATAGTATTTTGTGCCTCTTTACGGACTCATGGTTGTTCTGGTTTAAAATAGAGGTGTTAATGTGCACAATCGACCAACTAAAAGCAGGTCTAGTTATGTGCCTATGTGGGTTCAAACTCTTTTTAAAATCTTACAAAAATTATTACTTTCAACATACATATAAAAACCACTGACTCTATGCCTTGTTCAAACCTCCATCACCCTTCATGATAATTTGCTTTTGTATAATATTATTATTATTCACAGTATTATTTATTATTTGAATATTTACATTTGTTTAATAAAACAAGTTAAGAAGGTCCACCTGTTGGGTTTTGGAGACGCATGCGTGACTAAATGGGGCATAAGTACAAGAGGTGTTTGGAATAGAACTTTTTTGTTGTTGTTTTTTGACCACACTTCGGTATTATTGTCATTTATTCGTTTACTGGAAATTAAAACTGAATTTAGAAATTGTTTTATTCGTTTACTGGAAATTAAAACTGAATTTAGAAATTGTTTTAAAACAAATCTTTGCGCTTAACAAACAAAATTAAATATGTAGGCTGATGGATGTCTTCAGCAGAGTGTGTACAACACCATTTCCTTACCCCAAAAAGTAAAGGAATAAAAAGTAAAATAAAGAGGCCAAATGGAGGAAGCTCATTCTGTATCTCCGTGCAAAAGATGGTCTGTTCAACTGTTTTCACGGTAATGAAGCATTCAGTTCTTGCACTTACATAGTCCACCATGTAAATAGCGAACGCGCCATGGTGGGACGCAACTGACTTTTAAAGGGAATGTGAGACAATTCTCCGATTGGTTCACTGTATCTTTTGCTCTAAAACCCCCATTATTCATTAAAAATATAAGCACAACCCTGTTGAACCATGCGAAATGGTGTAGTACGTATTTTCCGCCCTTGAAATAGCAAGAGTGGATTCGGACATGTCTTTAATTCTTTTGTGTCACGTACTTTAGACTTTGCGCCTAGAACATTAAAATAGAGCCCTCAATGATTTCAACCTATTTTTTTGCAATGTTGTACTTTTTGTGCAGATGTAAACATCTTGACAATATACAACACAAAGCACCTATGTAGGAAACACTTATCAATGTACAAATTGGTGAAACACTTTCAAGGACCTGTATCTATGTATGTTTATTTTCAAAAACTTTCCAGTCTCTAGATATTTTCCCTTGGAAACTCTGTTTGGTATCACTTTATTTTGACTGTCCCTTTACCACGTTTTGTAGATTTTAGGTTACAATGCAACAACATCCTAGCTAATTCTCATTAGAGTATTGGTAGATTGTGAGGTTGGAGTTTGGATTGTAAATTGACATCCACATGCAAGGTTTCTTACAGTCGGGAGAATGAATATCTGTTGGTGGAGTCTACTTACACTCTAATGATAATTAGTTGGCATGTTGTTCCATTGTTGGGATGTAGCTTATAGCCAACAAAATGTGCAAAAGTGAACCTGTTTTATATCATTTTAAAGACACTGATTAACTACAACGTTATAAGTGAAAGCTGGTTACAAGCCATCTGGACACACAGTATTTCATACAGTAACATACAGTAAGCCTGAGGAATTGACTTTTCTTGAATGTGTGCCATATAATACCATCCTGCAATCACTCTAGCTTTGCAATTGCAAGGTAACATCATACTCTAATGTACTAAAGCTGAATGAACTTGCTAAATAAACTGCATATCAGTCATCTGCTGAATATCACAGACACACACACAAGCACGCACCTATGGTCAGGTGACAGCCCCATGCCGATGATGTGGCCGTGTATGTCGATCACATGATCCAACGAGTCAAAGAATTCCTCAGAACTGCGCTCCTCGCCCAAGACAGGACCACATGTTGTCATTTGATCAGGCATAATCCGCTTGATACCTAAAACACACATCAACTCAATATGAACAGTTCATCCAAGTCACAGGTATCAAACTCAGTTCCTGGAGGGCCGCAGCTCTGCAGAGTTTAGTTCCAACCCTAATTAAACACACCTGATCAAACTAACTGAGTGATCTAGGCTTGTTGGAAACCTACAGGTAAGTGTACTGAACCAGAGTTGGAACTAAACTATACAGGGCTGCGGCCCTCTAGGAATTGAGTTTGATAACCCCTGATGTAAGGAATAAGCGGATTAAACAATCAGCAATTGACCTATTTGGTGAGGGGAATATGTGAGGCTGCCAGTGGTGAAGAGCAGATAGGTCATGTCCTCTCCTTCTCCAACATTTGAAGGAGACACCAGATTTAGTTCAGGAGCTTTGGTGCGTCTGCTGCCCATCAGCCTGGCCACCTTCGTCTCTAACTCTCGCTCACGAGTGGCTATGCTCTGACAACCCTAATGACAGTAAATAAACAAACCGTCAATGTCACTGTAAACAGTTTTCCTTAATCATTTGCTATGGTTTGTTTTCTTTGATTAAAAAAAAATATATATATATAATGTGGCTTATTTTCGAACAAAATATGCAATTGTACTGAAATACTAATAAAAAGTAAAGTGCATGGATGTCCATGTTGTCTTTTTTTTGAAAAGCAGAGGCCATTCTTAGGCTACGGTCATTGATGTGTCAACTGATTTCACTCAAAGACGATTAGATTCAGTGTTAACTCGCAGCTTTCATGCTTTTCGTATTTTTTATCAATTTATACTGTATATGCTACCAAAAATATGATATCTGTCAGGAATGAATGATTATACTGTATATTCCATTACGCCCACATCACTGCTTTTGAAAAAGCGATAACATCATTATAGTCATGTTTACTCAATTAAAACACTTTGTCCTTTTCTCCATTATGTATTCTGTGTCTTTGCAAGCATGTGGAAATAGCCCAAAAATGTATTCGCATTTGCAATTTGGCAAATGCAAACATTAGAATGCATATTTGCAATTGTGCCACAGTATGTAAAATACATCAGCAAAATATGCACAGTATGCAAAATACACCAGCAAAACACCAAAGATTCTGTACAAGATTTTAGTTTTTTCTATACTGTAAAAAAGTGAGACATCAAATGTAAAAATGACTTCAACGCCTAAAAGAATGTTGCTTCTCCAACGTAATATACAGTTGAAGTCAGAATTATTAGACCCCTGATTAATTTTTTTCCAATTTCTGTTTAATGAAGAGATTTTTTTCAACAAATTTTTAATAACCGATTTCTTTTATCTTTGCCATGATGACAGTAAATTATATTTTACTAGATATTTCAGGACACTTCTATACAGCTTAGTGACCTTTGAAGGCTTAACGAGGTTAATTAGGTTAACTAGGCAGGTAAGGGTATTTATTTAGGCAATTCATTGTATCACGATGGTTTGTTTTGTAGACTATCGAAAAAATATATAGCTTAAAGGGGATAATAATTTTGATTTTGAAAAACTGCTTTTATTCAAGCCAAAATAAAACAAATAAGACTTTCTCAAGATGAAAAAATATTATCAGACATAGTGTGAAAATTTCCATCATTTGGGAAACACTTTAAAAAAAGAAGGGAAAAAAAATCAAAGGGGGGCTAATTATTCTGATTTAAATTGTATTTCCAAAAACTTTAATAAATTACGTTGAAAGTCAATTTTAGTTCATTTTTCACATTTTCATTCTAGTTGTATAATTTCAAAATCATGGAGTAGTTCACCCAAAAATGAAAACCATATTATCATTTACTCATAATCCACTCTTTTTTCTGTCCTCTGTTGAACAGGAAAGGAAGATACACTGAAGAATGTCGAAAAATCTTCCAGTTTTTTTCTTCCTACTACTGATGTTATGTGCTAATTTTTCCCCAACATTCTTCAGGTCAACTTGTTTTGTGTGCAACAGAAGAAAAACATTTAGAACCACTATAGCAGGTGTGCACAAACTTTTTCTTATGACGGGCCAAAAACCAAACTTAGGGCTGGTGGGTCAAAAGTAAATATAATTGCCATTGGTGATGTCCTAATTTTTTGACTAGAAAACACTTTATTTTGATGGCACGTTTGTTGAATTTAAGTTACATTGCAACTAATTCTCATTAGATTATAAGTAGACTGTTAGGTTGGGGTAAGGGCTAGTTTAAGTTGGCAGTCTACTAACACTCAAATGGACCATCAAAATAAAGTGTTACCAAACACTGCTTTTTATTCATAGTCATTTGTTTTTTTTTTTTTACATTTTATAATAAACTTATTACAGTAAAAAAAAAAAAAAAATCTAATTTATAACAGAATTACACTAGTTTTTGCCTTGATTTGCTTGCCAATGTATTCTGCACAGTTTTCTATCCGTCGAGTGACAGTATTTACATTTTTAAAAAGCTGATTCATTTACAACATTAAAGTGAAACATTTAATATCAGTTTGGTTTTTTGTAACTCAGCAATAAAACAAACAAAAAAGGTTACATTAAATTAGAAAATGACAATCTCTCTGTTAAAAGCCTCGACATCATACACACTCTTCTCGCAGATGGGATGGTGGGCCAAATCAAAGGTTACAATGGACTAATTTTGGCCTGCGGGCTATACATTGGGCATCTCTGCACTAGAGTGAGAGTAAATGTGAGGAAATTTACATTTTTGAGTGAACTCTCCCTTTTTCTTTTCCTAAAGCTTACATGTAAAACATGATGCAGCCCAGACGGTTTCAATGAGGGCAGATGTGCTGCTAATCTTTTTTCTCCTCGCTCCTCTTCCGCATCATCTTCACCCTCCTCTTCACTGTCTGTATTTCCCAGATCAAAGAAGAGAGGCTGGTGCTGCTGCGTCCGCTGGGCCTGAGCTTCATAGTCCAAAAGAAGGTCAGGGGAGTCGTGTCGACGGCAGTGGGCCACCATCACAGTGCGGATGGTGCTGGCATTTATGTTTTGGATTTTAAAGAGACGCTTTACCACATTCACGTTTTCTGACTCAATGCCCTAAACATGGAAAGGGTAACACAGTGTGAAAAGTTGAAATATTGCTGAAAAGCTACATAATTTCATAACCAAAGGCAGACAGTTTATTTTTTGTTTTATTGTCATTACTACAGGCTTTTATCATTAATCCATGTGGAAGTTTATCAACACTGGCCTGTGTAATAAAAAACCTTTTTTAATGAAATGAAAAAGAAAATACATGGCCAGTAAGAAATATATGCTTTAAAGTTCTTCATCTACAGGTAACTCAGGAACTAGCACATAATGTCTATACCAGATGTGTCTTTTGATTTTGTTGACACTCAGGAATAGTTGGAAGTTGTCTACACTTTATGTGAAAAAAAAACAAACAAACCATGACCATTTGGAATTTGTCAGAAAGACCATTGTAGACCATTTTGAGTGATGTAAACAATAACAATGGTCCTAACAAATTTCCTGTTTTACATTTTTAATTTTTATAGCTTCTGAGAATCAAAAAGGATGAAATGATCTATAAAGAACAGAAAGAAAGCTGCTTTTGTGCTTTGCATAATATTAAAATGGTTTTCACTTATTTTGCATGACTTTAATGGTCACTATAAGAACAACAATAGATAATAAATTTACCTCAGGTTTTGGAAAATAAAAAAATAAAAAAATCAGAGGACTGTTTGTGTGGCTGTGAAATGCTTCCTATCCCAGCTCGATAGTGTTTTTCAAACTTTAAATTTAGCTTTTCTGTCATCTAATCTTAAGCCAAAGCTTGTAAAATGTATATTATCCTTCCATGTTTACCCTAATTAACAGGCACAGTGGTGACTGTATTTGGCAAGTGATTGGCAGTTGATGAGTGGGAAAGCAATAACATGAGTCTGTAATATAGTCAAACCATAATAACAGGTGTAAAACAATGCCATGAAAATATTGATCAATGGAAATTAAATTTAAAGAAAAACAAAAATTCCTCACATTTCATGACTTTGACCAGGGGTCACCAAACTTGTTCCTGGAGAGCTGGTGTCCTGCAGAGTTTAGCTCCAACCCTAATCACAAACACCTAAACATGCTAACCAAGCTCTCACTAGGTATAATTGAAACTTCTAGGCAGGTGTGTTTGGTTAGAGTTGGAGTTAAACTCTGAAGAGACATCAGCCCTCCAACACCGAGATTGGATACATATAACATATATGAAGAGTTAAGATGCAAAAACCTCTAAATTCTGAAATTTTATTCTAAAATGGACATTTATATCAGGTTCTTGTGTATAGTTTTAATAATTTCACAATAAAGTGTTCTTAGTTCTTATAAGTTCTTTTCATGGTCTTTAAAGTGAAATAACTCAACATAAACAAAGAAGGCTGAGAATAATGCTAATTTTTGACGAAAATTTCAGAAAACACTTAAGAGGTTTTTGCATCTGACCTCATCATATACAAATAAATTCTCTGACTTTCAATGTGCGGAAGGGACTTTTTTTTAAAATCCAAAATAAATCCAGAAATTCCATGACCTCAGGGAAGTTAGTTAGGGTGCTTGTCATATGCTGTGCCGCACCACACGACACCTAGTGTAGACACTTCTATTGTTAGTAACATTACTTGCATCTGCTCTAGACTCGAGAGTGTAAGACCAGACAAGAACCAAACATATTCAGACCTGGAAGGCATTGTTGAGCCAGAGCACCGAGCAGGAAGTCATGTTGCCAATCCAATGCAGGTTACCAGAAATAAGGTGAGTCTCATTCAGCCAGCAGCCAAACACATCATAGGGTTTATTTCTCACACGGGACAGCAGAGTGTAGTTGTCTACGGATTTAAAAACAGCACCAATCACTTATCAGCTTACAGTTACTGTTGATGTGTGAGGGCAATGCATATAATAGCTGTCTCTACCCAAACTGAAGACTGCAATCTCTCCAGCGGAGGAGTGATGTGGGCCCAGGTAGACCCCTGACACCAGCAGGAGTGTGTCATCAGCGTTAAACTGAGAGAACTGAGTGTAGCCCCAGTTATACTGTCGCATGCTGCAGCTGTGAACCAGAGAGATGGTGCCATCGGACTGCTCGGTGTCCCAAAGCTGTAAAAGCAGCAAATGTGAATAAAAAAGCAGTGATAATGCATAAATGAACATAAATCTATATTAAATCTTCAGACAGCTTCCTCTAGCGTCCACAGTTGCTCCTGTTGGATGTGGTTTAGTCTTCAGTTTCATTGTCCAGCCCCTGTGTATGTATATTATATTTTATATTTCGAAACTATTAAAGGTTCACTAAACTCTTGATTACTTTTTTTTTTAGATTTTAACAGATTTGTGTGTGTTGAGCATCAGTTAAGACAATGTTAGCACCTGTTAGCTTTAACTGAGGGAAAAACTGGATAATTTTGAGCTTTTGTGAGCTAATTTCAGCTTCCTGGTTTAAAATTATTTTTTAAGCGGGATCAAAATTGGCGACATATCGCAAAACAGCTAGTGCAAAGATAAGGCGTGGGTTTCTCATTATTATTCATAGCTGACTTTTCTTTTCCAATGAGAAGAACTGGCTTCTTAATTATTTATGACTCCACAGGCTTTTCGAAGGCAAGGTAGACCTGCCAGTGCCAAGCTGTGAGACACGTTGATGACTGGGTGAGACCGCGTCCACGGACCCACGGCACATAGTATTTAGCTGTGCACGAAGGGTCGTATGTGTTTTTTTCCATGATCCACAGGGTATGTTGCATGTTTTTCCCTGCAATGCTGTCAGGGCTGATACAGCAAAGCTGTTTGTGTGCAGGAAGAATTTTTAACGGTAGAGCAGTACGAGAATTGGAGAATGGCAGACGTTGTTTTTTATAAGGAGTTCGTTTAAATTTAGACACACCGTCGTGCTGCTGTGTTTGCCTAAATCCTCTAGATCAGTTCTTCCCAACAGGGGGGGTCACAGCTCACAAGGGGACCTCAGCAAACTCTGTGGGGGGTTGTGTCATATTTAAAAAATTTCTTAGCAGTGGACAATTAGAAGAATGATCATGTTTCCTTGGTTAATTTTATCACCTAGCTCAGTGGTCCTCAACCACCGGTCCGTGGATCAATTGGTAGCGAGCTGCACAAGAAATCCTTAATTATTTCCATTTTATTATCTGAGTTTGAATGATTTTTTTTTTTGAAAAGTCTTTTATTTTGAAAAATGACCAAACTCTCGCTTACGTCTCGGTCACTTGAACGCCCAGATTTAACCCACAATTAGCAAAATGAGTAAGAAACAGATGTATTTGGAAAGTGTTTTTACTAAGGGGAAAAGACCCAGTGAACTACACGCGAACTGCCAAGGTATGGATTTGCAACCCATTTGTCAACAAATCAAATGAATCCAGCATGGATCTGCAAGAAGATTAACTGATGGAGACCGCAAATGGGGACGTTCGCACATCGCGTATTTCTAGAGTTTGCACAAGTTGTCTGTTTCCAACGGAGATGCGTGGCATGCACGCACAAGCGGCGTGACGCGCTCACGCCAATGACTCCCGCAAGCTCACCATGAGTCATGTGACAAGAATTGACTGATCAGCTTCAGCTTGTACAGAATATTCATATTTCGGTAAGATTAGTTTTCTCAGACAAACACAGAACACCCAAACACTGCAGTCCTTTGTAATTTTTTCAATAGATAAAACTTGTATTCGAATGACAGCAATGTTTTGTCAGCTTGTCATCCACTAGGAAAACGGTTGATGGTCGCCTAGCAACCAACAACCTACGAAACACCCCCACACACACACCAAAAATGGAGAATTTTGTTCTCCACAAAAAAGACAGAGTCTCACTAATTCGCCACGCAGCAATCCTCACACTAATTGATAGAGTATAAAAAAATAACATGCAAGTATTAAATTGTAATAGCCTTAATTATTTTTCCTGTTATACATCAGTGTGAATACTGATATTTTTGTTATTAATTTTCAAATAGGGCACATTTAAAGGCCAAAGGTTTACGCTTTTCAGTTACAAATGGCCTACTGATGTTTTGCTTTATATTGTACATTAGGCTATTATTTGTGCATAAAGATATCTAGATGTAGTAATAAATATACTGTTTGTTTGAAAACAACAGTTTTTTGTCATTATTACAGCAAAGTTATAGAAGTGATTGTATCATTAAATGTAGAGGGGGCCTTACAATATTTTGGTTAATGGCTAATGGTTAGAATAGACAGGGCAACTTTTAATGGCCCTTTAAAATTTTAGATGTGTAATACTGTGCTGTAAGATGCCATGCCAACTCTCCCATGTTTGTTTGTTGCATAAAACCAAAATGCAATGTATGTATTTGTGTGTTTTTTTCATTGTATATATTGTTTTTGACATATTAGTTTATTACATGTATAAATAGTATGTTTTTTAATATAGCTGGACAAAAAATAGTGGTCATTAATTACTTTTAATAATCACTTTACATGGAGCCCTACCTAAAAACATCAAATAATTAATTAATAATTTTTTTTATTAATTTCTTTAATCATATATAAAGATTATTAAAAGAGTAAATGTGGAATATCATCAGCAACTGTTTCCATCCAAAGATGTGAATTAAATTTATGCGCAAAACAGAAATACTGCTAAAAAGACTTGCGAATAAAGCAGTGTTTCCATACAATGAGTCAAAGAGAACAAAATTGTCACTTACTGATTAACTTGCGCCAAATATCAAAAGTAAAAACGGAATTTACTGCAGTAGAAGAAGCTGCGTCAATCTTTTCTTTATTTAATAAATTACTTATTATTTACTTAAAAAGACAAATGCCGACCTGTAATAAGTGTGCGGTGGCATTTGAAGGCATGAGACACAGAGCACAGACGCTTTTGAGAATTCTGGAGGTAATTAATAATATTGTAACACTAATACTGAAATGGTTAAGGCATTTTAGAATGACCAAAACAAAATTTCAGATGTTTTACAATGTGCTCAGCCTGTTGGTTTGTCCATTCACACACATTTTTATCATCACACGATCTCCTATAAAAAATCACATGACTTTACTGCGCATACTGGAATTTGTTCAGTAAAAGTGTTTCTATCGTATGTTATGCACATTTTTTTTCTAGTATAATAAAACTTTTATCCTTTTAAAAGTTATGAGCTTATGATTTTTAAGCACATTTTCAAAAATGATTTGGATATGCGCATTCTAGCCGAAATAAAACAAATAAGACTTTTTTCCAGAAGAAAAAGTATTATCAGACATGCTGGGAAAATTTCTTTGCTCTGTTAAACATCATTTGGGAAATATTTATAAACTAAAAATAAAAATCAAAGGGGCTAATAATTCTGACTTCAACTGTATATGAAGTGGGCGGTAGGCAGTTTTACCTTAACAGTGCAGTCTTTGGAACAGGAGGAAAATCGATGGCCGCGGTGAGAGAAGGCTAAATGCAGCACCTGATCATGATGCTCCTTTAAAGTCTGAACCTCTACACAGGGGATGCAGTCATATAGCCGCTTGAACTCCCTGTACCACGACACAGCCGCTACAAACATGCAGGAAATACTTTGTTACTTACAAAAGCAGCAGAGAGTACTGCAACATGGTGGCAATCAAACAACATTACAAGTAGAAAAGTCTTTATTTTAATACTATTTTGTTTTATTGGCTATAAATTTCAGTTGAATTTTAGTTCTTTTTTTATGGATTTCGACTTCAGTTTTAGCAATTCTAGTTTAGCAAAAGTTAACAAAACAATTCCAGAGAAAAGTTTAATGTTTACACAGCTTACATTAACTCTTGAGCAAACTTGTTCCACTTAGAAATAAAAATAATTGTCCGACCAAGCACTGAACATAAAACTATACAAATGCAACTTATATAAAAAAGGAACAATTATTATGAAGAAATGCCTAAACTTCTTCATATTAAACATGTTTGGTTAAGCATGCCTAGTATACATTATTGGCAGAGGGAGAAAAAATAAAACTCATGTTTTATGTTTGAGATCTTTCTACTTATCAATATATAAGTAGAGATATGTTAACTCTGTACTCATACTAACCATTCGCAATTCAGATTTTCCCTTACAAAATGAGTGATTCATATTTCCATATTTTTGCTAATAATAATTTTGTTTTCAGAGAATTTTGTTAGTTTGATTTAACTGTAGTTTTTACATGTCATGTCAACATTTTAGTCTTAGTTTTCATTTACTAAAATAACCTTGCTTCAGAGAACTTCAGAATAATAATCATGGCCACACATGTACTGTATGTGAATATGTGCTAATAGAACTTCCATGTGGATTTACTGTTGTAGTACCTGGGTGTCGAGGCACAGTGCGTGGGATGCGATAGTAGCTGTAGAAAAGCTCCTTCCAGAGAAACTCATCCCGAGACACTGCAAACCACTGATGGCAAGTGAGTCCAGCGCTCAACACCGCCTTATGAGGGAGATGCAGGAAGATTTCCAGCACCAGACTGTCCGGCAAGCCAGGGCCACTTGCCATTCTAACATCCTGAGAGAGAGCAACATAAACCATGATTCTTGCAGGAATAGAAATCTATCAAGTCTCCAGTCAGTGGGTTGCTTGCTTGCAACTTGATGACTAAGAGTTCTTCGCTATCAATTCATATATGTAAGAAACAACGCCTACAATTTTCTAAAAGACATAGCCTTATGATCACACAATTACAGATTTCACATCTGAAGAATTCTTAAGTTCAGAAATAAAGCATCCTAGGTTACTCCTACTTATGTATTTTGAGGTATTTCCAACTGCAATGAATTATTAAAAAAAATAATTGAAATAGTTGAATCAAATTTTTTACATTTTAATTGTAAAAATGTAAGAATCTTTGGTAATTAGAAATGTTTTTAGTTTTGTTTTTATGTTTGTATCACATATCCATACTAAATATTTAAAACACATATAATATGTCAAATCAATCTTTTATTGTGCATGCAATAATCACAATTAATCTTTGCCCAGTACTAATTCATAAAATATATATTTTTGGACATGAGCTTTTCATCTATAGGGTATATGCGGAGCTAGTGTTTCCTCCCATACTGATAAACTTCCAGTGGTAAATGTGCCTTTTTCCACTTTATACAGTTCCTTTTAAAGCATCAATGTTGCAATGTATTAAAATACAATCAGTTAAATAGACTTTGGCACTTATTAGGTTGCTCAAATGTAAAATGAGACAAAAAGCCGTTTACTTGCACACGCCCGTCAGAATCAGCAGGCTAGCGCAGAAACTCCATTGAATATACTGAAGTAAATTAAAAGTTCATATTTTACAGACATGGCGGGGAAAAATGTAACTTAGGGTAATGCTTCTTGTACAATCTGATAATTTTAACATTTTTAATATAACATTACCTTAAAATCTGAATGCCTCAATATGAATGTTGTTTAAAATGTGCACATCTAAAACAACAATAAACAAACAGGCAAAAAACTCCTGTGCCATTTTGTAAACAAACCAGCATTTAATGGGTTAAAATTAGGGCTGCGTAATGCATCGTTTCAGCATCGATATTGCATTGTGAGCATTCACAATAGTCACATTACAGCATCTGCAATGTGGAGTTGGGATTATTATTATTAATCAGCAATGAAGAATGTACAATGTTTACATTTTACATTACATCTGATTATTCAGAAGTAGGGGCAGGACAATATAGCGATATGCATGGGGTGGTGCTTCTCATAATGAAGGATCAAACTTATATCAATATTGCAAATCTTAGAAATATATGTGCTTTTAATAAAAGAAACGCATCTCATAACTAACTTATAACTAAATATGTTCCCTCTTCATTTACAAATTTACAAATTACTATTATTATCAGGAGCAATATCTTAACAGTATCTTATCGTATTACTGTAACTAAATATCTGACTACTTATCTCACTTTTATCATTTATCCTTGCAATTTCTATGATTCACTCCTGTACAAGATTATTACAACTAAAATTAATGATTTTATTCTAAATAGAGCTATTAGGTCATCTGCTGAAATTGTATTCATATAGTGAAATAAAATACAGCGAAATAAAATATTGCAATGTCAGATTTTTCCATTATTATGTAGCCTTAGTTAAAAATCTGAAAATCAATAAAGGTTTAATTATCATTACAACTGTTGCTGGAAAAAATTAAATCCGTTCAAGACGAAAGAACTATTAATATCTTTCTATGATTCATGAATATAAATTTTTGTGCCCACTTTGAACCTACAAGTAACTTGATGCACAAGGGTTAAAAACTGATTACACATTTTTTTTTTTCAGGGAAATCACCGAGATAAATTAATTGTAATATAATATTTAAAAATCAGGCGATTTAAACCTGCATGATGTACTGTTTCAACATTTTGACAGCACAATGTGCACATTCACAATTGTCACAATGCTGCCAATAGTTGACCAGGAGCCACTGTTAAGAATACTTAATTTGTAGATTCACTGCATAATTGAACAATAACAGAATGAAAGTTTCTCATTTGCACAAAGGTTTTAAGGCATTGTACTGTATAAACAAAGTTCAAATATTCAGACATTCATAACATTTGTAGTTTTAATTAGATTAGTTATTATTTCTAAACAGAGCTATTCAAGTCATCTAATGAAATTATTTTCAATAATTTTATTAATTTTATTAAACATTAATTTCATTAATTTTGCAAAGAATGTTTTTTTCTTCCTTATTTTAGTCAGATTTACAACTGAAAACAACTATTTCCCAGTGTGACCATGGAAAAAAGTATTTAGCATGTTCTAGTGTTGTCTGACTGTTTAACAAAACAATGCACTTTTTTATTTAAACAATTCCATGCAAATGTCAACCTTGCCATTAAAAAGATTAAGTTTTCACCAAAATATCACAACCCTTTGTTGTTGTTTTTTTGTGTAGGCTTATATTTTACAGTACTGCAAAAATACTCTCAATGATTTCAAAGAATTATATTTGATTTAGCAAAGTCGAACAAGTGCCACTGCCAATTTCAAACTTGACTCATCCATAATGGAGAGACGTCAAGTCAATAAGCTTTTCCCCTCATAACTTGAAAAATGTCAAATAAAATAAAATCAATCAGTTTTGATTTATAGTGAGCAACTCTTCCCCTTTAGATTAACATTGTTTCTTTTGGGTTGTGCAGTTTAATTCACTGAATTTTCTACTATGTTGTACTGTACACTGTAAACTCGCAGACATTTTTGGTCACATCCATAATACATGTGTATTTTCCTCATTTAATATATAAATCATGTTCACAGATTGATATTCTTCTGATCCCATAACTCTGTGGTGAGTTGTTATTGAAAATATAAGCAGATGTTTCAATATATTGTTTACATATACTTTATATGTAAATTTATTTGTAAGATTTACTTCAAATTTCACACCCATAACGCTAGAATGGATAGAATATTTCTTACCACAGAACACTTGTTTTCTGAAATATGCACATCAGTAAATAATGGCATTTAAAAAATGACTAGTTATTAAATAACATGTCTAGTCTTTAAAAGCTTCAAAAATTCAAGAATAGCGATTGACAGCGGTCTCATTTCTCTATTCTAATTTAAGACCTGACAGCTGTAAATTACGACTGAGTAACACAATCTCTCCTTCTCCACAAAAACTTGCCTAACTGAACCACATGTAAATAAAACTGACCAAATCGAGTTTCTTTACACAGTATTTGAGTGGATATATATAGCAGAGTGGCTCTAAATACTCTAAAAAGTAAAATAGCCAATCACATGGGAGCAACTCAGTGGATTTAGGTACGTTGAGGTGGTCAAGCAGATGTTTATTTTTAGAGGTAAACAGAGTGAAAAGAAATCACGCAGACAATTGATATCAGATTAAAATCTGCAGAAAACAACCATGTCACTGCAAAAATAAATAAATAAATAAATAAACAAATAAAATAACTTAAACTTAAACACCCAAAATAGGCATTAATGTTGAAATTATGGTCGTTACTCATGTTATGATAAAAAAACATATATAAAAAAAGAACACAATTTAACACTAAAGCAAAAAAAGTATGCATAAGTCAATTTCGACATAAAACTAAAATTAAAAAGGAAAACTTGATCACGACAGACAAATTAATTATATATACTTTTTATATTTGACAGATACTGAACTCCTATTCCTGTTAGTTGAGTTTCAATGAAACCTCCACAATGTCTATAACATTTCTACAACATCAAAACAGTTGGGTTAATAAAATCATTATAAGACAGTCAAAATATGCAACGTTATACAATTTTGTAAATGTTCTTTTGCAAATTGTCACATGACAAGAATGAATTGAAACTGACTGAAGTACACACAATAAACCTGTTAATAATACGGGGATATCGCCGTTAATAGTTATTTGTCAGTAGTAGCTAAAGCAGCTAATAACACAAGCTAAGCTCATTACCAAAGCTCAAGATCAACACATATTCAATGGAAAAGCTTTGCGAAGCTATGCGTCAGATAAATGCTTAAACAAATTGTACATTACCTGCCAAAGGCCACAGCTAGTGGTATAAAGAGCTAGTTTTAATTTATCTTCAAATTGTTTCAGCTCCGGTTATGCGACTAGCTCAATCCCCAGTCAACAAAAATCGATCGCCGATGCAATACGAGCTAGAATAGCTCAGCTCAAACTAGTCGATCACAGAAAAACGTTCACTAGTGCTGTTAGTTGGAAGTACAAGACGTATTAAGAAATACCAATATCATGTTGCTATGATTGATTATTAGAGGTAAGTTTAAATCTAAACCTTTATTTAAAAGTAGCTCTTAATATATGATAATGATGTGTATCGTTTGGCTGTTAAATTATTGGAATGTTCGTTTAATGAAATTACTGTATATAAACAGTTAAAATAAGGAGTGTATAGCAAATATTTAAATAAATTACTGCTAATGTGATTTAATTCTTTAAAAATATTTTAGTTAATGCCTTAATCTGAAAATCGATTTGAAATCCGACACTGGTTGTATCATTTTACCTGAGCAAGATCTCTAAAGGGAAAAAGCCCGAAGAGAAAGTCTGTTGCAAAACGGTTACATTTGTTTCTTCAAATGTATTCTTTTCCTTTTTTATTAGTCCCAATAGATAATACGTGATATCTATAATCTATTAGAATCCCAGTATTCTCTTTATATATATATATATATATATATATATATATATATATATATATATATATATATATATATATATATATATATATATATATATATATATAGGTAATTTCTCAGTCAGTTAGAGGTATTCTAATAGATGTCCAGTCCAGTACTATTTTTTTCTAATTTAAGACCTACAATGTGTGCAATAGTTACATCCTAGCCAGCCAACCCAATCCATGAGTCATTCTCCATCAAATACATGTAATTCTAGTAAGTATTGTTATTCTTGAATTTAGGATGTTCCTATCTGGCGGAGAGGTTGGCTTCTTGTCTTGCATCTTCAAAAAGAGCCACAAGCACAAGGTGACATGCTAACAGTAAGTGTTACATAGATATTCCCTTAAATAGTGCCTTTATTTACTTCAAATCATTAATTATATTCTCTTGCAGGACAGCAAGTTTGGACAGTCTCAAGGGCAGATCCATCAGGTCAAGGCTCCCAATTCAACATGTCTCCAATATAAGAACCTTTTAATATAATCACTTAGCAATGAAAGCATCCACTATACATTCACATTTCTAATACTTTTCTTTTACTGACATCAATGATGAAATGCCTGTAAACTCTATGAAGGGGATGGGCATTTCTGAAAAACTGTTCAGTGTTTTTCTTTTCAGCATCATACAGGATTTAGTGGTTAATTTGAGACATACAAAAAGTAGTCCATGTGACCCCATTATTAACAAGTGATGTTCAATATGGGCTTTAGCATAATTATTGTTTTTGACATATACAGATAAACAAATATATTGCAAGAAGCAGTGTAAAGCTTAACTGGACATGTCATAGTATTGTGATTATCAGTACATTAAACAAAACTGACATAATCTGAAAACTAGAAAAATAAAAGCTGACTGATGTATAACTAATGTATAACAACTAATTGTGTATAACTAAATACAAAATCATGAACAATCATGAAAGAAAAAAGGCTGATTTGGCATATCTTTTTCTACAATAGTTCTATTTTAAAAATCAAGTGTCACTAGTAGGAAAAACAGGTGATTTCCTTTGATCCGATTTCATTCACAGAGAAGAACAGATTAGTCTGTTAACCATATGAGCAATTGTGGAGTGTAGTAGGTTATGATGATATCAGCACCTGAAAGAAAAAAATATATATTCATTTGAGTATAGTAAAACAGGACACTTTTTTTTTTTTTATTAACACAATTGTATCAAAACACAAATTTTTCAAACATTTTGTTCGTATTTAAAACATCACATATTTAAATTTAAATGTAATTGTTTAAGGATGTGCAGCTGTCAGACAAAAAAAAAAAAAAACTTTAGTAGAAAAATTTAGTAAATATGCAAAATATCTGAAAAACAAACATTAGACCCACAATTACTCCACTTCTCTTACTGTAATTTATACCTTTTATTGTTGTGAACTTAAATTCAGGCATATATTGCATACTGTTCTCTGAATTGAATTATATACAACTGTTGAATCCATGTACAGTATTTAAGGTAAGACTATTATGGGTTACTGTAAATAAACCTACCTAAAAATACTCGTTTTTTTTTTGCAGAAAAATAATACAACTACAGTAACTAGTTACTTTACAACTAATTACACGCAACACTTATCATCTGGAGTACCTGGTATCAGAAAATTTTAATGACTTGAACTTGTGTATCCCTCTTCTTACCTGCTCGACGGAAGGCAGTCATAGCTTCCATCACTGCAGTGCGCAAGTCAAAAGCTCCAGCTTCAGCTCCATGCCACAACATGGCAAATTCACCTGATACATTGTATACAGCCAGTGGATGGGTAGGGTGCTAACAGAAAACACAACTACATAGTGAGACTAGTAAAAACATGATGGTCTTTCTATAAATTTACTTTAATTTTAATTTGACTTATTTATAAAAAAATAAAATAGAAATAAAACATACAGGGGTTGGACAATGAAACAGAAACGCCTGTTTTAGACCAAAATAATTCCTTAGTATGGTGTAGGGCCACAATAAAGATTGGCCACCAGGGTGGTCAAACTTAGCCATGAATTCTCCTTTCTAAATTGGCCAGTGTTTCGGTTTTATTGTCCAACGCATGTACACTTACAGTATAAAGATATATAAATACATACATACTATAGAAATTTACAGCAGTCTCAACACGATTAATTGAATTAATATTTTAAAGAGAAATTTGTATATACAGTGGGGAAAATAAGTATAAAATATGTCATTTTTTTGGGAATATTTCTTTTTTTTTTATTGTGTTTTTGACAAAAGGTACAGTACATTAAAGGTATTCAATTACAAAGGTATTTTCGTTTTTTCTTTTTTTTTGAACCATACATAAATTGAAAAAAAAAGACAAATTGACATAATAAAAAAAAAATTAATGAAAAGGAAATGCATTAAATAAAAAATATATTAATAATAATAAAAATGAAAATAAAATAAATTTACAGAAAAAATAAATAAATAAAAAATAAATAAATAAGTAAATTAATAAAAAATAAATAAATAAAAAAAAGGGTGGGTGGGGGTGGGGTTGGGAATTTATGGTTGGAGGAGTACATTAGTCTCTATATGAATTATTAGAGGGTCCCATGTTTTGAAAAATTTTTTGGTTGATCCTCTGAGAAAATATTAAATTTTTTCTGTTTTCAAAAATAGCATTACATCAGCATTACATTACATTACATCAAGTGACAGTTTAGGTGGCATTGGTGATTTCCACTCCATAAGAATTCTTCTTCCAGCTATTAATGTTACAAAGGCAAAGGCGTTTTCTATTTCTTTAGCTAAATGGATGTCCTCATTTGTTACTCCAAAAATAGCCATTTCCGGATTTGGTTGAATTCTTAAATTGAAGGCCGAGTTTAAAATTTCAAATATTGAAGACCAAAATCGTCTCAGTTTGTCACATGACCAGAACATATGGGTCAGGTCTGCCTTGCATGAGTTGCAACGATCGCATGTTTCTTCTATATTGGGGTAGATTTTAGCCAGTTTGGTTTTGCTGTAGTGAATACGGTAAAGAATTTTCATCTGAGTCAGATTAAGACGTGCACATGATGAAGTCTTGTTTATAATTTTAACTGCTTTATCCCAAGTTTCTTCAGAAATATTAATTCCTAGTTCTTCTTTCCATTCCATTTTAATCTTCTCTAATGTTGTGTTACGGAATGTCATAATAAGGTAATACATTTTGGAAATGAGACCTTTGGGGTGTACAGGGGTCTTTAAAATTAGATCCAGTCCAGATTCAGTAGGCATTTGAGGGAATACAGAGCACTGGGTCTGAACAAAGTGGCGAACCTGGAGGTATCAAAAAAAGTCTGATTTTTGAAGATTAAATTTTTTACTCATGTCATTGAAATTGGCAAAAATGTTATCAATGAAAAAATCTCTACATGTAAGTATGCCCAGGTCCTGCCATTTCTTAAAAGTAGCATCTAGGTTGGCTGCTGGAAAAAGATGATTATTGCATATGGGGGTTTCTAAAGAAAAGTCTTTGAATTGAAGTGCTTGTCTAAATTGATTATATATTTTGAGGGTCGAAATTACCACTGGACTCGAAGAATATTGTAATGGTGAGAAAGGTGTCTTCATTGTAATAAGTGCTGGTAGGGAAGTTGATTTGCAAGACTTAGCTTCTGCTTCACACCATTCTGTATGTGGGAACTTTAACCAATAGATTATTTTCTGTAAATTTGCTGCCCAATAGTATTTTAACAGATTTGGAAGAGCCAGTCCTCCATCTCCTTTAGGTCTTTCGAGAAAGTCTCTGCCTATTCTTGGCTTTTTGCCACCCCATATAAAGGAAGACAGTAGTCTATTGGTCGACTGAAAAAAAGATTTTGGCAAGAAAATTGGGAGGCTTTGAAATAAGTACAATAATCTGGGTAGTACATTCATTTTAACACAATTGACTTTACCTGCTAAAGACAAATAAATAACATTCCATCTTTGGAAATCTAATTCTAGTTTTTTAAGTATAGGACTATAATTTGCTTTGAATAAATCTGTGTATGAACGGGTAATATTAATTCCTAAGTATTTAAATCCCGATTTGGAGAAACAGAAGGGTAAGTCAGTATCTGCAATTTGATCTGCCATATTATTTATAGGGAAGCATATACTTTTAGAGAAGTTTAATTTATAACCTGAAAAATTACCGAATTCTTTTAATATTTTATCAATTTCAGAGATGCATGATAGTGGGTCAGTTATATATAATAACAGATCATCAGCATACAAAGAGACTTTATACTCTACACCCATTCTTTTAATACCCCTGATGGATTGTGATGATTTGAGTATTGTTGACAATGGTTCTATAGCCAAAATAAATAGCAAAGGGCTAAGGGGGCATCCTTGTTGTGTTCCTCTAGACAAGGAGAAATATTGAGATACTATTTTATTAGTGAGTACAGCTGCTTTTGGTTGATGATAAAGCAAGCGCATCCAAGAAATAAATTTTGAGCCAAATTCGAATTTGTTCATTACAGCAAATAAGTATTTCCACTCGACTCTGTCGAATGCCTTCTCTGCATCTAGAGAGATAATCACTTCAGGACTATCCTCTGATGCAGGAGAGTGCACAACATTGAGGAGGTTTCTGATGTTAATGAATGAGTGGCGTCCCTTTATAAAGCCTGTCTGGTTTTGTGAAATTATTTCTGGTATTATGTTCTCTATTCTTGAGGCTAACAATTTAGATAGAATTTTGACGTCAACATTTAGTAAGGAAATGGGTCTATAAGAGCTACAGTAAAGGGCATCTTTATCTGGTTTCAGGAGAACTGTAATATGGGCCTGTGTAAGGGTTGGAGGTAATTTGGTTTGTTCAAATGAGTGGTTAAACATATTTAACAGTAAAGGGCATATTTGTGAGGAAAATTTTTTGTAAAACTCAATGGGAAATCCATCTGGTCCAGGGGTTTTACTACTCTGCATAGCTTTGATTGAATTTTCCACTTCTTGAAGTTGTAAAGGTTCATCCATGTTCTTTCTTTGATCCATTTTAACAGTGGGTAGATTAATATTAGATAAAAATGTTGACATGGGACTGTCTTCTTGTGGGAATTCTGAGGTGTACAGGTCAGAGTAATATTTATAAAAAATGTTATTTATTTCTTGGGGGTCTACTGTAATGTCTTGTTTTGTATTCTTAATCTAATTAATTCTTAATGGGATGAGCCGAGATGCCGACTTACTTTTTAATTGTTGGGCGAGAAGACGGCCTGCTTTATCGCCGTGTTCATAAAATCTAGCACGTGCAAAAAATAAGTTACATTCTGTTTTTTCAGTTGAAAATAATTCATATTTTGTCTTTAAACTAAGTTTTTCTCTATACAGTTCGGGTGTTGGGGTATCAGCATACTGGCGGTCGATTTTCTGTATTGATTCAATGTTTCTCCTCAGTTTGTTTCCTCTCCTTATTACGCGAGGTTGAGTATACTATTATTTCTCCCCTTATTACCGCCTTAAACGTTTCCCATAATAGTGATGGTGATATAGAGTCTGATTTATTATTTATTAAAAAATTGTCAATTGCACGAGATATGAATTTGCAAAAGTTTGAGTCTGAGAGTAAGGTTGTGTTTAGCTTCCATACTGGTCTTGTTGTATAGTTATATGAAAAACAAATATCAAAAATTACAGGGGCATGATCGGATTCAATAATAGTTGAGTATTCTATGTTTTTTATTGCCGGGATAAGTCTTTTATCAGCAAAAAAATAATCTATCCGCGAATACGTCTGGTGAAAAACATGTGAAAAACATGAGAATACCTTTTTATCTGGAAATAAAAACCTCCATGGATCTATGCAGCCAATCTGATTCATATATCCGGCAAATACTTGAGACATTTTTAAAAGAGGTACAATTTTAGGGTTGGAACGGTCCATAGTTGTATCCATTACACAATTCAGATCTCCACCAAGAATGAGATGGAAAGAGTTTAAATCTGGTAACAAGGAAAAAAGTTTTTTCACAAAGTTAACGTCATCTTTGGGAATATTTCTAAAGGAGCTGTTGAAATGGAATTGAACCAGATTTTGGTAACAACTCAAACTCGTATATATATATTGAAGTCAGAATTATAAGCCCCCCTTTGAATCTTTTTTTTTTTTTTTTATATTTCCCAAATGATGTTAGACAGAGCAAGGAAATTTTCACAGGATGTCTGATAATATTTAATCTTCTAGAGAAAATCTTATGTGTATTATTTCGACTAGAATAAAAGCAGTTGTTAACTTTTTTTAAACACCATTTTAAGGACAAAATTATTAGCCCCTTTAGGCTATTTTTTCGATAGTCTACAGAACAAACCATTGTTATACAATAACTTGCCCAATTACCCTAACTTGCCGAGTTAACCTCATTAACCTAGTTAAGCCTTTAAATGTCACTTTAAGCTGTATAGAAGTGTTTTGAAAAAATCTAGTCAAATTCTATTTACTATCATCATGTCAAAAAAATCAGTTATTAAAACTATTATGTTTAGAAATGTGCAGAAAAAAATCTTCCCTCCATTAAAAATTGAAGAAAAAAAAAATATATACACACACACACACACACACACACACACACACACACACACACACACACACACACGTATGTACGTACGTACATATATGTACATACATACATATACATATATACACATATATATATATATATATATATATATATATATATATATATATATATATATATATATATATATATATATATATATATATATATATATATAAATATAAAAGATTGATTTAACTAATTTTGGGCCTGTTGTAAATTTGTTCAATGTAAAAAGAAACAGACATAGAAGATGCCATAACATGTCTTTATCTATAATAGATAATTATCTAAAACAGAAATTACCTTATTCTTCACTTCTCGCACAATATCAAGATATGGTAATCCAGGTTTCACCATCAGCATGTCAGCACCTTCTTTCACATCCCGGTCCTAATAGAAACAAAAAGGAGAGAAAACTTTCCTTGTTCTTTATTTGGAGCACGTCATACCGTTTAAAAACAATTGCTACAATGCTGTTATAGTAATATAGTAAAAACATTGCAGTTCAGATTACATGTGAAACAAGTAATCACATTAATGCAAAAAAGGCAAAGAACGTTTTAGTTTGTTGGTTCATTTTGTGATGTCTTATTTTCTTACACAGGCCCGCAGTGCTAGTCCTCGGGCACCAGGAGGTAACTGATAACATCGTCTGTCTCCAAAAGCAGGCTTAGACTGGGCAGCATCTCTTTCAGTGTAAAGAGAAATTAAACTAGTTATTTTCTTTAATTTTGGTATATAATGAATAAAACATCTCAGTGTTCTCATCTTCTATAACCACACAAGACTAAAGAATAACTGCATCCAACCTGAACGGTCCATAGTAGCAGGATGCAAATTTAGCACTGTAGCTCAGCACTGACACCTAAAAAAGGCAAAAGAGACTGAATCAGTATCTGCTATAATCTGTTTTACTCTATTATGTATATCCAAAAGTCACTTTTCTGAACCTTGTTGCCAAGATCATTGGCAATTAGAGCTTGCTTAATGGCTGCAATTCGTCCATCCATCATATCTGAGGGGGCAATGATGTGGCAGCCTAACGGGAGGATAAAGTGTGGCCTCATATAATACAGATGACTCTTAGATATATTTTTACAAAAATGCACATTTTGGGCCTCGTTTGAATTTAGTGTTATTTGTGCGTAACCAGATCTTCCCGAAAGCTATCCTCTGGATTAACAATATGTTCCATAAATATATAAAAGTTAAAACACTGTGTTACAAGTAAATGTTCATACATTCTAATCATTCATAAATATGGTAGGAGCGAATGGCACACTTAATCACAATTAGCCTAATGCCTGCATGTAATTATAGCAAAATATGTAAATGACATGTCTGGGAATGCAGTAGAATATCTCAAGTCCCTTTTAAAGTTTTCGTTCTAGTAGATTTTTATAAATGTAGCCATATGCATGACAATAAATATTTAAAGGGATAGTTCACCCAAAGAATTACAATTTACTTTATATTTGCTCATCCTCAAGTGGTTCCAAACAATCTTTATTCTGCTGAATATTAAAGAACATTTTTTAAAGAAAACTGAAAAACTGTAACCACTGACTTCCATACAACAACAAATACTATGGAAGTCAATGGTGCCAGCTTATTTCAAAATATATTCAAAATTAATTTTGCTAGTTTCACAAACGAGGCCCATTATGTATAATGTAACTGCAAATAAAAACAATTTAGGACTAACCTGCTCGAGCGTATGCCAAAGCAACTTCAGCCAACCTCAAACAGCTTGCGGCATTATCCAAGCTGCCATCTTCACGTAGGATTCCTTAAAAAGTCATATAATATGGTAATATAAATGTTTATATGGTAATAAATGGTTTATTTAAATATAGTAGGTAAAAGATTTTAAATACATGTATATAATTTTTTGTAATTTAGCAGTCACAAATGTAGTTACCACATTGCTATTTATGACCTTGCAGTCCCTATTTATTACAATGCTGTTAAATGGTTGTTAAATGGTGCTTACAGACTATAACACCCAAAAAGGCACTGACCAAGCAAATAAATATATTAAACAATAAAGTAAATGTAAAAATGATATCATTTAATGAAAACACACACAAACATTCTCTCCTGTAGAAACAAACACAAACTCACAGGTATGATGTAGGTACCTGGTACACACATGCAGAAAAAAAGGTGTTGTCAATGCTGCGGTTTTGTAACACACAAGCTCAATCGCTCTTTCATAAAAACATTAATTATTGCATTAATACCTGCATTAGTCAGCTGCTAATGGCTCAAGCCTCTGTGCTGCTTTGCTCAATCTTTATTTCACTTTTAGTGAAATTCACAGACTCGGCTCATAAACGCATGCTTAATATTTAGTATTGCTCATGAAAATAAAGTACATTAATAAATGTATTAATGCAAGCTCTAAAATTTAAAAAGTTTTGAAAGTAGCCCAGGAGGCATTGGATGAGATGCGGGAGAAAGGAGTCCAACACATTGGAGCAGTTCAGGGTCGGAGTGGGACACCTTTTCAGCCCTGGAGTTTCAAGCCTCAGACCGGCCCACCTCAGTTCACGACTGACTATATTAAAATAAGGTCATTTCCAAATCAGTTTCTAATGACACTATCACGTCTTTTTTTTTGACAAAACAGCTGCTTTAGAACTTCAAATGTTCAACAACCCTAACAGTATTATATGTCTTAACAATAAAAATGAAAACAATAAGTTACTCTATCGTGGATCGAACCCGGGTCCGCGGCGTCTTAACCTAACGTGCTAACCGCAGGACCACATTAGCGGTGTTCAGAAAGGAGACACAACTGAGTTTTATAATCATTAAAACAGATGAAAAGAGAAGAGTTGCGGTGAAATAATGAATAAAAAGGCTGTGGTCAAGTAAATAAATAAATTTAAAAAGTGTAACTGCTGAGAGCAACAGATTCAGGAGCTAGGGACACCGGCCCTCGCGGCCAAAAAACGGACCAGCCCACCAGGAATTCTCCCGGTCCTCCCGATTAGCCAATCCGGGCCTGGAGCAGTTTAATGACAAAATCCCATCAAATGTGTTGACATACATGATTTAAATTTCTTGCGGTGTAATAACCATAATGATGGATATAATTGGCTCATAATTGACTAATTGTTGGATTTCCGGTCCTTATTCTCATATGAGACTTGAAGACTTGATGCTTTTTTAACCCTAATCATTTTGTTTAACCTTAATCATTTACGGCTTCATTTTTTCTATTATATCTATCATCTAACACTCCTTCAATGTGAAGTTAATAATTTAAAAGGTCAAACATTTATTAACAGGGTTACATTTATTTATAGCAAAACTTATAATTAATTATGCATCAATAGTGTGCATTATAAGGTCATGATGCCAAATTTTATTTCATGTATTTTAGTTTCAGTGTTTTATTTTTATATTACTTAGACTAGAAATATTATTGATTTCGATATATATAATAAACTATTTAAATTAAATATTGAAAACAACGAAAAGACTAAAAGTAAAAAGTCAGAACTATTAGCCTCCCTTAAATTTTTCCTCCAATCTCTGAGAGAAGATACACATTTCTAAACATAATAGTTTTAATAGCTCACTTCGAATAACTGATTTCTTTTATCTTGTGATATTTAAAGACTTTACTGGGTAAGGTAACTAGGCAAGTTAGAGCACTTAAACAAGTCCTTGTATAACAGTGGCTTGTTCTGTGGACAATCAAAAAAAAAAAAAACTACTGCTTAAAATGTTTTTTAATAAATTTAAAACTGCTTTTATTGTAGTCTAAGTCAAACAAAAAACACTTTCTCCAGAAGAAATTTTTTTTATAAGAAATAGTTTGAAAAAAATCCTTGCTCTGTTAAACGGCATTTGGGAAATATTTAAAAAAGTTAAAAATTGAAATTGACAATTTTGTCTTCAACTGTATATTTAAACAGACAGAGTTTTTTTTAACTAACCACAGTGTCCATGAGAGGTATACGGACAGAGACACACGTCACAGGCCAACACAAGCTCAGGGAACGTGCTCCGTAGTTTCTTTACAGCCAGCACTGCAGGAGTGTCATCTGCGTCTGCCCCAGAGCCCCTTTCATCCTGAGAAAACAAGTGAGGGGACATTGAGATGTTTTATCAACCCCTTTATAACATACGTGCACTTCAATTACTGACAGCAGTCTTACTGAGGCCATTTCATTTCTCACTGACCTTTGCAACTTTTGCAGGAACTCCAAAAATCAGCACACACTTCAGGCCCTTATCCACAAGGGGACGAAGTAAACCTTCTATCTTATTAACACCGTATCTACAATCAGGAGAATGAGCATCACATCATAACTTGAATAAAGATTTAATAAAGGAATAGTTCAACCAAAAAACAAACACAATGCTCAGCATAATTGAATACATCCAATTTTGTCAATGAATATTTTTATAACTTTATTAGTACATATAGGTCATATATTTTGGTGCATTTTAATAAAATTATTTTTTTAAATGCATATATTTATTAAAATTATATTTTACTCACCGATTATCTTTAAAAATGGAAAGATAATACAACTAAATTCATTCAAAATATTGGAAAACAAAATGACAAACTACAAAATTTCAACAAAGTTTTTAAAAAATTTTGTTTTTCTTAAATTTTAAATATTTTGTCCTAACATATAAATTTGGGTGTGCTAATTTTGGAGAGTTATCATAAGTTATTTTGTCAGATTTGGCTTCAGTACTGACTATAAAAATATATTAATTTAAATGAGAGATTTGTAACTAATATATGTTTTAGAAGCTCATATATGCTGAGCACCGTACATACTTACTATTTACTTACCCTGAAGTGATTATAAAACTTTATGCATTTTTCTTCTGTTTAACAAAAAGCAGATAGGAAAGGCATTTTGAAAACCTGTAACCATTAACTTCCATAGTAGGTACCAGGTTGCCAGCTTTCTTCAAGATATCTGCTTTTGTGTTCAACAGAATAAAGAGTTATCCATTTTACAATAAACTGTTTTCCATTTATTTTACATGAAACATTAGCACTACATGAAGTAGGACTGCATGATTTTGGAAAAATCTGACATTGTGATATTTTGTTTTGCTGCGATACGATTGTTAATTTCAACAGGTGAATTGAACAGCTCCATTTGGAAAGACTGTATTAATTTAGATCGACTGGTATGATCAAGTCTATTTCTATGCAGTGCACCTGTTAACCTAATTAACCTAGTTAAGCCTTTAAATGTCACTTTAAGCTGTATAGAAGTGTCTTGAAAAATATCTAGTCAAATATTATTTACTGTCATCATGACAAAGATATAATAAATCAGTTATTAGAAATGAGCTATTAAAACTATTATGTTTAGAAATAGAAAAAAAAAACAGTTAAAACAATTCTGACTTTAACAGTGAATACATTTAATATTATCTCCATCTTTTAATTGTTAATAAACAATCTAATCCTGCGACGTGACTATTGCAGATACACACATTATAATGTCAAACTATATTTTGTTCAGCCTTAACATGAAGGCCTAGGCATGAGGACACCAGCTATAACTTTTGAACATTTAAGAAGATAAGACTTCCTTTAGAAGAGTTTCCATTATATTACGTGTTGATCAATTTTATATTAATCGTCAGTTAAATGACAAAATAACCAAACCTGACTTTAACAATTAACTAAGGCAAAAATATGTAATCTCTAAGAATAAACGGATCCTTGGCTTATCTATCTGCTTTGTTGGCAACCTCCATCTCCACCCAACATAAAGCTTATCTCAGCCTGCCAGCCCAAACTTCACATTCAAACTCCATCTTTGTTGTACACATCTTGACTTTCACTTCACATTAAAAAAGTATTAATGGTTATTGTATTGATTGAAATCCATAGTCTTCATTTAGACCAATAATCTTGCTCAAAATATCAAAGTCAAGAAAAATTATTAAAATAAGATATGACTGAAATCCACATAGTCTCTTGTCCCAAACTACCTTGTGTTTCAATATGGAATTTTATTAGAAGTCTCGTTGCCTCTTTTTTAATTCAATGATTAAATTCAAATGGTTAATAAGTTGTTTATTCCAAAGATTCTGTCGCCATTTACTCACCCTTCATTTGTCAAGAACCTGTTTGAGTTTCTTTCTTCTGTTGAACATGAAAGCAGATATTTTTAAGAAAGCTGAAAACCTGAAGTCATTGATTTCTGGATTCTAACTTTCTTCAAAATATCTTATTGTGTGTTCAGCAGAATAAACAAACCCATAAAGGTTTGGAACCACTTGAGGGTGAGTACATTTTCATTTCTGTGTGAACGATCTCTTTAACTGACAGTATGAAATCCAATAGAAAACATAAACTGTTTGGCTACCAACATTATTTGAAATATCAATCATACATGATAAATTTGTGCTGCATTTGAAATAAAAGGATAATAGTAAAATGACTGGTAATGATGCAATGAGGTTTGTTGCATATAACCCCCATTTGAATGTACTGAATGAAGATGAAACAAAAGGAAATGTTGTAAATAGACCATGAGCTATAATTGATACCTTGCTTGACCAGGGAGACTTGCAATTGGTTCAACTGCATCAGGACTGTCACTGTTAAAAAGAATTCAGAAAGGGACCTAATTATTCCACCTTCATTAAATAAAACAAACATTGTAAAAAGTTTGGTTATGAACAAGGAATATAAAAAAGTGACAAATTATTATAAAGAAGAAATGCATTACGTAATGAAGATAGGATATATAAGGTTATCTGGTCTGAGTTCTGAAGCACAGGTCTGCCAATATCGGAGAGTAGGGTGGAAGTAACCACTGTGTAGAATAGATTCAGCTGGCTGTGTCATTGTGCTATAAATTCAAATCGAAAACAAACATTTAGTGACAAAATTGGCTCAACATACTGTATGACATGGTGGCAGAATTAGCTTCATATACCACGGCAGCAAAAACTAACCAACCAACCAAACAAACAAACAAACAAAAAATGTCAGTCAACGAGTATGCATGGGCCAGTTACTACATTCTGATAGTATGATAAAAATGGATAAAATTATGATGGTTTCACAATATTGTTGATTACTGCTCCACAATATATTTCTTTTAAATGTCTGGGTAAAAAACAAAAAAGCTTGCTAAAATGGCATCCTTGGATATCTTTTCGACTGGAGATACGGATGACACAAAAAAACTTTAAACAAAATCTAAAAATCGGAACGGTATAGCAGAAAACTTTGGCGGTTTGGCGGGTTGAATTTTCCAAGCTGCAGTATACCTTGAAAACAGTTTTCATCCAAAAACAATTAAAATAATTTTTTTTTAAATTAGAAATTTTCAATTTATTTGGCATTTTAAAACAATGCACCTAACCATGTATTATTTCTAATAGTGAAATTATTTCGTTTTTAAATGTAATAGGATTCCTAAATAAAATTCATAATAATTTAATTCAATTGTAAAATATATCATTAACATTGATTAGACCAAAATTAATAAAAAAGATGTTTGGCCTTAACAAAACAAGTAAAAGTAAATTGAATAAACAAATAACATTAATAACGGATAGAAATGGCTAAGAACACATCCGGATTGGTTTGTTATTCTGTCCACTGACTGACTTTATAACAATAAAACTTATGAATGAATGAGTAAAATGTAAAGCTTGACACATTCTCCTCATGCCAAGAAAGCAGGCATGCAGACATACTCACAAGACACATTTGACCAGTTGCGTAACTGAATCAACTACATTTAACAGAAAATAGTATTTTCAATAATTGCAATAAGTAAGGTGCACCAATAACCGACTCATGGTAATTAAACAATGGTGGGAATGGTTAAGCAGCAAACCTTAATAACGCACTGATTAAATCTTGCATGTTGCGTTATCAACTAATTCTATAAAGATTATAACTTCAATAATTATGACAAAAGTACTTTTTGGAAAGTTACATAATTTAATAAAAACTTTAAAAAGCAGTGCCTACATTTAACTTTTTGGTTAAATATTTTAACAACTGCAATTGGTTAGTTTTGACAGGTTTATTTTAACGTTAGCCAATATTGCACGTCCTAAACACTGCATAATAAATACTTTAAAATGCTAATGTTACGGACACATAAAGCGTCTAAAACTTTTAACAAACTGTTATCAGAAATTGAATTGGGATTAACTTACTTTGTGTTTAGTCGCCGAGAATGAGAAACCGTAAATGACCCAGATCTTGCTAACTGCAGAGTTGCTCCTTAAACCTCAAACGACATGTGCATTTCTTTCATTGAGAGGAAATCTTCCGTCAGTGTTTACACCAAACCTTTCTTCCTCTAGAGGGCGATTGATGGCCCAGTTAGTCAACTTTTATTAAGAAAGTACGATATTGTCATATCTATTCTAGTTTTTTTTTGCATTGTGTACTATACAAAGTATAAAAAACGGCTGAACCATATGGGGTTCTAAACAGAACAAGTTACCCCAGTACAGATAAGCCACGCCTGTCGTGTTAATTCTGTGACTTGTGGGGTTGTCATTCTAGCCCTTTTTCATTTCTGTCATATCAAAGGTCTTTATGCTTCTCGGCCTCCGTAGAATTTTTTTTCGGTGGTCTCGCGATATTTCTTAAATAGATGATTTGTATTTGAAATATCGCGATAGCTCATTGGGCTCCTTTTGCAAGGTAAATAGCTCACATCGGTTAGCTTGTGTTCAATACAGCTGTTTATCCACCGCTGTCAACCCACCCGTTCATTAACGACCATTTAAAAATGTAGGTTTACGTTATGTTATCCTTCAGCCGTCGCTGCGAATAATATCTGTGAGGTAAATGTTTTTTTCAGCGTATCATTGGCACATTTAGTACTCGTCATCTCATGCTAACTGACAGCAAGCTTGTTTAACCTTATAGAAACAATGCCGCAAAATGATCGACGTTAATCTACATGTAACTGCAAGTGTTTTTTAAACATACTATATGATGTTACGGGTATTTAAATTTGATTTAGTTTTAGTATGTTATAATATAAATTGTAATCTAATAGTTCAAGAATACAAAACCGTGGGGAACAAATGTATATATTTTTCAAAATGAAGTTTCTATCTATCTATCTATCTATCTATCTATCTATCTATCTATCTATCTATCTATCTATCTATCTATCTATCTGTGTGTGTACAATAACTATATATATATATATATATATATATATATATATATATATATATATATATATATATTATACATACACTTACCCCTTTTTATAATTATATTCTATATTCAATCATTTTATAAAATTTTAAATATTATATATTTAATGAACTGGATAATGAAGTGTTTTTCCATCATTTATTTTTTCAGATTTGTTAAATGGATCTCAAGAAAGTGGACTGGGTCCATCTCAAAAGGAGCACGATGCTGCCAAAATAACAAAACACTTTTCAGTGAAGTCTGTTTTTCATAGACTTTTATCCACTGACTTATTTGAACGGTTTTCTTCCCTTCTAACTCCTTATACTAGTGGTTGACCAGGTAAAGAACACTCAGCAGCAGCCATTAATAATGCTGTTCTCTCTGCGAGAGCTGGTGCAATGGCTGGGCTTTGCCACATTCGAACTGTTCCTCCACTTGGGCGCACTGCTGGTTTTCAGTGTGCTGGTGGCGCTGCACATGGACGTGGATAAGCAGACTCTTGAAATGAGTTGGTGGCTTGTCTTCTCACCCTTGTTCACTGCTGATGGCCTCAGTACCTACTTCACCGCCATTGTATCCATCCGGCTCTATCAAGAAGGAGAGAAGCGTCTTGCAGTGCTGCGCTTGCTGTGGGTGCTGACCGTGCTCAGCCTCAAGTTGGTGTGTGAGGTACTGCTGTGCCAGAAACTGGCCGAACAGGAACGGGCACAAGATTTGTGGTTCGGGCTTATTGTATCCCCACTTTTCATCCTTCTACAGCTGCTCATGATTCGTGCTTGTCGTGTCAATTAAAGGACAAATGGTCTGCACTCATGCCAATGGACTTATATGTATGACATGGACACATGCAGGCATGAAGAGTGAATCCTTGTGAACTACACATTTATTGTGATCTTGTCTATTTTATGTTCAAATCAATTTCTGGCACAAGCATGTATACATGGCATCATAAGCAATGCTTAAAATGTGCAGTTTTTGATTATTATTATTGTCCTTAAGTGCTATTTGGTCTGGATTTTTTCTGAATACCGTCAATGATGCTTTATATGTGTTAGTGTACTTTTATTGTTGTTTGTACAGTTGTAAATAAACCATTAACATTCAAACACTTGTTCTCTTGCTGCTTTTTTTAATTTGGTATTATTACTTTAGGTGACAGCAGTTTTTAGATGTTCAAGTTGCTGATGCGGTAAATAAATGACGTGTAATATCCACTAGATGGTACTATAACATGCATTTTCTTTTTTTTTTTTTTATCAAACAAGCTGCACTCAGTACAAGCCATTCAATTGTTCGTTGCAGAATAAATCCACAGCAACACTGTTTAATGTTTTTATGATGTTAGGAGCACCGTGATATCATTAAAGTTCAAGTTTATCTCATGCATATCTCAGGAAAAAAAAAATGTCTTCAAAATTGTAGAAGGGCCTATGTTAAAATGAATAATGTAGTGAGATGAATATATATATATATATATATATATATATATATATATATATATATATATATATATATATATATATATATATATATAAACGATATTCTGTCTTGCATCAAAAGAATAAATGGTAGCAGGTGTGCTGTTTGAATGAAATGCCCTTTATCGTTTCAGTTAATTTCAGATGTGTGATCATACAGTTAACATGACATTTCCTGTTAGCAAGGGCAGAGTTACTGTAAATAATAAGTCGTGTTATTTTTGGACCTTGCACTCAGTTTGTGATAGCATAAAATAATTTCCTCGAACAGATGTTTAGACAAATTAAGCCTAACTGGACATTATGCAACCCATTGTAACTGTAAATGGCAACAATTGTACTAAAGGTCGCACATCCATATCTTAAATGAACACATTTTCCTGTCTTCAAAGAGATTTTGAGGATAATTCCCCATAACAGACTACAGCAATCTAGATACAGTCTATAATTAACCTGACGCGTGGTACTTATGATGTCTTGCTAATCTTTATTTATGTGCCCTTTTATTTAATCTCATTAAAACTGGATTATGAGTGTGACGAGGACAGTAATTGTACCACGTCCTCAAAGGATATGTCATTAAAACTGTCACCAAATAACAGCTAAATCAGTGGTTCTCAAACTGTGGTACGTGTACCACTAGTGGTACGCAGGCTTCCTTCTAGTGGTACACGGAGAAATGAAATATGTCAAGTACATGATAAACACATTTCAAAATTTATTAAAAATGATGTATATAATATGCCATATATGACATATAGCCTATATTTCTGAGGTAATCTGCCACTTTTTTTAACTGTGCAGATATGTAGCTGCTTTACTGGGCCTACTACGCTACTGTATTTCAATACTGCTCATTTTGGTGGTACTTGGAGAGACAATTCTTTTCTGAGGTGGTACTTGATGAAAAAAGTTAGAGAACCACTGAGCTAAATGATAAACAGTATATGATCACATATATTTACTTAAATGTATACATTTTATAATCATCCATTTAACTGATCGGTTTAAAACTAGTTTATGGCCAGATGACTTTCTAGACTTGAATCAGTAATGGGACAAAGGCCCCTCAGCAAATATTGTGCCCACCATGAAAAAAAACAAACAACAAACATATAATCAAGTGCGCGCAAACATACACTGATTTTAATTTACGTGTAACTACTTTTCTGACTGAGTTGCACCAAACACCTTGCAGTTTTGCTCATTCACGACCATTCAGAAAAGAACGCAGAAAAAAATGTTTAAAAAATCATGCAATGGGCGTTTCTCGCTGTGCTTGACTGACAGGGCTGCTCTGCATTCACAATAGTGCGAGGGCGGGGCATATATTAAAACAAAGGTGTGCCTGAAGTCAAAATGACCAAATGAGGTGTCCACCCCGAGACGAAACGGTGACGTCACTGATCGAAGGCGGGATCCTATCGGTAGACTGGCACATCATCATCATGCAGGATACATTGTTGCGGCTGCAATGATGTACGAGTAGGAATAAGGAGAGGCGCTGCAGGAACAGCGATAGATTATTCGGCTTCACACCTATCATCACAAACCCATAATGTCGGGCGGGGATCTTCGCGTTCTTCACCAAGAGCCCGGGCAGGAGAGCCCGAGAATGCCGGCCTGGAAACGCGAGATCCTTGAGCGGAGGAAGGCGAAGGGCGGCGGGTCCGGAGCAGGTGCCGAGTCCGTCGCATCTCGACTTAACGGCGAGGTAACGGGCAGCAAAAGCAAGGACGATGTTGCCAGCACATCTTCTAGCAGGAACTATTCCGTTACTGCTGCTAAGCGCTCGACCAAAAGCCCGGATCTATCGCCGGTAAAAACAAAAGAGCACTGGCCATCCGCGGAGCCGAGCGACTTGGAGGAGAGAACGGCAACAGACAACGGAGGAGCACAGGAGAGCCTCGTGCTGCAAGAGAGTTTGGGTCCGCTGCAGGAAAACCCATTCATTAAATTGGAGAAGGAACGCAAGAAGCGTCAGAGCCAAGAGATCTCCTCGCGACCCGTTCAGCACATCCTCGAGTTGTACGGTAGCGTTCCCGGGATACGGACTATACGCGCTGAAAACATCATCATTATTGAATCCGACCCGGAGTACTTTCCGGAAGGATGTGGCTTGAAGCATTCATCGAAACTGCAGCAGAACGGCACGGTGAGCGGATACAGCTCGCTCAATGACTTGTTAGATCGGAGAGGTAGTCCGGTTACGGAGATACGCGCAAAGGAAGTGGTCATTTACGACACTGCGCTTAGTAAAAGCGAGGAGAACCTCAGCACGCTGGTTTCCGCCCCGCTGGAGGGGCAGGGGAGGGTGAGTCGCATGCTACAGAAATTTGACAGAAATTATGGCAAGCTGCAGCCCAGGTCTCGTAGCACTGAAAACCTCCTAGACTTGGATCCTACCCCTGTCAGGCCAAACTCCAGACCTAAGCCAGATGTGGTGCCAAAATGTCCAGTGTCTCCGCAAGCCGGCTGCTCGCACAGCAAGGTCTTCCAAAACATCCAGTCTTCCTCAAGCAATCATCACACCTCTCCAAGTGACTCAGGGAGCAGTACACCTCTTTCTGGATCCCCTCAGTTAGTGTCTTCCGCACGCAGACGTTTTGAGGGGACTGGGGGACGAAGTGTCACTGTCCATCCTAAGGAAGACAGTGACAGGTCCCCATCCAAACCTGTTCGAGAACGGGATTGGGACAGCACAGATGGGGCCTCCAAAGCAAAGGTGCCATGCTCTCCGGAGAGCCACCGTTCCCGTGCCGACTGTACTTCAAGCCCTATGTCACCTCCCTTGTCACCCAGCTTTGAGATCCGTCCGTCTCCTCGGCCAGATCTTTCTCTCCTTCCAGCTGGTGATCTACAGGCCCGTGCTCTCGCCAACTTGCGTCTACAGTCTCGCAATTCTTTCACCGTCATTCCCAAAAGTCGCACAGCCATCTCTTCACCTGGCAGCACTGCTCCATCCAGCCCTGTTCTTTCCCCCTCATCCCCACGACCTTTGGTGGGTGTGGCAGCTTCAGAGCCAACAGTGCCAACCCCTTCACCTGCTTCTTTTACGCCGCCTCCATCAAAGCTTACAGAAAAGCTGACTGTAGAAGCCAAAGCAGGGTCTCCCCAACATACCCTACCCGCCATAACCCCCTCTCCAGTTTCTCAACCCTCAATTGACTTACCTGTTTCTTTAGACTCTCCTCTGGAGGACCCTCCAGTTGATAAGCTGCCTATCACAAACATTGATGACATAGTTGTGGAACCCACACCACCCATCCTGAGCCCTGCGATGCAGAGGCGCAAAGGGAATACATTTACAGTCGTCCCAAAACGGAGGCCTGAGGCTCAGTCTAGCCCTTCTGAGGCCCCAGAAGTTGTCACCGAATCTCCAAGCACGCCACAGGCCCCTTATGCTCATCTGGGTACCCTGATTAAAAAGCGTTACCCTGCTGCAGAAGAAATTGAGGTCATAGGGGGCTACCTGTCCCTTGGGCGATCCTGCCTCACAAAGACAGGCTCAACTGGAAAAAAGGTAAATACACTTATTATTAGAAGAATACTGACTGATCTTTGGCCATTTACTCACAAGATATGTATTAAAGAAATAGTGGCTTATAACAATAATTCATTCAAAAAAAATCTGTAAGCATATAGTGACCCTCATCATTGAAACCTCTTACAAATAACTTTGTTCTGTGGAGCACAAATTTAAAAATTAGACATCTTTGGTCATCATCTATTTGTAGTTTTAGCTTTGTGCAAATACACACTAATGTAAAAATGCTAAAGGACAGTTTGCTGGGTTTTTATGGCCTGTACAAAGGTTCAGTGTGTTGTGCACTGGATAATTCAAGATGTCATCACAGTGTTTTATTGTTTTTTTTTCTGTACTACAAGGTCACTGACCCATCAGTCTGATCTAGTGGTAATTTAAACCTTGTTATAATTTTGTCTTGAAAAGTGGTTTAATATTCCATACACCTCTTTCAACTTTTATTAATGAAAGAGATTACATGATAACAAAAACACACAAAAGTTATTGGACTGCTTTGGCTGTCATAAGACATCAGTGGGCCATGCTCATATAAATCTACACCTGGGGTTAATCTGTCTGAAAAGGACTTCATGCATCCACCTAAAACCAAAACACTAGCTGATGAGATGTACTGTAGAAGATTGTGCTCTGCTACAGACACAGATTACAATATATGCTCTTGTTGAGACTTTAATTTATAACCAAATGTAAATAGCAGTAAAGGACTTATTGGTGGAGGTCAGGTGATTTAGGGTGGAAAATGAGTCATGTGTTGCTTGTGGAATTACTTCTCAGAGTTCCTGAGGTCTGATAAAGATTTTTTAGGTTTGTTGTTAAATCCTGAAAGGGATGTTTTGGACACTTGTTTAATCTACCCTTCAAAAAAGATAATCTGCCTTTTGTTTAAAATTATTACTTTACAAAACCATACGTGAGGTTAACATACTCCCATTTATTGTCAAAATTAATCTCAAAACAGGAAACTGACTAAGTAGCAATGATCTTTCACTTCCTGTATGTAGTGGTGCTGTGTCAGGTAGTCATGGACTCTATTCTGATTGCTATCAAGTACGTTTAGAGCCTTGCATTTGAAATGAGTATGTTCCTATTGTGACTATGGACTTTGTAAATTCATGTTTGCCATATTTTTCAGTAACATATTTTTGCGCCTCTGATTGATTCTTATGGAGACTCATAAGGACCTACACTATGCTCTAGCTAAATTTGGGACTATTTGTAGTCAGTTTCAGTTCTGTTCTTTAAATGTTGAAAATGACTGTCTAACTTTCCTGTTTTTTTCTCAGCCTTTGATATATTCCATAGGTTTTTGTTTATGGTTTATTTTAAATTAAATGCTTTTCCTAGACAACTTTAAATCTCATAGAGGATACTGTATCACAACTTTCAAATAAACACACAAATTTAAAAATAAAATGTCTAGAATCATAATCATAAAGATATCAAAACACATTACAAATTTTAGAAAATGCCTGATTTTCAAATAATCTACTTTTCCCCTTATTTAACTGAAGGAAGCAAAACACCCCTCGACATAAAGACCCTTGATAAAACACAAACCATGTTTCCTTCTAACATAATACATTTTATTAGTCCATGCAGGTAAGAATGATTGATTCTTACAGATCGGTGCATATACAGAGGTCTCTGGTAGGGTTAGAGCTTTACTTCTTTGGTTAAAAATTCTTACTGAGTTTTTCAACAAAACCCTCAGTAAGGTCCCTAAAGCCAAATTGTCCTCCACTTGCATCCATAGAGGGGTCTCTGCTGCAGAGTTAACTGGTGCATCCTCCAGCAAGAAAATTAAAGCTCTAACGATGGGAACCCAACAATAAAACTTATGGTCTATGATGTTTTCTAGTCAAACCTAGTTTTCTGATGCATTACATGTAATGGATACCAAAATACACTCCAAATCATCATCATCATCATTATCATCAAAAAAAAAAAAAAAAGATTAAAAGTTGCTGTAAAAAAAAGAAAGTTCAGAAAAATGTATATTTCAAAAATAGAGAGAGAGAGAAAACAGAAGTCACTTTGTTTTATAATGTCTGCTGTAATAATGGTAAAAGTAATCTAATTTGTCTGTTGCATTTTGTTACACAATTCTTCTGTGACATATAAAATAACTGTAAAAAACATTAACAAGAAGCTCTACATCTATAATAACAATGTTATAAAGGAAAACAACTTAGCTGCTTTTTCAAAATCATTGACAATCAGAATTGATCCCTTTAAAAGAACTGATGTATTTTCAATGGCAGGCAACACATGAAAAACTGAATTGTCAGTTGGTGTGTATAAATTAGATATCGTTATAGTTATTCATTGATTCATTTCCTTATCGGCTTAGTCCATTTATTAATCCGGGGTCGCCGCAGCGGAATGAACCACCAACATATCCAGCAAATGTTTTGTGCAGCGCATGCCCTTCCAGCTGAAACATCCATACACACTCATACACTACCGAGCCTACCCAATTCAACTTTACAGCATGTCTTTGGACTGTGGGGGAAACCAGAGCACCTGGAGGAAACCTATGCGGAAGCAGGGAGAACATGCAAACTCCACACAGAAACGCCAACTGACCCAGCTGAGGCTCGAACCAGCGACCTTCTTGCTGTGAGGCAACAGCACTACCTATTGCGCCACTGTGTCACCCTGTTATAGTTATATTTATGTAATATATATATATATATATATATATATATATATATATATATATATATATATATATATATATATATATATATATATATATATATATATATATATATATATATTTTTTTTTTTTTTTTTTTTTTTTTTTGAATATTTTCATAATTTGAAGAACCTTTTTGCAACACAAAGCATTCTCTCCTTTCCATTCCTTTTGTACATTTGAACATTTCCATGGATGTAAAAGAATCTGTAACCCTTAATACCAGTAAAGAACCCTGTAGTTATCATGTTTGTTGGGAACAGCTTTTAAATCATCCTACAAGGCTAAATCCTAAGGTGACATCAACAACATTTTCTCAAATTGCTTTAACATGTGGTACACTTTAAAATGCAAAAAGGCTTCAATTTTGTTCTGTACATTTAAATGCCACAATCATTGACAGAAAGTTTCCATTTCAAATTGTATGCAACTAACAATGTTGCCGCTCCTCTTTCTGTGTAGCCTCTAGCCAGCCAGGCCCAGATGTTACAGTGAGTTGGGTGATGTGCTGCTTTTGTTAGTGTTGTCTGTTGTGAAGGTGATTGTTACATGATTGAGGATTGGCTAATGCCACGCCTTTGTTTTGTTTGGCTTTAGCAGGTGTGTTGAAGCTCTTCCTAGAGCATAGACAGAGAAGCAGCAGTTATGGCTAGGGCACGTCATTTGTTTGGAATGTCTCTTTCTCTCTCTGTGGATGGTCTCCGTGGCTCTTTTTTCTCTGCAACTCTAAGAGGGCATCTTTTTGGCCAGCGTACTCCAAAAGCTCTTCAACTTCTTGAGGAAGCTTCTGTTCTCTTTTGCATTTTCTAAACCTTGAAATATTTTGGTACCTTTGTAAACAAAATTTTATTGGTTTCACATGCAAAACTTCCACAATGCTAGTTTGATTTCCAGAAAGGATGGAATTTGGTAGTGGATTCTGGATTGTTGTTAGGATGATGCTAGATTGTTGATAAGCTGTAATGAGTGGTTGTTATGCAGTTGCTAAATATTTATGACTGGTTGACAGAGAATTGTTGTACCAGGATTGGTTGGATTAATTAGGGTGACAATACCAAAGACTCTAGAATAATTGGCTATAGACTGACATTTCTCTGCTGGAGCAGCTCAGACCATACATGTGCTTTTACGACAGTTTGTGTGGCCAACAAAAACACTGCAATCTCAGCAAAAAAACTTTCTTCACAGACATACGAAATATGTCCACATAAAGCTTGAAGTCTCTACTTCTCTACAAACGCAAGGTACAGTCCGTTCGGTCAAACGCACATCATATGACAGCAATTACTCAAACGCCCACTTGTAAACAAAGGGTCACTTTCATTTCTGGAGAAGATTCACCATCAAGACCAAGATGTCAGTTACTTCAGAAGAGCAGCGCGATCAAATTATCATTATTTAGAGGATGATATTGTGTAACACGGCTATAAATGAGGTTGGTGTCGTGATCTCGTTCCTTTCGAGTGCATATGCATTAGCATGGGCAACCTAAAAAAATGGCGATTTTGTTAGATTCAAATATTTAGAAGTTAAACTATTGACACAGTTGTTGTTTAATTTTATTGGTGATTCCTAATATGTAATGTAATCAAAAGCTTGGCAAACAGTTTTCGTGAATTTGATGTTTGCCCAAATAGTAAGAATGCCAGAGCAACTGGTGTTTCTAAGATGGCCACAGAGTGAAATGACTTGCCTTAAAGGGACTTTGACAATATTTAAGGGGCTGTTTTTAAAGTTTTCAACCCCAAACAGGAATTTGATATGATTTATGTTTGCTTAAAAAAGACATTTTTGGGACTGAAAACATGTAAATCTGAAAACATTACTAGTTGGAAGTTTCTGAAAATGCCACCTTTGTTGTGTCCATGTAATCACATGAAAACAAGTGTCTTTGCAAACAATGACGTCATGCATGTGCATGGTATGTGTTCAGAGATTTGTAGATTACAGGAAAACGCGAACAAACACTCAATAAGGGTGAAGTACATGGTAATTGTGGTTTTGTAGGAGGGCTGGGCAAATACTTAACAAATGCATTCACAACCATGAAACTACATTACTGAACTTTAATACTAATCACATCCTTTGCACTAAAGGTTTGGCCCACAACAATAGAAAAAAATGCATTTAACACATTTTGCATGCTAACGTTTTTTTTTTCCTCTATAGGTTATCGCAAAATAAAGATCCCTTGAAATAAATAAAAAAAACTTTTGCAGAATCCATGTGTCTGACAGGTAAAAGCTGCTGCTCTTTCTCTTGACTGTTGCCTTAGTGC